AAATACCTACTCTACACTTAGGTATTTTTTTTGAGACACTAAATATGTGGTTGTCTATTTCCTTTTTAGTTGTTTAGATAGGTATGTAAAATTTTGATATATAATGTTATTTTAGATTTCACATGTACTTTTCTAAATGGTTGGACGAGGCGGTGTTCGTGTGAGCCGCGGGCGGTAGGCGTGCGAGTCATCGGCCAATAGCAAGCCACACCATGTCCATACCATTTTAAATAAAATGCTAAAACACCGAATATATTTAAGGTTTGGATACACACAGCAGTTCCGTTAATTGATCACATTTGCATTTTCTGACCATTTCAATTAAACTCGGGAAATGTAATGCAGACGATTATATATCTACATAGATACAGGTAGGTAACTACACAGGTCAGTCAAAGTCATCAGGATCTATAGAACAGTCAAGTTGGTAGGTACCTAGCTACCTGTACATATTGTAAAACATTATGTAGGTAATGCGCTTGCCCTCAACATACACCAATTTTGGAGGTAAGTACCTACCTACACCGTTTAAAGATAGAAGAATGTAGACCTTTCAGAATGTATATTATTTTTATTGAAATATGAGGTCTACTCCAGCCAGCGGGAAGCTGAAATGGTATAGGTAGGTATTGGTAGCAAATAAGTGTTAGTTTCTCACTGACAAACTATTATTTTTTTGTGAACCTAATGCTGACCCATGTGCCTCATTATAGTAGATAATTACTATGGGCCAGCCTCCATTACTTTGAAATCTCATGCTAAACAAAAAAAATATTAACTGTTTTCCCTTTTACCACATATTGTATTATCTAATATCTATAGCAAATATTTTAATGGTAGTTGGAGTTCATAGATACTATATCGTATATACCTAGTAGTTCTTGGTCGTCTGCTTACTTCCAAGCAAAGCAAAGGCCTCCTCTGACTATTTCATCTTTTCCATCTTCTATTCGGTCGTCAAATAACATAAAATTAATAACGTATCTATCGAAATTAGTATAGGTTGTAATAAATTTAGGGTTGTTGTATCAAAATGCCAATTCTGTAAATCATATTTTGTTTCTTAAAAAGTGTATGGTGTAATATTTGCTAAAACACCACCTATTTAAAATATTTACCTGTTTAAAAGAAAAAAAAATGTTGTTCGCTTAAAACTTTAAAAAGTACCTAGATAGGTACTATATGTACCTACGGAAAAAATATTTCTGAATTATACACTTATAATAAAACTTCAGTAATTGAAACACTAGCATTCTTAATTTTGAAAGTATGTCGTAGAAACATGTTGTAAAGTTTTAAAACTTATTTAAAAATATTAAAAAAAAAACTTACGGATACACTAATCGGAATTGCAAGAAATAGAAATGATCTTTATTTAAGTAAACTTAAAATAAACACTTTTGAATAGTCACATTTTTTTATTCTATCGCTCAGTCGGAATGCAGATTCATCACAAAAAGAATGAGAAAGCAACTTGTGTGTTGCCCTTTTAAATAAATGTTGTTTTAATTAGATTAAGAAAGATTAGGCATACACCAATCAAACAATAGAAACAAATAGAAACCGCAACGCACTTGATCTCTCTTCAATTAGATTACATTGTCAATGAATTACAAGTTAGACATTTTCTAAAATAGCATTATTATCATTTGTAAATTCTTCAATTTTATAATATTCTTTTTCACAAAGAAAATATTTTATAAGACATTTGAACGTATGACTTAATGCTACGAAAATAGCCTGCTATTATTTTTCATTATTTTGTCCGCATTGAATGTGTACACTTGTGTAAGTAAGCTATTTTCAAACAATTTATTTTAAGGCGAATTTTGATTAAGTATAGGTATACGAATATATAGAAATATGGGTAACAACATAGAATCCGGTGGCTTACTGTTGAATATATTTATAATTAATATTGTTAGTTGATTAAGATTCTATAAATAAACATTCAAATAATACAGAAGGCGGAAATTTCAGCACAATGGACACATCTCTAGCAAATATAGTTGAACAACAAACTGTGCTCTTAAGGTCTATGCAGGAACAAATCGCAAGACTCATACAAAATCCGCAACCGGGACCGGCACAATATATAAATGTACCATGGCTATCACCAATAAAAACAAATATAGATCCTGAAGATGCATTCAAAACTTTTTATTCGTCATGGAAAAACTATTGTCGCGCTACACAAATGGAGGAATGGCCGGCCGACCAAGAACCAAGAAAAGTTAATATATTATTTAGTGCCATAGGTGAGGAAGCTTTAAAAAAATATGGTAATTTCGGAATTACAGACATAGACAAACAAACAAAAACGGCTGAAGAAATACTACATAGCATAAGCTCAAAAATGGTACCTAAAAAAACATCATATACAATAGATATACATTTTTAAGCAGAGAACAAATGCAGTATGAAAATTTTGAAGTATTCTATGCAGATTTATTAAAATTAATTGAAGATTGTGACTATAAAATGTTTAAAGTGGAAATGTTAAGAGATAAAATTGTTTTAGGATTAAGAGACATATCATTAAAAAAAGAATAGTTAAACAGGGATAACTTAACATTAAAAGAAACTATAAACTTATGCCGTGCAGCTGAAGCCTCTGATAAACAAATGAAAGATATGTATGTGTCATCTACTTCAGAAATTAAAAAAGTAGAAGAAAAAAGATTAAAAAAGGCAAATATAAATTTTGTGGAAATATTCATATATATAAAAAGGAATTATGCCCAGCCTGGGGCAAACAATATGAAAATTGTAAGGGCAGAAACCATTTGGATAAAGTGTGTAAAAAAAAGAAATCAATAAAGATGGTGAAGAATGTGACTGACAATGATATCAGTGATCTGACTGATTCGGATACAGATATTGAGTATATTATTAATAAAATTACAAATAATACACATAGAAGTGCAGCAAAATGTGTACTAAATTATCTAGTCAATAATAAATGGAAAACAACAGAATGCCTCCTGGATACAGCTGCTGATGAGTGTCTTACTGGTCTTCAAAATGGCCAACAAATGTTTGGCAAAGACTATGTTAAACAAAAGATACGACCATCAGTTTTGGTGGACACCATATTACTGTGCATGGGGAAATAGATATTATGCTAAAAACACAAACTAATAAAAACAATTACTCTCTAACATTCCAAGTTGTAGAAGATAATCATATTCCTCTATTGTCATGTAAGGCTTGCATCCAGATGGGCATTGTAAAATTTTGCAAGGAAGTTATAAGTCACTCCCAGGACATAGAAGAAATAAACAAAATATTAAATACATATGGATCACTATTTGAAGGCAGAGGGAGTTTTTCAGGTGAAATTGATCTAGAAATTGATCATGCAGTACCACCAAATAAAGTATTATACAAGTAATTCTGAAGGCTCGACGTGTCCCTATAGCACTGCGACCAATGTTGAAGGAGGAATTGAGAAGAGTAGAGGAGGAGGGTGTAATCACTAAAGAAGATAATCACACAGAGTGGGTAAGCAATATTTTAATCATTAAAAAGAAAGACAATTTTAGAATATGCCTAGATCCCATTCCATTGAATAGGGCTATACAAAGATCTAATTATCAGTTCACTACAATTGAAGAAATATTACCAGAACTAGGAAAAGCTAAAGTGTTCTCTACCTTAGACATTAAAAAGGGATTTTGGCATTTAAAGCTATCTGAAAAAAGCAGCAGGCTTACTACATTCTGGACTCCCTTCGGTAAGTACCGTTGGAAGGTTCTCCCCTTTGGTATTGTTTCAGCACCAGATCATTTTCAAATAAAAATGAGTGAAATGATTCAAGGGTTAAATGGAGTAGAAGCGCTAGTAGATGATTTGCTTGTGTATGGAGTTAGAGATACAATGGCTGAAGCTATCATAGATCATAATAAAAACTTGAAACAGTTATTTGACAGATTAGTTAAATTCAATTGTAAACTAAACAAAGCTAAAACCAAACTTCTTCAGACATCTGTAAAATATAATGGTCATATATTCACTAATAAAGGTCTTCAACCAGATCCATCTAAAATTGAATCAATCACAAACATACCAATACCAAAAAACAAAAAAGAGTTACAAAGGTTTCTGGGTGTTGTGACATATCTTAGTAGATTTATCCCTAATCTGAGTGGTGAATCATTATATCTAAGACACTTGACATATGAAAAATAATTTGGATATGGCATAAAATAGCTCAAAAAGAGTTTGACAAACTGAAGTCTATAATATGTAACTTAAAAACATTGAAATATTATAACAAAAATGAACCACTTGTCATTGAATGTGATTCCAGTGAAGGAGCTCTGGGTGTGGCATTGTTCCAGCAAAATCAACCATTTGCATATGCGTCACGATGCTTGACACCCACTGAAAGGAAATATGTACAAATTGAAAAGGAACTCCTCGCAGTGGTTTTCGCCTGCACAAGGTTTGATCAGTTAGTTATTGGCAATAAAAAACAATTATTAAGACAGATCATAAACCATTATTAAACATTTTCAAAAAGTCTCTTCTTCATGCTCCAAAAAGACTTCAATCAATGCTTTTAATGTTACAAAGATATAGTCTAGAACTGCAATTTGTATCTGGAAAAGAAAAGATTGTGGCAGATGCATTATCTCGATTTTATTTAGATTGTAAAGATATTGATAAATCAAAAAATATGAAAATATTTAAAATTGTAGCAAGACAGCTGTGTTCAAGAAATTGAGAATGCAACATTGAACGATCATAACATGACAGTCCTAAAGAAGTATTTATTACAGGGATGGCTAAAATATTTGAAAGATATTCCCGATGCTATTAAATCATTCTACAACTTAAAAAGTGAGTTAACTCTTTACCACGGTCTTATATTAAAAAACCAGGCTATGGTGATACTTGAAAGTTTATGAGAAAAAATGTTAAATAAACTGCATAAGGCACATTCAAGAATCGAAAAAACCTTAAAGCTAGCCCAGGATGCAATTTTTTGGCCATCTATGTCCAATGACATTAAGGACCTAATTAAAGGTTGCACATCATGTATAAAACATCAACCAAGTCAACAAAAATTTACTATGCAAAGTCACAAAATACCTGAATATCCATTCCAAATAATATCTATGGATGTTTTCTTCTTCAATGAAAATGGAAAACAGTCAAAATATTTAATAACGGTTGATCACTACTCGGATTTTTTTGAAATTGATAAGATTAAAGATTTATCATCTAAACCAGTAATAGAAGCCTGTAAAAGAAATTTTTCACATCACGGTGTGCCAGAAATAGTAATTACGGATGGTGGAACTAATTTCATCTTTCAAGAATTTTCAGCTTTTAGTAAAAAATGGAATTTTATACAAGTAACATCTTCTCCCCATCACCCTCAAGGAAATGGTAAAGCTGAAGCAACAGTGAAAATAGCAAAAAAACTGCTATTGAAAGCTACAGAAAGCGGAGAAGATTTCTGGTCAAGTCTACATTGCTTAAGAAATACTCCTAACAAAATAAACTCTAGTCCTGTACAAAAATTATTTTCACGTAGAACAAGAGGTTTTTCACTAGTTATTAAAGATTTGCTAAAACCAAATGTAATCAAAAATGTAGCAGAAACTATTAAGAGTAACAAGGAAATGATCAAATACTCTCATGATAAAAAAGCAAAAAAAGCAACTACATTAGAAATAGGACAACCCGTAGTAGTTCAGATTCAACCATCTTCAAATAAATCTTGGACTCCAGGAATAATTGATTAACAGATATTCTTTCAGATCGATCATATCTTGTTGATATAAATGGGACAACTTACAGAAGAGACTTAATACACATACGTCCATTTTTACCAAATTCATTAGATAAACCCCATAAGCAAGATATCACTGATATGACTACAAATATTCAAGAATATTTGTAGTCATATCAGTGATATTATACTCGGATCCGAGTGGGAGGCACCGCCACTATGGCCCTGCCATACTCGAATCCGAGTGGTGAGCACTGAATATGTTTAGCCCTTGCGTCCTCTGTTAATTGTCTAATTCTTCTTACCGCATAAGCGGCAGAACTAAGTCTATTCGTCAATTTCGAAATATGAACACCCCAATGCAATTTGGAAACACAATATAATCAACAAAGTTAATAAGTTTATTGTTCAATACGATTTTTGAGTCCACCTTCCTTACATTGGAGAGCGTAAATTTAATACACTTTGTGTTGTGCAAGACATTACCTACCCCGCTACAGCTGGTAACATTTTTGAAAATTAGACATTTACACCTGTGAAATCGCCTCCGATATTAATAAACAGTCTAGGTAGATATAGATAAAAGTTCACAAAATTAGTTAGGTAGGTAAAAGATACCTACTTACCTATACATATTATATTAACATACTACAAATAAAAACATACACATAAAAAAGTGGGATACGGTTCGGTATAAATGAGAACACATTTAATACTAGCTGTTCCCGCGACTTCGTCCGCGTGGAATATAACTTTATTTTTCTAAACTAAAAGTATCCTAAGTTACTCCTTATTACATCAGCTACCTGCCAAAAAAGGTTCCGTCAAAATCGGTCCAGCCATTTCAGAGATTAGCCGTAACAAACAAAACTGACAAAAATTGTAAAAAATGTTATTTTGGTGTATGTGCCGTATTTATATTCATATGCTTGTAGTAACAAACGATTATATCAATATTACAGACACTCCAATTTTATTTATATGTATAGATTAGTATTTTCCACAGAAGATATTTTCCAGCTAAAATTATATGAATTCGATGATTATATGAATGAATTTCGAAATTCTTCCTAATCTCCTTGTACACACAAGGAGATTAGGAAGAATTTCGAAAGTAAAATCACTGGATATGTTTGAAAAATTAAAACAAAAGAAATGGCATTACATTAGGATATGTGTTTAAAAACTCTATGTAATGTAATTATCATCTAAATAAATAACAGTACAGTGCAATAATACATTGTTAGTAAAATAAATATATTTTTTTAACTCTTTCTAATTCCTTGAAAAGCCCGCCAGTATTGGCCAGTAACAAAATGTCACTGTTAGTGTTGCTATTAAGTGATTTTACCCTGTTTTACAATATCAATTGTTGGTAGTCAAAATCAAATCAACGTTTTAATTTTTAAATAAATTTTTGTAACGGATCAAAAACAAAATGGTAAAGATAAAGATGATAATAAAAATAAAGAAAGGACCGCATAAAATATTCTAATATTTTATTGTAGATTGTTTACAATATTTATCATCAAACACAAATGGTGTTTATTCTATCTTTCATAATATTTTCAGTATTTTATTAATATGTATATATGAAAGATTTAGATGTTCCTCTCCAAAAATGAAGTGGATTGGTCATACTTTATTAGCTACTCTGGTTATATTTTTTGGCTATTAATAATATCCAAAGCCGTAAAGATACTTAATAAAAAAATAAACCGTCTAAATAAAAAAGTCTAGTGAAATTTCAACAACTTGTCAAATTTTAATCTTTCATCTGAGTAAATATTTTATTGATCGTACTCTATTACTTTTCAGCAATTTACACATAGCTGATCTGTAAAAAGTGTAAAATTTTCTTGGATAGGAAATAAAAAGATTCAATTATTTGTGGGCCAGTACTAAAAACTCATAAAGTAAGTAAAGAGTATTGATCGATGTCTATTATATCGTTATTATCCTGACCTATTTTCTATATAGTATATGTACAGGGATAATTGAGTAATTTATATGTTTTTCCCTGTTTCTGATTGATTTTCTATAATCATTTACAATTAACTGCTTGATTGGTCATACTATTTAGTATTTCATCTTAATGTTGATTACATTGATATATGTTCTCTACGTATAATCATAAATTTGCATAAATATGCCTATGTATCTTAAAAAATACAATGCAAGCATATTATTGTTTTGTAATTTCTACGCTATTTTGCTCAGGATTTCCTTTAAAGGTTTTTTTAATAATTTCTGTCAATCCATTTGCAGAATAGCATCTATCTTATTTTTCATTTTGCCCTTTACTGTTCAATATCAAATTCCTGCTGGAAAATTTAAATTTTTAAAGAATTAAAAATTATTCTTAAATATATTTGGGTACTAAAAGTCCCATGATTTTTGAGTAAAGTGATAAATACAATTGCATGTGCTCTAGATGCAGCTCACATCAGATCCACGACGTGCAGACAGAGAGAGGCGTTACAAGCCACCACCCCCGACAACAGCTCCAACTGAAGATCTTACAACTGATTATATGAATATACTGGGTAAACATAAACTATACACAATAAAATCATGTAAAACAGATAGTTGCATATTGTATGATCAATGTAATACTGCACTAATACAGATCTGTGCATCCCTCTTAAACCCTATTACCATCTTGTTACGAATTTTATCCTTATTTAAAACAAAAAAATTAGGTCACATTCAGCCTCTTCACTTTCAGTGGCTGCGACAGACACAGACATTAAAATTTTGAGTCAATTTCCTAAAATTAAATTTTTTGAGTTAATGCACAATTTTTGTCCTCTTTTTGTCTAAACATCTGATGATAAATGTCTACTTTTGTCTATAAACAAAAAAATTATTATATGTAATATAGAAAAATAATAATTGTTTATATTTTGACAATGTACTTTAATTACATTTCTAGTAATAGTAGAGTTTAAAAATAACTAATTATTAATTAATCTCCTATTATTAGATTGTACATAGAATACCAAAATAAAATTAATCTTATTTGTTTATTTATAGTCAATTTAAAAAATTGCTCATACATTTCAGGTATGGTGTTTTCTATGTGTGGGCTCATGATGCGTCTAAAATGGTGTGCTTGGACAGCTGTTTTTTGCTCTAGTATCAGTTTTGCTAATTCAAGAGTGTCTGATGATACTAAACAGGTATTGAAAAATTTTAATACATCTGAAATTACGGTGACTTTAGTTTTATTTGAATAATTGTGATAAATTATTAATCTATACATATAAATAAAATTGGAGTGTCTGTTTGTGATATTGAAATAACCGTTTTTTACTATGTGCATATGAATATATATACAGTACGTATAACAAAATAACATATTTTATAATTTTTGTCTGTCTGTCGGCCTGTTTGTTCCAGCTAATCTCTGAAATGGCTGGACCGATTTTGATTCGATTTTGTAGCTAATGTAATAAGGAGTAACTTAAACTACTTTTATTTTAGAAACAAAAAAAAATTAGAAAAATAAAATAAAATCCCACACGGACTTATTTTTAAATTCTCACATTTAGGACACATTATCAATATAGTTAAATCAATTTGAACACAAATAATTTTGTGATAAATTAAATATTTTCCTTTGTCAATGTTTCAACTAGGTAGCAATAGCCATGGTCACAAGCTGACTGAAGTGTATTGACATACTAATAACATACTGTTACTATACTAATAACTTATCCATTTATATAACTTATTGTATATAAATGTAGGCAGTAGTAATAAAGATTAATAAATATTCACAGGTTCAGTTAGATTAATGGAATGACAGTAATTACTTATTAATTAAACTGATCATTATTGCTAGTAAATCTATTATCTAACAGCATCTTGTAACTATAACAATTATTCTTTTCAGATTGTAAGCTCCTTCATGCTGTCAATATCAGCTGTAGTGATGTCATACCTTCAGAATCCTGCACCTATGTCGCCACCATGGGCTGCACTCATAACATAGAATAATAATTATTATATAGCATAATTCTTATAGGTTTGTTATTACTACTAAACAATAAAACAAATTTAATTTAATTTATTAGTCTTATTGTTTGTTCCTTCCATGTACCATCCGCCATACTAAGTAATCTTTAATTAACATGCAATACTTTAGTCTTTTATAAAATGCATAGTCATCACAATATTTCGCTTGCAAACCGTTGTTTACTGCTGATGTAGATTAGTTAACAGACTCTATTCAATCATTTTAAGGACAGTACATCTCGCAGAGGTCGTCCCACAACTCATCTGTCTGTACGGAATTGCCAAACTTCATCTCCGGTTATCAGCTACTCCTCTTTATTTTATATTGTGATCCTGAAAACTTCCTTTGTGTATAAAAACTAAATAAGAATAGAGGTAGATATTAAAAACACTAACATTGGGCATTTTGTTGAAGTCAGTTATTTTTTTCCCATTGATGCAATCTATATAACATCCATATCATTAAAACCATGAATTTCAGAGGAATATTGAAAAAAATTTGAAACAAAAAGGTGGTAATTTGGCAACACTGTCTACATAGTCTGTTACACTCTGTGATCAATAATTCTGTCTAATCTGTGACTGTGGTGGTCAAATTTGAAAGAAATTATTCCATTTCACATGCCTCTTTACAAATACAATTTCTTGTAAATGTAATTAAATAAAAGTAAAATTATACATTTTATTATTTGTATCTATAATCGCTTCTAATTTCATATTGGTACTTACAAGTACATATTATTATTTATCAGGTGAGTGCTATTGTTTCTAAACTTCACGAGAGGTTAATAACCAACAAATACAATATTATATTAAAATTAGTATGACATAAATACAGCAATTAATCCTAATTTCATATGAATATTAGAGGTGTTAGTTCCTGACCGAAGAAATTGGTATCTGTTATAATCTGTAACCTAACCTATTTTGCTGTGTCCAATTTTCATATGCTATCACAGTTTGTTACGTGGACCTGCAATATGTATCTAAACAAAGTTCCCTGTTGAAACGTATTGTTAATAATAGTGTTAATGATAGTTTCAACGTAGGTAATTATAATAAATTAGTTATAAAGGAGTGTTAAGAATCGCAACCCGGCCGCATATGCCGAAATGTTAGAAATCTATGGCATTTTGATCTCTACGAGAATTAGTGTGATAATTGACTGGAGACACCAAGATTGGTGCTGTAACAAAAAGTAAGTGTAATTTTAGAATCATACATTTTTATTTCCAGGATGCCTCCTAAGAAGGTTGAAGAACCCGAAAAGAAGCCTCTTATTGGAAGAGTAGGAACTAATTTAAAAGTTGGCATTGTTGGGGTCCCCAATGTTGGGAAGTCGACATTTTTTAATGTGTTAACAAAAAGCCAAGCAGCAGCAGAAAATTTTCCATTCTGCACCATTGATCCCAATGAAAATAAGTATTTAATTTTAATATTTTAGCTGTGATTATTATCTATAACTTGTTTCTTCAATGGCAAGTTTGCTTCACTACCCTAGTAGTAGTACCTACCAGAACTTTAACAGGTTTATTATTTCATGGTAGCAAAAATAAGATAGCTTTATAACACACTCACACAAGTTATAAATACAATCTGTTCTGGTATTGAACATTCATTCGCCTTGCTGTTCTTCTTTGTGAATGATTAAATTAACAAGTTTGAAGAAATATATTTAGATAGCGATAAAAATAGAGTTATAAGGTAGATATGGCAACTACTTTGTGTTCTCTACTCTATTTATATATATATGTACATAAAATTCAAAGAGCTTAAAACTACATCCCATCAAAAACATAAATGTGAAATGATAGCCGAGTTTAATATTATGATATATGCCTTGATTGTTGACTTCTACGACAAAAGAGATGAGATCTAAAGGGATGCCAAGTTCAATGGTCTGTCCTGAAATGTATTTATAACAATATAAAATATCATTTCTTCTTATAACTTAGGATAATATACTGTAGCCTAAGGTCTAACTTGGCCAGTTCTCATATACCAATTATTACTTTCGATTGCTAGTTACTATTAATATTAAAATAGGAACCGACAAGTAACATAACAGTATATTTCGTATATGAAAACTAGCCAAGTTAGACCTTAGGCTACAGTATATTATCCTAAGTTATAAGAAGAAATGATATTTTATATTGTTATAAATACATTTCAGGACAGACCATTGAACTTGGCATCCCTTTAGATCTCATCTCTTTTGTCGTAGAAGTCAACAATCAAGGCATATATCATAATATTAAACTCGGCTATCATTTCACATTTATGTTTTTGATGGGATATCATTACTTTTTGTACATAAATTATACGAGGTACTTATTTATAACTAAATTAATAACAAATTATATTTGATAAATTACTGTATTTTCGTATATTTACGGGGTATAATTGTCTTTTTTTTGTGTTATTTTCTATATTTTCTTGTAACTTTTAAATGTTCAAGTGCAATGCCAATTCAGTATCAGGAATTTTTGGGCAAATCGGGGCGGTATAACGTCCACAGATGGTTGTACTCTACAATAGAGCTCTCGTGACTTGGATCTAAATTGTTAAGACGTACTCCATCTAAGGTTTTAACTCTGGAGAGTCCAACGTAAACCTGCCCTTTAATAAATATAGAGGAGGCTATGTTGAGAAGAGGACTGCCAAAACTAAGGCCTTGTGATTTGTGGATAGTAATAGCATATGTTAAGCAAATACGGAATTGTTCTCTTTCAACATATACATTATTTAATATCTGAAACTTGGTATTGACACGTTATAGTTAGTAAAGACGACTATGTAACAAATTGACTGTTATCTATTGAATTCTCAAGAAAACAATTTGTTACCAATGAGTTCTCATTCTCGAGTTAACTATACATTCCTACTTATAACTATACTAAAATTGTTATTAATTTTTGGTTTAAACTATTGTCTATACCATACGTATTTACTAAAATAATGTAATAATAATATAATCACAAATATATAAGTATAATTTAAGGAAGCTATAAATTTCGTAGCATAAATCGCAACCTTATAGGTTAGATATCGAGAAACAAAACATTGAGACATATGAGGGCGGCTGCCATTCGCTCGGACAGGTTCGCGTCAACGTTTTATCGCACCGCTCCCACACGCCCTATACCGAAATGCCTATTATTTAATAATTATTTATAAAAATAATGATTTTACACTATCGATGTGCGCTAAATATTGAAACAATAATTAATACCAAATCTCAGTTAATAACATAATAAATACGAAATTCGACTATACTCCTAGTTATAAGTACGAGTATATTTTAGACAGAATCTAAATTATAGCAACTAGTGTTTACCGCTCAATGCAATATTTGAAGTTTGCTAGTTATCGACACTGATGTGAAGGGGTCAACGTAAATTGGTAATGATCGACGTTTTCATACAATATTACTTTCCGTCCAGTACAAGATGAGATATTTCGCCAGGGATCAATATCAATTGGTGGCTATCGACGTTTTCATAGAATTTTAGTATTCGTCCAGTATAAGTTGAAATAGAATCAATTAAAGTGAAAAATTGTAGTAAAATGATAACAATTTACCAGTTTCAGATTTTTTCCTTTATATTCACCTAATTACCTATCTGCATACCAAATTTGAACTTCCTAGGTCATCTGGAAGTGGGTTATAATTTTGATCTATAGTTGATCAGTGATAAAAATGACGATTTTTGGACATTAATATCGAAATAACCGTTTGAGATATGTTTATGAAATTTGGAACACATATTTATCTCGCAAGTCTCAATATATGAACCAAATTTGACAGGTTTATGTGAAAGAGTTTTTGAGTTATGAGGGGGTCAAAAGTGGCTCCAAATGGTTCGTGTAAATATACACACGGTGCTGCAGGCCAGTTTACTTGAAATCGGCTTGACACGCTGCCGCGTGTCTACATATTGAAGCAAACCTGTAATGCACCCTGGTTTATTCGTAACTCTGAGGTTCATCACCACCTGGGGATCAACTCTCAAGGAGGAAATCTCTCAAACAATAAAAAAATATAAAATCAAGCGGAACAGACATCCAAATAAACTTGCTGTTCAACTGACATTGCCTGATTATATGACACGTCTTAAGAGACATAAAATACCAGACTTCAACAACCTGGCATAAGCTGGAATATCTAAGGCTGGATTTTACTATCAGTCATGAACTAAGTTACAAAAATAATTAGTAATTTTGAATTGAACCTAATTTATATGATACCACGCATTAATCAGCAGAACTAACATCAATTAGAAATTTTTCTTTTCTGGCCTTTTTTCAAAAAATGAAAAAATATTTCCTTTCATTCATTTTATATATTAGCCAATCTAGATACTGTCAAGTAAGTTGCATTTTGGTGTTTTCTGGGGTGCTGTACTATGGTATATGGTTGATATAAATATATGTATAAAGATATATATGAACATATGGATAAAGAAATACCATAAAATTATCTCCCATCAACATTTAAACAAACCTAAACAAAATTTTATACGGTAATATTACAATTGTAACCTTTTTGGAATTTCTATACAGTGAATTAATAACTTTAGTTTAATTATGAGTATTATATTACTGTCATTATTGTGACAACTAAAGACAAAAATAATTTTATACGGAAATCCTTATTCTAAAATGATAAGATTTGAGAATTATAAAGATAATTTGGTTATTTATGACAAATATGATTTGCAAAATTTTGAAATCAAGAATTGTATGCTATATAATGGACCCATGCATATTATTGATAAAAGGGTGCCTATTAATACAGATTGTAAAGTTAAGCCATTAGCTTCAGCAGTGCTGGGTATAAATAATACAACAATACCACTTCCAGATAATACAGAATTTTGTGACTGTTGGACAGACATTGATGCACAGGAATTATATCTAACTGCAAAACCTACATGCTATTTAATTCTGAATAAACCTGGTGCAGGAGCATATTCTCTTGGTGAGGCAATTTCAAAGAAATACAACTGCGTTCATTTGTGTCCATGGAATGTTATCAATGATGAAATAGAACAAGCAAGTTTGACTGGAGACTGTTTAGACTTTAATTTCAGACTTGGTAATGTGTTGAAATTTGATAACATAATGACCATAATAAAAAGGAAATTAGAATCGCCTGCAGTAAAGCATAGAGGCTATGTTTTATCAGGATTACCTCTTGTGACATCCAGTAGAGATTTATTATACTTTGTAAATACATTGTATTCAGAAGAAGCAATAAAAGTAGTGAAGGATTTATTACTAGATTTAATTTGTAACTTAAAGAAAAGGAAACCAAGAAAAACGAAAAATAATTTGGCATCCCCTGTTACTTCATATAGTAGTGAAGTAATAATAGGTGAAGAGGATGAATCTGAAGAGGAACAACATGCAGAAGAAATACAAGAAACTAATGAACAAGCAGTTGCATTGCCTAAATTTTTACTTGAACCTTGTTCTAATGTTTTTTTACCTAAAAAGACTTTTTGTGGTACTAAGCAAACTATAGTACTTGAACAATTAAATGAATTGTTCAATTTAGCAATGAAACCAGACATTATAGTTTACTTGACTTGTACTGATATTGATTTAGTAACCAAAAAGAATCATAAATATTTAAATTATTTAAATAATTTACATAGCATTACACCTTTTCTTGTAAAACAGGAATCAGAAACTAGATGGCCAGAAAGATATTCAATTAGTGACTATTTGACACCTTACGATTCTCATAATTTTAACCCTAAATACAATTGCCAGCATCCAATGAATTTTGTAGAGAATTCAATAGACCAGTTATATAACTATAAACAAATTATTTTACCATATCTGGAAAAAAAACTTGGGGATTTTAATCATAAGCATGTTATAAAGTTGGATGCACGAACTTCAACATATTGTATGATTCATATTTTAAATGAGATATTTTTTACTTTGCCAATAAAACCTGTTCTTATACCTAAACCTCTTTATATCGAAGAACCCCCACAAGATATTGAAGATTTTTGGAGATTGGTTAATGAATTAAATGTCATTAATTGTGGGGTTATTAAATTTAGTTGTCACCCATCTCCTTGGTTTAATAGATGTCCTGTACAACTTAAAAAAAGGCAATCTGTTTTAGGAAATACCAAATTTGCTGTTAGCTTCTTTAAGCATGTTTATCTTTTATCTTCCTTAGAATCCATGATAAAATTTTGTAGAAATCCTCGTCCATTTTTAAAACTGAATTATTTAGAACCCACATGTAGAATAATAGTGTTAGGAACTAGGTCTTCAGGTAAAACTATGATTTCACAATGTCTCTCCTGGATTTTTGATGCTCCTGTTATAAGTTATGAATTATTTTTACAACAGCAAAAATGGAAAAAATATGATAGTTTTGCAAGAACTATATTATCTGAAATAATAGCTACAATAGAGGATACCAGATATGAGAAATGGCAACAGATGGAAACGGACCGACTTGCGAAGCTGGATTTATGGCTAGATTTAAATTTACCTCTTTTAAAAAAATATATATCTTTATTAACTGTATATCTGAATTCTATGCAGCAAAAGAATAATGAAATGGAAGAACAAACTGAAGTACCAGATGCAATATTTCTGAACAAATTAAAATTCTTAAAGGATTGCTTGTCATTTCTACCATTTTTAGATAATATTGAATTATGTAAAACTGTTGTTAATGAAAAGAATTTAATTCAGTATGCTCCTCTTGAATTAACCACTATTACAAAGAAACCTATGATACCAGTCCTAGGTGATAAAGATGTAACACAAGCTATCACAGCCTACATTGTAGCTAATGATTTACAACAGGAAATTGAACCTACTATTGAAGAATTGGTAAGGGAAATAATTAATCTATTGTCAAGTTTGGACAAAGAAATGCAAATGAATACAGATTTTGATAAATGTTATGGAAAATATGTAATAGACGGATTTCCATCTGATCCAGAATATTGGAATTATCTTAGTGAATCAAATATGTTACCTGACAATACTATTGCAGTAATAGAGAATAAAGATGTTGAGCCAGAAATTTTTAAGCATTATTTAGAAATTGAAAAGCACCTCAAGAATCATCAAGAAAGATTTATTTTAGCAAATGATCCACTCATTAAAACGGAACTATTAAGAAACAAAGTGGTTGATACCAAAGAGATAGATATTCAAATAATTATTCACGATTTAGTAAATACTGCTTTTGATTCTACATCTGTTACACAAACAGATTTTGAAAGCAATTCAATTTCCGAGAGTCTACAATCAGATTTGTCATCATTTGTCGAATCTTTGGATAAATTTCGAGAAAACTGGGATACTGTAAAATTAAAATTAGAGGAATACTCTAAATGTTTTATTGAAGTAGAGCTTGATCTTAAAACGGATATCGAAATAGTTGAAGAAGTTTTATTAAAATTACGTAAGAGTTATTATATAACTCCCGAAATTCATGAACATGATGAAAATGAAATACTAGATGTTGAAGATGAACTGCCAAAAGATATCCTTACGTATAATGATGCCCAAAAATTATGTGAAACTAATATATATTGTCCAATAGCTTATCATAAATACGGCACATTGTGGGAAGGTAAATCAGAATTCAGTATTAAATATGACAATAAAATTTACTATTTTTGTAACGAGGAATCTTTAGAATTATTTCAAAAGGATATAACTACATATCAACATTATAACGATCCTTTTAAACGTCTACCTCCATTGAGAATATGCATAATCGGTAGTATTGGTAGTGGTAAAACAACTGTTTCAAAATGTATAGCTAGAGAATTGGGTTTGATCCACTTAGATTTCTCAGAAATAGTCCATGAATATTTAATACCAAAACATTACAAAAAAGTGGGACGACAATTTGAAAATAGTTTTACTGATATGCCAATAGATGAAGAAGGCGTATTAGAATTCCAAATGGGTGAAGAAAACGAAAATTTAGCTTCAGATATATTATCAAACGAAATGGAATTACGCCGTATGGTATATAATTATTTTGAAAAAGGAACACCTATAATGTCTCTATTAATGCAAAAACTAATTAAAAAAATATGGTTTGATGATCCTTATAGGGTAACAGGTTTTGTGTTGGATGGTTATCCTAGATTACCAGCTGATGTACATGATATGATAGCATGCTTCTGTATTCCAGACTTAATAATTGAATTGGAATCTAATTCAGAAACAATGTTACAAAGGATGTCACCTCATATGTTTAGAACTTGGAAAAATCAACTGAATGATACTAAAACAAGAGCCAAAATAAAATTCGACATAGAGAAAAAGAAGTGGAGTGATTTTATTACGAAGAATGTCGTTATTAAACTAATTTGTGATGAACTTATAGAAAATATATTCTTCCCTGAAAGGTCACTTGCGCTAGCTGTCTCTAAAGAAAGTGTTATAATGGATGCTAATCCATCAGGATCTTCTAATGTAGATGCTAATCTATTTAATAATTTTAATGAAATGGTTCAGATGTACCCGGAACCTATAGATCAAAGTGAATGGGAAAAACCAAACGATGCCCGTGAAAGGCTGAACTCGAGATTAGAAAGTATTTTCGAAATAGACGATGAAAATATTCTAACATTGAAGGATGTGTTAACAGAACAAAAAATTAAACTAACATCAGTCGATAGCACAAAAAGTTTACACAAAGTTCTGACAGTTACTTTATCTAAGTTAACAAAGCTAAGACATCGCTGCGAATCGTTTTTTGAACAAACATTTATAGTTGACTGTGACATCGCAGAATTGTTATTATTGGAAGGCTTTTATTTTTTAAGTAAATTTAATCGGTTTTGTCCTGTACACATATATGAAAACCCAAATGCTGTACTGAATCCATATAAAATAAACAAACGTAAGAGTAATATATTTCCGATAATATATAGATCTTACATTTACTTTATTATTAGCGAAGAATATGTGCAGAAATTCAGGCAAAATCCGCTCAAATACGTACAAAAAAGTCCTATGAAACTATATTTGGATTATCCTCTCAGAATTGGAATAATTGGACCACCAAAATCTGGGAAAAGTATCTTAGCAAGAAGGTTGTCGAATAAGTATGGATTATTATGTCTTTCCAAAGGCATGGCTCTAAGGTATATATTAGAAAATATGTACTGGACTGAATTAGCTTCTAGAATTATGAAAGCGTTGCGCGACGGAGAATTAGTTAATACTGATCTTGTAGTAAAAGCCATACAAACTATCACAATTGATCATCGCGTTATTACCAACGGATTTATAATGGATGGGTTTCCTGAAACATGTTCCGAAGCAGTGGAACTGTCAAGAATAGGTCTCTATCCACTTATAATGTTTGATATATCTGCAACAAAAAATAATGTATTGGAGAATTCACAAAATGAAGTTTATTATAATATTTTAAAAAATAAGCCACCCTACTCGTTTCCTTTCATTGAATACCGATATACGAAATGGTTTGAAACTAGTCATCGAATTAGAGATTGGATAAACAAGGACTATCAAAATATTTACGTTATTGACGGAAACCAATCAAGATGGCAATGTTTCCGAGACGCTGATAATATTATTAAAGAGATAATTAATAAAGTTCTTAATTATGTTAATAACGTAAACTTAAATATTGTACCCGCCGATGTCATGTGTATTTCTAATGATCTTTTTCGAGAACGAATGTCAAATTTTAAAAATATGTGTCCACTATGTTTACAAAAAAATGTTTTAAGTCATAACACTTACGTCTTAGATAAAAAAGGTATAGTACAGTATAGAAATATATTTTATTGGATTTGTAAGGATCACATGGGAGAAGTTTTGAAAAATCCTCATTTTTATCTAATCAACCAGAATGTTGATATTCCTGAACTCCCTGTTATAATACATACAATAAATTATTCTTTCGTTTATGAAAATGGAATTTGTATAGTAACTTATGCTGAAAATTTACCGGCCCAAAAAATTGAAAGGGGTAATAAAAATTATGCAGTGAATTTTCATGGAAAAATATATTTATTTTGCAGCCCTGAATGTCTGCGTAAATTCATGGCTAGACCTCATATATACTCTGACATCTCCGTTTTTAAAGAGCATAATTTTTTCCCGACGCTCACATTGAGAAAATTGCCTAATTTGGGTTATTTAGAACAAACTGTTGGTAATATTATAACTGATGCTTGTTGTTCAGTTAATGTGTTGAGACCAAAATATCCAGGACTTAATATTAAGGTGTCCGCATTGTTGTATGTAGCTTTGTATTTAAAAATTAATAATCCTGCTTTAGATTCATCTGTTATAAATATATATATTAAAATCCTTAATACATATAAAGCTCGATGTAAATTGATGATAGATATTGGATCGCGCTTAAGAGCAATAGATAACCCCTTCACAAAATATCCTATATGTTGCTATTTAAATAATTCTGATTCCGGAACGGTACGCAAACCTTCCACAATTGAACAAAGTTCTACGAGTGTCTCAGAATATCTAGACTATATGTTACCTAGAATACAATAATTGTACTAAAATATATGATAATTATACCACAATAAACGTAACTCTTAGTTTGTAGTTTTAATTGTCTTATCTCCTATGGGTCACCACCATACCCTTATCGTGACACTGATCATAAAAGAGGAATTAAGTCTCTCTCTAAATTAACTACACTGTCTATGGGCAAGGAGTGTCCACAGTTTTTATTTCGAACTTCTCTTTTCAAGTGCTTGCAACTTACCTTCTTCTATCCCTCCTTATGAGAAGATTCAGAATTATTGTCTATTTTCAAGTATGTAATTAAATAAACTAGGTACAACAAACCAGTTTATTGAATAGCAATTGCGATTATAACTTTGTTATTATTCATAAACCTAACAATATTATTTCTTTCAGCAAGTAGGGTACCAGTCCCAGATGAGAGATTTGACTATCTTTGTGAATACCACAAGCCTGCCAGGTGCTTATTTTTGTTATTATTATCTATTTCCAATTCCCTCAGTTGATTATTAATTTGTAATATATAATAGAATTTAAATAAAAGTCTTTAAACTAGTTATTTTAATAAAAAATAATTAATTCCGACGAAGCCGCGAGTAACAGCTAGTATCTAATATAAGTAATTGAAATTATTTCCATATTTTTTTAATTAACTGCATACAATTTTATTGATATTTATTTACAAGAATTATTGTGCCTAGTGTTTGTATATTTAATTTTCAGTAAAGTACCAGCATTTTTGAACGTAGTTGATATAGCTGGGTTGGTGCGCGGTGCTGCTGAAGGTCAAGGTCTGGGCAATGCTTTCTTGTCACATATTAAAGCCTGCGATGCTATTTTCAATTTATGCCGTGAGTATAAACATTATTTATTATTATTCAGAGTTAAAATATTTAATTTTACATTAATCACACCCTTATAACATAAATTGTATCTAAAGGTTTTGAATAGAAATACGTAGAAAATGCATAGTCCAAAAATCAAGGTTTGGATCATGGTCATGGATAGTGCGTGCGATAAAACACTAATTCTAAATTGTCTAGGTAAGACAAATTGCACCAGGGTCCTACACCACTAAATTAAATTACATTACAGGTGCATTTGATGATGAGGACGTCATTCATGTTGATGGTGACGTTAATCCTGTAAGAGACCTGGAAACCATTGGCGAAGAGCTGAGGCTCAAGGATGAGGAACAACTGTTGCAAAATCTAGAAAAGTTAGACCGTGTAGTTAACCGCGGCAATGATAAGAAACTCAAGCCAGAATATGTATGTATTATTAATTAATTGTTTCTATTGTCATAAACTAAAAATATTAATTAGATTTTAATAAGTATATCATAAGTTTTTCATGTTGAATTACCGTACCAATTTTCGCTTAAGTGCTGTGCCATAAGATGCATGCAGCTTACCGTCCACATTACGGCTGTCGCATGCAGATTACACGTTGGTTAGCCGCTAGCATATTTATACAAGAGCAAGGAAAAAGCACAATATAAGAAGAATTGGAATGACAGATTTTTTGAAGAAACGGAATAACTTAGTAACGAACGATTTAGAGATGGCACGTTTTTAAAATTAGCATTAACAATGTCGTCCGTTTCAAATATTTCACACGAATCCCAAAAGTCGCTTTTGATATGCTCAATTGGATAATGTTAGATTAAATTACATATTTTAACATCATCCTCCGCCATTTTGTTATTAAACTGCATGCATTGTTGCACGTTAACCCACCGCTGACGAATCATCGTGCACTAACATTCGCTGTCATTGTTATGTTACGTTTACATTCAGCCGCTTGCCTCCCGCGCTGCCGCAAATATTGCCGGGCGACAACTGAGCGAGAGGGCTGAATGTAAGACACACGCTGCCACTCGCGCTGCCAGTCCTTTGACTCGCGCACGAAAAACCCACAATCGAGGGAGCGCCGGGCAGCGCGTGTGGCAGCGCCAATGGCATGGGAAGTATAGTGTATACACTCTCGCGCTACTCACTTCCCTGCCCACTCATTGATTTTCTTGTGAGTGATTATTAAAAATAATGAACGTACTTGCATTAACGGTATATGCTGACCTCTGAAAAGATGACAGTATGAATATGAAGTCAGAAGAAATACTCCATTGTAGCGAACTCGCCACAATATTTCCTTGGGACTGTGTGGAAATTTATAATATAAATCCAGTAGCACACAATACAAATAGTTCTCCCTTGTCTCATTTATATTGTTGTGTAATAAATTCGACAAATCATCACGGATTTTAATTGTTATTGTATGTTTTCAGGATGCACTGAATAAGATTAAATCTATTTTGGTGGATGAAAAGAAACACATTAGATTCGGTGATTGGAGTGCTGCAGAAGTAAGTTTTGTTTTGTGTCCAAGTTAATATATTACACATTTATTTGAATAATTTATACAGTTTAGAAATTACATGTTTTTTTTTTAATACAAATAGATACTTTGCATAATATTATTTATTTTTTACTTGATTGATATAAGGATTGTTGTTATATTTCATAGTGATTAAAACTTCATGAGGTATATGGACGTATAGCAATTTCTAGCACTGTTTCTTTTTGAAAAATGTTCAGTCTTCCAGATGGACATAGGCACATACATTTGTAAAAGACAAAAGCGTCAATAGACCTTTATTATAATATATATATATATTATTGAATATTTTCAGGTAGAAGTACTGAATAAATACTTATTCCTGACATCAAAGCCAGCTTTGTATCTTGTCAACTTATCTGAAAAAGACTACATTAGGAAAAAGAACAAATGGTAATATATATGTTTTATTCACATACATTAGTATTCAATATTTTGTTCATATTGCGATTATGTGATTTAGTATATTACGAATGCTCAGTATATATTATACAGGCGATGAATACTTTATATATAATAATATCTGCTGTTATTCTTTCAATATAGGTTACCAAAACTAAAGGAATGGATCGACAAGAATGACCCTGGGGCGCCATTAATACCTTTCTCTGGGGCTTTAGAAACAAAATTATTCGATATGGAGGCTGCTGAAAAACAAGCATTTTTGAAAGAACAAAACATTACAAGGTATAATTATTATGTATAACATCGGATTTGTATTTAAATTGCTGAAATGGCTGATAAAAACTGACGTAAAATGGCAAGTATCGCCTAAATTCATGTACAAAATGATTATCGTAAAATACACTGTTTTCCCAATGGTACCTCATAGGTGTTGGTATTCCTAAAGACTATGCCGCGTTCTCTGTAAATTCACTGCCATATCTCACCGTTTACACTGAAACACAGCTTATGACGAAGTTGCTTAGCAGAATTAGAAAATGAGTAGGTACCACTAAAAACCCGTTATATTTTTATATCATGTTATATCTTAATAATATTACCACCTATATTTTAGTGCATTGGACAAAATAATTGTGCAAGGCTACAAAGCGTTGCAATTAGAATACTTCTTTACCGCTGGTCCTGATGAAGTTAAAGCTTGGACAATTCAGGTATGTTGATATAAATAGAAATTGCTCTCAAGTGTTAACTCTTCTCTACTCTGAGTTCAGTCGTATCAGGCCAACATGTACAAACATGTAGCAATAACTTGTAATATTGTCAGATCTATAATATACCTAATGATAAATATTTTACAATGTATATTATAAAAACCCTTGCAGTTATAGTGGCAAACGCAATTTAAAACGTCAAACTTATCACTTGGGTGTATTATGCCGATTATTGAAATCACTTTAATTTTTCTAACCATTATTCATCATTACGCCCCATATCATTTTATTTTTTAGTTAGTCCAAGGTGTAGGGCAGACAGTTGGTATTCAAAAGAAATGTTTGAAATATTTTCTTTTTACTTCAAATAAATATCTACATAACTAGCATGATGTAGTTATGCTTGATCGTATTATATCAATCATAATTAAGGATACGGAAAAGATTTTTAATCTATGATAGATGTATGATATATTGACTAATGTAATCATTTACCACTAAGAGGGTGCGGAGGGAATTAGCAATTTCAAGTGAGGTCCACCTCCACGCAGTCCTACCTTATAACCATCCTGGTGAGTTGACCACAATGGGCTTGCTAACCTGACTTCATCCACATCCTATTATCTTTATTTCTATATTCTATATTCTTTATTACATCATTAGCGTAACAACTTGAATGTAATATAAAACTGCTATATTATAACTAACTAATTAACCTACCTATAAATATTTATGTTCAACAGAAAGGTACAAAAGCACCTCAAGCTGCAGGCAGGATTCATACAGACTTTGAGAAAGGCTTCATTATGGCTGAAGTAATGCATTATAAAGATTTCAAGGAGGAGGGTACCGAAGCGGCTTGCAAAGCAGCAGGCAAATATCGTCAACAAGGTACATCAAATTTTTGGGAACTTCTTCGAAAATAATGTTTTTAAAAATCGTCTATATACTTGAAATACGTTTATTATCGTTATCATGTGAATTCCGTGGTATCTCCATACGTTGCTATTCCGAAGGACTTATTTTTATTATAATCGTCTTTAGTAAAAACAATTCTGAATACCATGGGTATTAAGGCGCAGCTAGTCGTAATTAAAAATTAAAACTTTTAATGGCAGGCCGAAACTACGTGGTTGAAGATGGAGATATTATATTCTTCAAATTCAACGCTGGGGCAGGATTGAAGGATGCAAAAAAGAAATGACGTGACAAGGTACTTCTGCTGTTAGTACATATGTTATACTTTAACCTCGTACTCTATTCGTTACTACACGTCGCTTAAATTAACTTTTAAGGATTGTTTTAAAATAATATTAATATTTATATCAACTCTCTAATGGAATAAAGCTTGTTGATGTTTGTACAGGGCAGTTTATTTGTATATCGTTTAAAAATTTCCTTAAATAAAATAAAATAATAATGATACCAGTATATTTATATTTTACTTTATTTCAAAATATATAAATTACAAACTAGTATCTATGTTAATAACAGAAAACAATAGGTATACAATTTTGCGTAAATATGACCACATTTTGTAAATAAGTATAATAAGTGAAGTTCATAGTTTAAAAAAAAACTAAATAGGAATTCCAAACGCTATGGCATGAGAACCGATGGAATATTAATAAAATAAAAAAGGAAATATTTCCTCCAAGGCAGTCAATAGTTACGTGGGTTCTGAATTTTACTGAACTTCACAAGGAACGATGAATTTGGATGTTCGAGGATATTTTACTATTTCGTGTATTATCAAAAAAATGTGACTACAACGCGCAGCCTCTTCTGCCTCAGTTGGTATTTTGTAACCTAATGTGTAATGCTGATGACGCACAGGCTAAGCTCAAGATCTCGAAGAGATTTTGCATGGTTTAGCGTCACTGGAATGTGAAAATATGCTTGCAATATATCTATTTTCATCGAAGTTATCTATTATCATGAAAGTGCCTTTTTTTTGAGGTGTAGTCGAATTTGTTGAAGATAGTTTGAGTGAAATTTTGGAGCTAGTACGCTGTGGTTTAAGTGGATAATACGTTTGTATTTTTTTGCAGATAAATTGTAGATATAAAGCCTTATAGATATGCGTACTTCTTGTGCTCAGATCGACCGATGCTTTAGCTTTTTATCTTTGCCGTTATTACAAGAGAGCGTTTTGTTTGATACTTTAAATTTAAATAAAGTTATTTAAAAAAATTGTGTTCGGGGAACCTTCGAAAGGTTTTTAGAAAAACCTTCTTTGTAGAAAAAGTTTTCTGGTGTTCCCCTCCAGCGATTTGTATAATTTGCGAGAGTCCCTTATTTGAATTTTACTTTCCTGTAAAAATCCGCTATGGAACGACAAGATCAATATTTTGAAAGGAAATGTGGGTTCAATTACGACGCGCACAGAAGTATTTACATACTATGTCATGAAACCGCGTCTCCTAAGATCAGTGTAATGACTAGGGAACTTTGGTAGAAGTTTTGAATTTTATTGAAAGATTTTTAAGGATGAAATATATTTTATCCAAAAAATATAATATGTTTTTCTCTTTTTTTTCACTAATTAATTTCGTGATTTATAGGCATCTCTTCGTTTTATAACAATGCGACGGCAGTTATATTATTTGATAAAGTACATTTTATCAAAAAAAAAATTCCATCTTTGAATTTCACCACGTTTAAAAAACTCGCTAAGAAACAGACGATATCTTTTTTTTAATGATTTATTTCGTGGTGAATGATCTATCTCTTCTTTGTTTTATAACCTCAATAAACTTGGACCTAACCGCTTTTCTTCGAAACTGATTTTGCGATTCAGAATATCTAATATTGCACCAACTACTTTGACCTTACCTGCCAAGCGATGCCGTATTTTACGTTTTGCGACTTTCGGCTCTCGCTCTATTATGAGTAGCGTAAAGTAATAGATCTCTTCCTTCGTTCTAGAATTGTTGACTTTGACTGCAACCAGCTGTCTTTGGACATGGTTAATTTTTATTGTTTTTGGACATGGTTATATTCATGTTAAATCTTATCTAACCTCGCACGAATTATGAAAATATAATTGCAATGTGCTTGAAGCAAATAATCTCTTAATCACATTCCTCAGGACGATTTTTAGGAAACCAGACCGAAAAAAAAGGTCATATGGAATACTTACGAGTACACTGTAGGTTTGTCCGTCCATCTGTCTGTCACCGCGCTATTTCACAACTACTATTATTGATTTAAAATTTAGAACAGTTCTTGATACTGTTCAGTCATGAAAATGTAAAATTTATAATAATATTTGAATGCACACATCTCTGCCTTCATCCTAATAGACATAGCGTAGAGATAACTTCATAAATACACGTATAAAAATATTTAAGTACTATTATATATTTAACTTGTATTAATATAAAAATTATAGAAATTTTAAAAGATTTTTTTGTTTTATTTAATACAAAAATTGAATAAGTAACCGTTACTACCGGTAATAAAAATAGACGTAATACTTTTATTTTCTAACACATATTGTCTCCAATGTCAAGTACGAATGAGAGATAAACAAACAATATAAGTAGAATAATTATTTTATACCGATACATTAACATGAATTCTATTGCAGTTAAAATATGTAGGCTTTAAAATAGTAATAATAATATCTTAATATGAGATATTTGTTTCTTTATAATCTTCAAAAATATCAAATACGAGTAATTAAATTGCATTAGATTAAAATAAATAAATTCTAATATATTAAAATATATATATCAATAAAATGATATGACGCTAATAATTATCGCTTTAGATGTACAATATAATTATAAGTTTTAAATAACTTCTACAAGCTCTTCAATACGTGTAACTTTTTCCTTTGTTGTGTGAGCTGTAGCTTCTGTATCATCAGTCCATGCATCTGAAAACATTTTGTCCAGTAACATGCGGATTTGTTTAAGAAATCTTTTTAAATTGATATGAGATAATATTCCTTGTTCAGTAACTGGAGCCAATTTTTCTTTGTCTTTTTCAGACTTTTGTAAGACATTATTCACTATGTATGAAGATGCTTGTGTAACAGCTTCCTCCCATTCCTATAATTAAACAATAGAAACCTTAATAATATTTAATGTTAATTATGAATGTGGATGGTTATAAGGGTAGAGGAAGACCGAAAAAGAGATGGATGGACTGTGTGAAAGATGATATGGTGAGAAAGGAAATAAATAACGGGATGACTGCGAACAGAGATGATTGGAAGAGAAAAACATATTACGCCGACCCCAAATAAATGGGATAAGGATGAATGAAGATGTTAATTGACACATTATCCCTTAGAAACTTAAAAGAGATTTGTATATTGATACTACTGACCTACATAAAATGAGGAGCCACCTAATTATGATGAAGATGCTTATATTCATAAAAGAAATGTTTTTGTTTACAGCGGGAATGTATGGAATAAGTGATTTTATCACAGATAGATAGGTATGTAGGTAGGCAAAAACATACCAGTTTGTTACACACAAAGCTCCATGGTTCACTAAAGTATATAAGTATTTATATTTTTTAACAGCATACTACCTGCCTGCACTTAGCAGGCTGTCCACGAGTTACGCCGTTTCAAGTTACGTCGAACAATGTTTTGACACTATTCCTCAAAGCATAAGTCAATTGTTTCCCAATACCCCATGGGCTTGGCGGAGCGCGGTGGCGGCGAGCGGGAATCACCTCGCACATGCTTGTTTAATTAGATTTTTCTTTCGGTTAGTTTCGATCCTAACTCTTCAGCTTTACATGTAAACATATGAAAAAATATGTCGTCGTGTATTTCGGGAACCACATGCCGTAAGTAGGAGGACCGTGTGTGGATATATAAAGCATCAAAAGACTTACTTGATGCAGTTCGTAAATAGTACTTAATGACAGCATTTCCTCAATTAGTTTCACTTTGAAATCATTCGGAGTAGTTTGCTTTAGAATGTGAATTATGAGATGTCCAATACTCATTAGTGTTGTACTTGACCTAAAAAAAATTCTTAATAGCTAATTTTTTGTCGTAGTCATTTGTTTAAATTTATTAACAGAATACTTGTTCCTATATGTCTTAATCATGTATTAGTCGTATTGAATCGTATATGTGAATGACTCAAGAAACTGAGGTAAAATATTTACTGAAGTAAATATTTTGCGTAACATTTAAGTAGTAGTTATCTGCAATTAAGAAATACTTAAAATCTTATCATTTTATTTTTAATATTAGCATTAAGTCTCTTTTTTATATAATTACAAACCTGCAAACGTTTTCCCTGGATTGTATAATTTTATGAACTGAATCTTGAATACGTTTATGCGTGTCCTTCATGAGAAACTCGAGCTGATCGCAGTCGCCTGGGGGCAGCGATCCATATTGTACCAACAAACGTTTCTGTATCAGTGTGAATTGTTTCTGTAATATGTCTAAATCGTCCTGCAAGCAATAAATTGGTGTATCTACATATAAATGTAAATAAGAACATTATTCTGGCAATCATCATCACACATCATGAACACTCGTCGTCCCTATAGTCTGCACTTAGTATTTAAGTCTTCAATATCTTTCTAATATATTGTTCTTATCTCCATAATATCTACCCTTTAACCAATGTTCCTCTCACGCCTCGCGGTCTGCGTACGCCCGGCGCGTGCGATACTCCAGTTGAATGAATTCTCTAATCCCAGTGTTACATAAAACCGACCCCACTATTTTTTAGTTTTATTTCATAGGTTATACACATAGTAAACCCAGACCCATTATAAAGAATGTACCTATACTACTAAATAGAAATGTTTATATTGTGCGGACTCGTTTTTGACTACTTACTTGGGCTACCAATGTACCAAGATAGGTCCACCTCCACGCATAGGAACCGTCGTGAAACCATATGGAAACTGTCGCGGTTAATTCTAGATGAATGCGCCACTATGGGCTAATTGACCTCACTTTATGCTCATCCTTCATACAGCACTGATCTCATGCGTGAAACTGTTAGCGCAAACGGGCTCACCATTTAATTCTCACAAATGCGACAGGATTATTAATTTATTCATTGCCCCCTCTCACACGTGTTGTCTTTTTGCGTATGAGCTATGCACACACACTACGTTACTCACACCAGTTTTTTTTTGTACCTGTATTGTTGTTGAAATTTTCTAAAATACTTTTTGTCAAATGTTTAATATGTTATAAAATAAACCTATGTTCCACATTTCAACTTTCGAGTTTCATTAGTTTTGCCTGTCAGGACAAATGATATGTATCTAAGTATAAAAAATTATAACTAGAAAAAATACATTTTAAAAAGTAACTGACCTCTAAACTTTTAAGTGTTATTCTTTCTCTTGCATGAGCTTCGATGCTCTTTAAAAAATTGTGGATGAGTTGCTTTAAAAAGTCTTTATCACATTTAATGTAAAACCGAAAATCAGTGAGACCCATACGCGCAAAATGATCCATTAACTTGACTACGAAATAATCTAATATGGATGCAATTTCAGGAAAATCATCAGCTTCTATAGAATATTGTTCTCCGGAGCTTTTAAATGTTACTGTTTTTTTAATTGCTCTGTATGAAAATGTAACAATCTCCGATGATCCCCCGTATTGGAACAATTCTTTTTCAGAAAAATCTGTAAATTTATATTATATGTAATTTTAAAATAAAATAAATAATTATTAATTATGTATAAAACTATAATGTTACAGCTAGTCGGCAGTATACTAACTGCATACTAAATGACGATCTAAATATTGATATTCAGACACGCGAATTGAACATATTCTTACAATAAGTTACCTATGCATTTCTTTTATGAATTAAAAGTCTAAACCGGACTCCAAGACTGCAGGATAAGACTGTAATTTCAATAGTCAATAAACGAGATCCAAATAGTTGTGTTAATACCACTACTTGCCTGTAAATATTTCAGCAAATTTTACGCACGAATGGTTGGAGTTAATGAAAAGTTTTATCTCGTTCTCCGGGACCACGTCGATGGGACAACAATAAAGGGATATTGGAAGCATAATTTTTCGAGAGAGCACAGAAATTTTTCCAGCGGAATCTGTTATGGTAAAAAGAATATCCACTGCCGTTTCCGATACGTCACCTTCGCTTGATAAGAATATCTGTGTTTCTATTATTTCTGTACCATTAATATTATCTAAACATATGATAGCCTCAGAAAATGTAAATGGGGCGCAACATGCATATGTAATTTGGACATTCTGAATAAGTTTTGGATCCTTGCAAGTCATTATTATTACTATTGGACACATAAGTAAATGTAAAGCTTCATTATTGTCATGTTTAAAGTCGTTATTAAGGTTTTGTACTGGTTTACTGACATCCGCTTTTATTTTTATAATTTCGTCTATTTTCGATTCATTACTGTTATCTGGAATAATAAATTTAAAAAAGTTAATTTTATTTAATCATACGTAATTATTTTTATGTATGAATAAATTTCCTATAAATTATTATAAAAATCTAGAATAAGATTATTTACATAAAATGCATAAAAGATTTCCTAATTATATAGGATTTTTTACTAACTATTAGTCTTGATTTTTGTATAGCAAAACAGCAAATGTTCCCACACTAGTGATTTCAGTTACCTACCCTCTTTATTTTCTACTATGGCTTGCAGTGCTTCTTCTACTGTTTCTAATTCTGACTGAATTTGTTCAGGATCTCCTTCTTCATTAATCATCGGTGCAGCGTTAGAATTGAGATCAGGTTCCGTTCCTAAGTAGCAGACTGTAACTACGCCTGTATTGGACAGTGTCACAATTCCACCGGGTAGTGTCTTCAGAAAACAACGGGATATAGATATAGGAACATCGAGCAAGTCACACGACCATAACAATGATGTATTCTCGTAAACATACAACTTAGCATCATCCGATGCTACCATAACCAGTAAACGTGCTCCAGGCTCTGAAAATAATTGTTAATCTGGAAAATCTAGAATTGTTATATAGGGGTAATGCTGCAATAACGAAACTAAACTATTTTCTTCACTAAATACAACAAAATATCTATATAAGTACGATAATAAGTAGGTATGCCACTTCGTTGATTTAGAAACCTTTTTATTATAATGAAAATTTGTATCGTATGGTAAGGGGTAAAGCAGCTGATATAAATACAATATTTACTTTACAAAAGAGGGCCATTCGCTCTACTTATGGTATGGGTTCCAGGGAGTCATTGCGAGAGTATTTTAAGGAATCAAATATCCTCACCGTTGCTTCTCAATACATTTATGAAAATATCATCTATGCCAGGAAGAATATAGACTGTTTCAAAAGAGTTGATTGCACCAATAAAAGCTTACGTAACAATAACAAACTGATATTAAAAAAATGTCGTTTGGCTAAAGTTAGTAATTCGTTTTATGGCAATTGCGTAAGGTTTTACAATAAAATACCAGAGTCTGTTATAAATCTGCTAGAAAAAAGATTTAAATGTCAAATAAAATAGTTCCTTTGCAAAAAAAGCTTACTATAAAATTGAAGAATTCGTTAACAATAATAATGTTTTTATAGAAATTATCACTCTGACTTGTTATACTGTAATTACTTATTTATATAAAAAAACATCTATCACATTCTTCTTGTGATGAATCTGCATTCCGAATGAGTGGTAGAATCAAAATATGACTCACAATATTATCTGATTACACTATTTGTACATACGGATTAATAATGAGTCGTAGCTTGCAAATATTTTATCTACGAGTAATTGCAGAGTGGTTGTGATCTGCTATGATCATTATACCATTTTTACATGTTTTAATCTGAAATTCGTTATAGATATTACAAATAATATAAGTTTATATACCATAGAACCAGCCGATGAGATACGCATAGAAACATGTAGGCATATAATCGAATTTAATCATAAATTTCATAAGTCCATTATCTTGGAAACAGTACAAATGTCTTTCGCCTAATGCAATTATGCTGGAAAAATTGTTGCTAGTCTGCAAAACAATAAATTAGTTAATGCGATACCAAAAAATAGAGTATATTTTACATGCATTAAACAGATGCTCTACTATCTGAGTATCTACATCATTAATAATAACATAATAAGTAGTCAGAAAATATCCTCAGTATTCTAGAAAATTTTCTATATTAAAACCAAGACATTGATTTTTTAAAAAGTGTCCATACTAATGGTGCAGTAATCTCATTTATATTCTTTCAAAATAATATTAGGTTTATAAATACACCTATCTATAGTTAAACTGAATGCCGTCTTGTAAAACCTCATTGAAAACTACCGATATTACAGTACAAACCTGAATTACTTGAACGGATGTTACCTCCTCTCCGGCATTATATATCCATTGCGGTATGTTCTTCTTATTTTGTCGTACATTCAGTTCACTGAACTCTCGTAACTGTTGATAGCTATAATACAGTATTAGTTATTTATTAGTAACCTTGTAATAAAACAATATTAGAAATATGTATGTTTCTTATAAATATATTTCATATTCTGTGAAATTTCATTCACATTCCTACAGCCGTCTCTACGTGAAAGCTAACAACCAAATAGACAGTTTATATCTCGTCCTGATTTACGATTTTTTTACATGTAAATATAATGATGATGGTATATATTGCAATCCTTCTTTGTTTGTTACAAACAAAGAAGGATTTTACCTGTATATTTCTAATATCCACGTAGATTTGCAGATTACAAATGAGTCGCAACTTGCTATGTAACAAATCGGCCCTGGAATTATAATATTATCTAATATGCACATAAAAAGAAAAGTGTCTTGATCAAAAAAACTTAAACTTCCTTCTATTCCTTGTATGCATATAAAATTCCTTGATTTTACATTCCCAAAAGGTCCATGCGTTAAACTTTCAGCCTTTCTTGTAAACGAATGTTTTATCATCAATTTCAACACATTTTGGTCGCCTAAAACATTTATAATTAGGTAAGTACTTGTTATAGGTATGTACCTATCTAGTAGGTATAAACAAGAAATATAAGTACACATATATAAAATCGACCTGGACAATTCACTCAAGCGCAAACTAAGCAGAGTTTATTTTACGGTTACTAAACAACTGATATACATAGAATGCTTTTTTAAATACGTACATAATATACATAGAAAACACCCTACCAATACAAACAAACATAGACATGATTATAAATGTTAACAAAGAATAGGCACAAAACTTAATGTAATCCGCGCCAATATATAGTAGATACGTATACCGCCAATACCTACTACTTTTCGTGATAACGTTTGTTTGCTCGTCTCCTATCCTAGCTTGATAGATAATAGCCTAATTGTTCTAATGAACACAAATATTTTCTTTTTCCATTCTTAAGTGCGTTCGAAAAAAAACATTTAGCTTTACATATATAGCAGGTATATACAATTTATTCAACTTACCAGCATCAGTATGGCCTTCCTTTCTCTCCAACGTATAAATCGCATAGCTTTGTGGATGCAGTACAAGTATTTGTCGATCCACAGAACCACTGTAACCGTTAAAATAATATTAAGCAGTTAATACCTATAATAAATGGTTGGACACGATAAAATTATATTCAGTCTACTATTATATCTATACCGTACTTATATCATACATACAAACTACAAACTGTTTTTGGAGATCTAATAGTAGCTCTTTTTTAATAGTTCATCTTTGCAGGAAACACGCTAGTTGACGAAGCACTAGTGGATGAACATATAGAATATAAATAGAATTAGCATGAAGTCAAGCCAGTTAAGTAAGTTAGAGTGCCGAATTCGCATCGAAAACCAAAATGGTTCTTAGCTTTCATACTTCCCGCGCGGAGGTCAACCTGATGTATAACAATATGGCTGATATTCCCCATTAGGTACTAACAAACCACATACCTACTAGCCTTAATAGGTAGATCAATATATACATAGGTAATTAATTCTAAAGTGTTCCAGATTCGATTTATGATATATGTCTTTTTTGTTACTGGTTATTTTATATTTATATATTATATAAATTTTCTTTGTATAATTTCACAGTTATATAGATTTTGAAAAAATACCTGTACAACAGAAAACTTACGCTAAAAACTTCCCTGTTTCAATTTGTAATATAATTTCGCCTAATTGACTTTCTAATACTATATTTGATGTATCTTGATTTGGAAGTGGTTTATATATTTTCAGCAAGTATTCTTCACTTATTACAATGCAGTCACTATCACTGTGTGAATTAAATTTTTCCACTTTAAGCGAGCACGCATTTTGTACACCTGGTACGGTCTCGTCTAATTGTTGCCTAGCACTGGTCCACCATGGCTTTACTTTAAAAATTGACATGTTTGTATTCAATACACTGAAGTTTGATTGTTTAACCGAACATTCAACCAAGCAATATAATTTAAAATAGATTAGTTTGTTAATTTTAAACGACACTGTAAACTTACTGAGCTGCTGTTTTATCTACATATATAAACTACTGATTTAGTAACCATAGAAACGTAATACTAATCAAAACAAATGTCGTTTAGATGTCCCAAACTAATGCGTTTACTACCTTTTACAAACAGCCATATCTATGATAAAATAATTATTAACTCCATTTTGCATCTAAACTTCTCTTCCAACGTGAGCTTTACAGAATACTCCAATGGATTGATACAAAATAAAGACGTCTAGTCGTTTAGTACACCGTCTGACTCCGATGGTCACAAGTTCGATTCTCTCACGGTGTAAAAATTTTGTTAATATGACTATGATGGTTTATGGTCTAGTTGTTTTTATTCTATTTGCGTATTTTAACGACGCGCAACGTGAGGGTCGCTAAACAATAATAATTATGATATTACTATTCTAGTCACTAGGTATGAGGTTCAATCTACAAGTAGGTACGGAATTTTTATTTTGTAACAATAAAAATTCGGTTTTATTTTACTTTAGAAATTCCTAAAATTGGCAACCCTGTTTAGAGATGTTACAACAAAATATATCGACATTGTTGTCGGATATCGAACAAGACCGATTAATTTGGGTCCGATATATTAATTGAATTAATTGTATTCTTTGCAGTTCATACGTTATTGAACGTAGGTTTATGTGTGACACACACCAAATGATTTTTTTAACTGACAGAATAACAAAGATTGTAACTCCAGTAACAACATTAGGCATAAACTTGATACAAAGTAGTGCTATTTAATCATAATAGGAAAATATCAATGTTTTTTTTAACAAATTTATGTATATCTAAAAAAAAGTACACAAGACTGTGAACTAAAATGCACAAAAACTGTAATAAGCATAATAAAAATACTAATAAGCACTTCTGGTTGTGGATTTTTTTTCCATAACAATGTAACGGTGTGGATAAAATTTTGGGGAATACGAGATAGTTATTTGGCAACACTGTCTTGAAGTTTTATCTGTGTATTGTTGTGACTGGTGATTTTGTGGGTTTTGAATATTTTTTATCCAAATTCTTCCACATTGCGCTCAATACAACTTGTGTTCATAGCTTCAGCTCTGATAAGCTCAGCTTAATAAATAGCATATGTTTTGAGTACTGTACGATAATACGTCAGAAGCTATTAAGTGACTATTTGTATAACTAAAATTCAACAACAGCTTTGAAAATGTCACATGAATCTAAACAACCGAACAATGGAAATGATGAACAAAGAACTAATGGTGCGAATGATGAAGGTGACGCATGGGGCAGTCATGGATCTTCAGATAAACCACGATATGCAAAAATGCCAGTAAACAGAAACGCACCCTATTATAAAATGGACCACAAGCGACGCGGAGTTGCTATTATATTTAACCACGAGTTTTTTGATGTGCACAGCTTAAAGCCACGCACTGGAACTAATGTTGATAGCGATAATTTAGCTAGAGTTCTAAAAGGATTGGGCTTTCGTGTCACTATTTTCAACAACTTAAGATTCCACGAGCTTAATGCTCGTGTGCTGGAAATTGCCGACATGGATTACTCCGACGACGACTGCTTACTGATGGCAGTGTTGACTCATGGTGAGATGGGTATCCTATATGCTAAAGACACTCATTACAAAGCAGAAAACCTTTGGTACCACTTCACAGCTGATAGATGCCCTACTTTAGCAGGAAAACCAAAACTGTTCTTTATACAAGCCTGTCAGGGTGATAGACTTGATGGTGGTATTACATTGTCATCTACTGAGACTGATGGATCTTCAAGCACACAATACCGAATTCCAGTCCATGCAGATTTCTTAATTGCGTTTTCTACAGTCCCTGGTTACTTCTCTTGGAGAAATACAACACGAGGATCTTGGTTTATGCAAGCTCTCTGTGAAGAACTGCGTTTTTATGGTACTGAGAGAGACATCCTACAGCTCCTGACCTTTGTTAATCAAAAAGTAGCTCTCGATTATGAATCTAACACACCTGATGTGCCATCAATGCATCAACAAAAACAAGTTCCATGTATCACCAGCATGTTGACTCGTCTCCTTGTTTTTGGGAAGAAGTAGGTGATAAATCTTTATATTTTATATTTGAACTAATTTGTTATTAATTTTCTCTACATTTTCTTACATTTCATTAGAAAATAGTTCCTAAATCCCACTTATGTGTCCTTGCCATATAAATATAAACTAATGAAGTTCAATGTCTTTTGCATCATCACCATCATTATTTTATTGACTATATTTGAAATTGGTATATTTTTTTCCTTTGCCATTGATCTCTATCAGCATTCATTCAATAATTCTTTGTAACATTTGTGTTTGTACTATTTATTTGATTATTTTTTTTATAGTCTGTATTCAATACATACTGGAAGGTAAACAAAACTTTTGTTATAGCAACTTGCTTAAAAAATGTATGTAGCTAAATAAAAAAATATACTGTGTGTAATAAGATGTGAAGTCAGTTACATATTCGTTGCATATGTTTTCAAGCTTAACCACAATATTTATTAGCACAAATTTAGTTACAGAAAACTGCATCACTATAGTGTTATTTGAAGTGTAGTTATTTTTATTTTTGTATATTTTCATACTGATTTAATATGGAGTAGTGTTACATCATTTCATTTCCTTCCTTGAGGGAGGATCTGGATTTAAGTTTTTACCTAAAACAATTAGTGTATATTAAATGAAAAGTTGTGAAATAAAACAAATAGTTATGGCAAATGGTTTAACATTTGTATATAAATCTAGCCATAAAAAAGGCATAAGATAAAAACAATAACACAATAACAAATACATGTAATTATTTTTAAATTTTAAAATTGTATAAACTTGGTGATAAAGAAATGAAAATGTAATTTGTGCTGTGTTAACATGATGAAAGAAAGCAATTACTGGTGCCATTTGTTGTGCTAGTAAAGTAAAGTATAGCACATTTTTTTATAAAGCTTTAGAAGTAGTTTTAAATGAATTCACTTAGAAGTAAATTTTTAACTATAGTACCATTTCATAACTAGGTAAGCATAATTGTTTTCTTTAGAATATCAGTAGGTATTTTCATATGTCTATTATTAGTGTCAGACAATGACAGTAATAATGATATGTTCAGGTTCGCATACAAAACAAAAATATCTTGTGTAATATGATCTGATATTTCATTGTATTGTACTTAAATGTTTATGAAATTATGTCATTTATAATATTTTGTACTGAGACATAGTCATTGTGGTATTATAATAATTAATAGGTTCATGTTATATATAGCCAAAAAAATATAAAAATATACCTGGTACATATCATCTATGTATTTGGATATGTGCTGCAGAGTCTGCAGACAGCATTTAATATTGTGTTCAGATTTTTTTGTTTGTATTGTTTATTAATGAAATATTCTTTAAAAAGCCTTTTCTCTTGATATGATGGTTGCACAAACATTTATCTATTGGTGTATGCACTCACTATTTTTACAATTATACAATTGTCAATTTTGCACAACAACTTTTATATGTAGAATTTATAGTGTGATATTTAATCTTATTCTATATTGTATAACATTTGTATTTGTAAAGTATTTTATACCTACTACAAGTATTAAGTACTACTTGTATAAGTCTGTTATATTTCCATTGTTAAATCAAATGTCACAAATACAGAACAATTTTATTTTAGTAATTATGTTTAAGTATAAATAATTTAATTATGAGCATGATGAGAGAGATGTAGATTCTCGTTAATTGGAATAACCAATGGTTAGTAGCAGTGGGCACATTTTTCTGTGTGATCTGATATTTTAAGTGTATCTCTCTATTTAAGCATTCTGAACATTGTTAGAGTTCATTGACAATGTTCTTGATGATGCACCCAATGCTGCTGACCAATTTTCGTCCCAATAGCATTTTAGGAAGTTATTTTCATTCCTTGTGAATTATTGCTCACGATTTTATGTTATATTTTTCTATTAAAGTGAACTTTCCAATTTTTATAATGTGTCACGGAATAAAGAGGTATTGTAGGTAAGAACTAATTAATCACTAGTAATCATAAGTACAATATCTGTAAGTATAATTTAAAGTCAACATTATGTAATAACTTTAAGTTGTTAAACTGTTAACTTATCAAACTTAAGGATTATATTTAAGCATTCCATGAATTCTTTTATTGTCCAATTATGGTGCAATTTCTATATGCTTAATATGTGTTTGTAGAGTAAAGCAGTGCTGGTGAGTTCTTTAATTAACATATACATGGAATTTTACAGTCATAGTATATAGCAAAGATAAAAATATGCCCATCCATATAAATATATATATACTTCTGTACTTTTTATTATCTGAAACAATATAAATAACTTATGTATACAACAAGGAAAAACTGAAAGGGTCCTGAAATAAACCTGAGTACCTGCATTATGGATTATAACAAATTTGAGGGATATAATGTCTTATTTGGAAAGTCTGCATGCAACCTTTTTATAACCCCATATTTTTGGCTTTCTACCCTATATTTTATAGTTTCAATACATGCAGGTTACTTTTATGTATTTCATATTAGTTAAGCATATTTTATTTTTAATATAATCTGCATTCAATAAAATAAAATTTAATGATGATTTTTGATGACAAAAAGAAACAATTGTTATTTATTTAGATTTAGGTTAAAAATCAGTTTATTACATTCAATAGTTAAGCGTATGTACTCTATATATTGTTCCCTTAGATTAGTTGCATATATACAAAGATTGATATTTCATGGTTTTCTGTAATTGCAAGGCAACATGTATAAGAATATTTATTCTTGATCCATAAAATATGCATAATCAAAACAGGTAAGCTTTCCGAAAGAAAGCTGTGAATGCAAGTATTACTTTTTCTGAAGATAAGAACATACTTCCTTGATTTGTTATTTTCATTATTTTTTCTACTTTTCCTCCAGGACCCCTTTTATTTCTTAGCTGTATATTAACAAAAAGCTATTTTACTACTGGTGTTATGCATTTTATCTTTATAAATTAGAGGAATGATTATGTGATAGTAATGAGGACTGATTTTTTATACTTGATTAGAATATGATTGTGATTCAAGTTATCCATGAGGAAATTTATGGACCAGATTCAATTTTTATAGATATATGTAGATACAAGCCACCAATCTGTATTCGATCTGTTAAAATTGTGCCTTGATTCACACTTGTCCCAATAATAATCAACTAGAGGCAGAATTATTTATAATAAACTCTCATGGATATTTGAAAGAGTGAAATATTTTTTAAAACTTCTCTTTTCTACTTAAGGCTTAATTGAGCAATAAACTTTGAAAATTATGATGCTTTTTTTTCTTCATTCTTTTTTTGTTTCCTGGTATAATGTTAGTACAGCCTATAGCCATAGGAACTATGGGCAGTACTCAGACCAGATTGGATAGACATTTCATATCATAATATGAAAGAACATATACATAACAAAGTCATAAAAAAAATTAAAACTGTTATAAAATTAATTTATTAACAATAATAATTTAACAGGACTTCAATCAGTCAAAAATTAGGCGTGTATGTATTTTCCTTACATTTAAATAAATAAAAAATTTCATATTATACAATTTTTTCATACATTTCAAAAATTATCTTTTAATGTAGGCCATATGATTTCACACATTTAAAAAATAGATAACAACCCTACCTCGACAGAGTCTTTGTTTCTTTCATACATTTCAAAAAAGTATTTTTTAATGTAGTACATAACACCCCATGTCAGACCCTTATATTTGGAAGAAACTTAAAAATAATGCCAAAAATATTAGATGAATATATTTTTAATTAAGTTCCCAGCACTGATCCCAAAATTGACTCAGTCTTTGTTCTTGATTTGCGCAGAAGTGTTTGAAATCTCGCAACATTCTTGTTTGGAAAGACTCATCACCTGTAGCGGGAAACTGAGACGACTTCCACTTCTTAGATATCATGTGGTTCCACGACCAAAGGAAGCCCATCTGAAACATAAATTTGAGTTAGTATGTCTCTGCTACGATTCATAAATGAAAGAGCTAATGACATCTTACGTTATCTTAATTTTCCCTGAATCCGAAATAACGTCACGTTATAGGTATATCATTGGCACATAAGCCATTAATTTCCATCTATTTTTTTGCTTTGTTACTAAGCACCCACTAGTAATCCGAACTGCTTCAGATCTAGCGACATCTAGCGGCTACGGTGGCGAAATAAAATAGCCCGAAGAATAGCCCGAGTTAGGATAGGAACCATTTTCTGTAATAATTCGAAATAACGTCACTACTCATATTGAGCACTCAATTCGTTCACATTCAATTGACTGATAAGATTAAACGCACTTTATATTAATTTTATCAAAATGGTACTGCGTAAATACATTTCTAAATATGAATATAAAATAGCTTCTCATATTTATATTATTTTTTTCACCGACACTCCTGCCACGCACGATCCTTCTTCTATCGGTAATGGTTACATTTTCGGTTCGAGGTCCTTATAATTATTTAATATGCATTACTATTTTTATTCATATATATCAATAAATTATAATTATGTTTATTCGTTTCCTATTGCGTGGACACCACGAAGAGTTGAGTATATAAGACTATAGACACATTACTTACTCGTCGACTGATATCATAGTCATCTTTATTTTTGCCGCTTTGTGGCACAACATGTCGGGTAATGTAACCTTCGTGTGGACTTGGAACTGCATCCATATGCACTGGGTATCTATAAAAGATATAAAAATATTATATATGACAATAATTTTGCAATGTATCAAAATCTCTTTTTCATATGAGACACTACTTGATTATAGACTTTTTTAAGTTTCTAAGATTATTTCAAGTATCTAATCAACAGCTTTTAGCTTTCTGAAATATAATGGTATTATCGACGCCAATGGACGGATAAAGTTGCGACTTTTGAGTTCCATTGGCCTCTTTCTTGATTTAGTACCCTTACAATTACAATCTATACTAATATTATAAACAGGTTAAGTTTGAGAGATTGTACTAGTAAAGTAGGTACTTTCTATATCTTCTGAACCGATTTTGAAAATTCTTTTACCAATAGAAATCCACATTAATTGTGGGTATCACAGACAGGTATCGGTAGTCGCTGCGTATATATGAAAAATTTTGTAAACGGGGAAAATGTGACAATTTGTAGTCCTATTTTCCCCGTTTACAACGTTTTTATAAATAATTATATATACTTATAATTACTATTATTTTAATCTTTAGTAAATATGCATAAGTTAATAACAATATGCACAAAAAAATAATATTAATAAAATATCCCCAATATGATTTTGAGTTAAATATACTAATAATTATTGTATTGCAGTCTTTTTCATAACGTTTAGGCGTACCTACTTATAGAAAATGTGTAGAATGTCCTCGAATTTTATCATATTATTCCGAAAAGCTACAAATAATATCGATTTGCGTTATCCACTCACCTGTTATCACTATTCACTTGTTTTGTTACCGGCTTCACGGGCAACGATCTTTGTTCTGATTTGACAGTGGTGGGTATCAGTATGAACATGTTGCCAGTGACATGTACGTACAAGTGGTCACCCACTCCGGCCTCGTGCGACGTACTCTCTACGGTGCATTTAATAAAACCGAAACGACCAACGATTGCTTCTTGGAACAGAAACAGTCGTTCGAGCCATGTGTCTTCTGGGAAACCTAAAAATTTAGGTCGATGAGCACAAACCTGGAGTAATATCTAGATTTTAAAGATAATCATAAAAGTAGATTTAGAAGATATCGGTCGCATCAGGTAGTTTGTAAAAATTATAAGTAATTATATTTATAATGATCTAACTTCATGTGCACTCTAACATCTTCCACTGGTATCCCGACCGCGTATACCGCTAGTGTAGGCGGAAGCACAATTCTATTAATATGTTAATGGATTATATACATATAATAAACCGACACAAGCATACAAGAAGCACCAGGAGTTCTGTGATGGCTTATTTTTAAAGACAAATGACATAAAATAAAGAATATTAAAAACAGTACAAGTAGGGGTTTACTGCTAGATGTAGGCTCCATGACATAATACAGTACACAAGTATGTAATACAATGTAATCAATTTTATTATCTGCATTAACCTCTCCTCTCGTAGTTGTGTGTGTCGAGCCGAGACTACTAAAGTAGCAAACCAAGCTCCTCTGAGAAGCGTCGAAGCCTCTTTGCGTCTTCACCGGTTATATTATAACACACAAGTATATATTAGTATATGTAAAAACATTACTTAGTCATTTACCTTCAAATAAACCACTCCTGTTGCGAAGCAGCGGTTCTTCGTTGAGGGGGACGTAGATAGGTCCGCGCAATGGATCTGATTTCAATGTAAACGGCAATGCCAGTGGGTCCGCAGGGATTGGTACCATCTGAAGTCGGCAATTTTGAGCTTTTCTGGCCCATCCAAATATCTGTCATAAATAAACGTCATTAACATCAGGAAATAAATATTCTTTCTTATAAAAATATACATACCCTTTGAAGTATATTTGAGATTGCAATCCGCTAAGATAAGACAGGCTGCTCGAATTTAATGAGAAGAACGCAATACACATCATTCAGCACTGGCATAATAATGCAATGTTTTGTAATGTTCATGTCTGTAGGCTTTTACGACGTTCTATCAGGTGGGCATTCAGTATGTACTTTTTACTTAAAAGAAAACTAATTTATAATAAATTTAAATTGAAAGTATGACTACTTCTAAATTAATTTTATATAATTGGTGGCATGCCACCTGTACATGTATGTGTTGTAAGTAAATAAATATATTGATTAAGCTACTGACTAATTCAGCTACAATATTTCCGCTGGCAATCGTCCACTGTATGCACATCTCGTAAGCCTGGTCGGGCCGGAACGTGGCCTGGTAACGCGCGTGGCCCCACTCAATGCGATCACTCTTGTTGTTCACGTCTATGTCCAGATGAGTATTTTTGTACAATGGTACTGTGGACAAACATTTTATTAATATAAATAAGATGAGAAGCACTTAGAATATAAAAAGAGTTCGGTATTGTTCGCTGTATTATGATCTCTTATGTACAGAGATGCATGCCGTGGGACGTTTATGTGTTTCTATAAAAATAACGACTACATAATGAAACTCTATTTTTTAAATAGTAAATTAGGTGTATTCTTAAAACTCTTGATATAAAAAGATTACTTAGACGTTTACACTAATATGATGATTTATGATTAGACATATTATCGGATGAATTTGACAAAACCAAGATCATGTTCAATGAGAGTATCTATCTCTATTGCTACGTTTGATTCAGTCGCTGCAGGATTTACAACCGAATCGTCTTCCATTCGTCCGGAACCGGTCGATGCCACTCGAAGTTGCTACAGCTAGGCTGGGCCGGAAATATTGCCGGGCGACTGATCGAGAGGGCTGAATGTAAACACACGCTGCCACTCCTTTGACTCGCGCACGAAAACCCGACAATCGAGTATAGTAGAAGTATCGTGTTTACACTCTCGCGCTGCTCCGTTCCGTGCTTTCCTGCCCATTCGGGCTGAGTGTAAATTGGGCTTAAGATAAAGGTGGAGAATAACCTAAACATAGCGTATGTTATTCCCTTGTTTTGGTATTTGCACTTTAGACTAATTTTATGTATGAATAGGTAGGTACATAGTAATAGTTAAATAAGGATATACATACTACAATCGACGTCGCTTTCCAATTGCATATAATTTGGGTCGATGTTGTCACATAGGAAAGCAGGCACGCCGACGTCGTTGGTGAGCGGACATAAGCCCGATATGTCAATGGCGCCGCTGGTGGTGTCTACCGGCAGGAGTGGGGAGCGCGGCCCCAGGACTTGCACTTCCATCCATTCGTTCTCAAAGCTTTGTAAATCACCGAGGGGTTTCACGTAGTCTGATACTTCTTCATGTAATAGAAATAGAAATGATTCTTTATTCAAATAATATAAACACTTGAATAGTCACATTTTTTTATTCTACTACTCATTTGGAACGGACAGATTTTTTTGATTTGGATTTGGAACTCATCACAAGAAACAGAAAGAAACTTCCGTGTTGCTCTTTTAAATAAATGCCGTTCTAAGTAAAAACAAGTTAACAAGAATTAGGGATACGATATCAGCATAAAAACCGCGTAGCGAGTGGAAAATTGTCAGCGTTATGAATTAAAATTTAGGATTTATAAAAATAAAAATATTTATTATATTAAACATAATAATATTGTTATAAATGATTTCTAATTAACTCTATCTACGTAATAAGACTCATGCTATTACTAATTGGCAGATAACGCAGACTAACAACAAACAGTAATAATTATGCCTACATGTAGTAAAGCCATTATTATTATTAAAATCCGTCAAATACTTAACATTATTCTCATAAGGCTAAAAGCTAAGCAGAGTTTGTGTTATAGAAAACACCCAGACCGATACAAACAATCATATTCATGAATACAAATGTTTGTACCGTGCGAGGAATTGAACCCACGACCATCGGATAGTAAAACGGTGCGCTAAACTACTAGACCACTGAGGCTATCATAATAATCTATGTAAAAAGTTAAGATATATTACTGTAGTAAACATCTTAACTTTGAGATGTTGTGAATTGACCTCACCTTTTTCTTTTTTCTGTGGAAGAATATGATACATATAGTATCCGACAACAAAACGTTTCATTGTATCCCCGGACGCATGGCATATCATTTTCTCCTGAAGCATTTTCTGTAATAAACAATAATCAAAAGCTTTTTGTATATGTATTACCATTAGGATAACAAAAAAAGGATTGATATTTTTGGTATACATATTTCATCCTATACTAAATAGAACGAAATAATAAGATGACGCTTTTCTAATTTATATATATTTCCTATATGAAACTTTGTAATCTGAAAGTTTTCAAGTGTCATTTCCATCTGGGCAAATGATATAATTATTAGCTTTCTTTTTATCAGTTGAGACCATCAAATATCTGTCTATACGCAAAATAAAGATATACGGAATATACTTATACCTATAATTATTTATACCTACCTCCATAATAGCAGTTGCTTTTTCAGAATTCACACCTTCCATGTTAGCTTGTAGCCAATGTATCGCGTATATGGATACAAAGGTATGGGACGGCAAGCTGACGGTCTGCTGTAGAAAGCCCACACCAAGAGTAGGGTGGCGCATGCGGTCGATGATATCAGATAGGCTAGCATTCGCTTTTAATTTTGGTTCTATTACGCTGTAAGATACGAAACTATTAATTCTGGATCAGAATAGAATAAAAAAAGACCAAATATCGCGGAAAAATGAATTGAAATGATTTCTAAATAATAGCGTTTATATAAATAGTACTCAATGAAACAATAATAAAACAATCAAGTGAAAATTGATTTATTTAATTAAGTAGGTAATAAATTGCTTACTGACTTTGATGTACCTAATTTCAATATCAAACAGAGATATAATTCGGTGTATTTCCAAATGAAAATTAAGGAAAATCTAGGGATCTACTAAACCGACCCGAAAATATTTTTTTCCAATAGAAAGCCACGTTATTTGTGAGTAGCATATATAAATCATTCTACGACCAGTAGAAAATAACCAATAAAAATGTGATACAATCGGAGAAAATGTAACACAAAAGAAATTGCGCGTCAGCTAATCTAATATTACTGAGATATATATTGACTGCATCTATATTTCAAAAGACGTGTACGAAAATATTCTTTAATACCTCTCACAAATAGATTGTAACATCAGTTTTTTTATATTTAAAATAAGTACAGTACGTAAACTTAAATGTCTATAATTTTGTTCGAGTCCTTATTCTGTGAACGAAAATATTCGTTCCATTCTGCATAAAAGGAATAACAAAATATTGATTTCACACTATTAATATTAAACTGACCGCTGAATAGTGTGTAGCGATTGTAACCAATTGCCAAAATAGGACATAGAAACCACGGTTTCCTGCGATATGCCTATGTCGATAACAAAAGCACCCATAATAATGGCGTAATAACGCAGCGTTAAAATAGATAAAAAAAAAATACCCGTCATCATACGTGTCGTCGCATTCACCAGATTGTGAGTGTGTTCTTTCCAGCACGGTTTTTGCAGCGGCCCTGAAATTTAATAGAGAATCATTAAATTTCGTGCTATGTTTTTAATTTAATGTATGTTCCAATGCTTCAATTTAGCAAACAAAGCAATAGCCAAAGCTGTTAAGCGTTTTAGTACTTATATATAATTGTATTGGCAATAACTAATGTAAGTTTTATAGTTATTATTAAACTAGGAACTAAGATGTTGCAACTACTCGTAGCTGAAGTTTTGAGTATTCGACAATATTTTTTGCATCTATAATGAATTAACATGATTTTACTGTTTACAGGTGGAATGAGTTAAAGTAAACTATAATAGCTCTCTGGAAAAATCCGGTTATATCGTTACTATAGAAAATTCACTACACTATTAATTATTAAATAAAAATATCAATGCAATCTTACTAAATGCCTCAAATTTAAAGGTATTGGCAAATTAAAATAAATAAAAACTATCGGTCAGCTTCAGTAGCCGTTTATCTACCTTATTCCATGGAATTATTCCATCGTTATTTCGACCATGCCACTTTTTGTGTTTTACAAAGTAACACAGTTATTTAAAGTAAACATGCTATACAGCCTTAAGTTATAATATGAAATTTCTTTTTATTCTTATTATTTATTTTTTATATTTAGCTTGTTTAGTACCTACTGTAGAGGCAATTTTTGGAAACTGAATATTTCTCTGTCTTGTCCACTATTAACAAAAATCTTTCGTTGTTTACAAGTTAAAATACGTCAAAGTCCCAAGACCTTCAGCACTAAATGTCATGCTTAGCATATATTCTATAATCCGATATTTCTAACATAAATGTGTATTTTATTGATAATTATGACAATGCAATAGACGTAGGCCTTTAAATTCATAAATGAATTTATTACTGCACAATTACCAGAAAAATCGGTTTAGGGATATATTATAGTTATAGTCATTGGTTAACTCACGACTTATCAAAACCGTACTATCTTTTGAAATTTAAGTAATGATTAATATAATTTCAGATGGCATAAATAATAATATGGATGATGAAAGCGACTTACTTGTTGCATTGGATAGTGTTTAGTGACTTAGTAGGTGATATTTGCTGTAATGAAACATTCAAAAAAGGATAAGAACAACAAGCAAATGGCATTTCAAAAGACAAGAATGGCATTGAAATAGCGTTAATATTAGAAGGCTCTGTAAAAAATAGAAAATTTTAGTTAAAAAAATAGGAATTCTTTATGGGCACTACTAGTAAACTAATATTTAGGCTGGTAATAGACATGCGTTTAGTACTTAGTAGTCGTCAGGTTACCCGATTCCTTGTAACTTTCTGATGGAGTCCGATTGCTACATTTGGTCGCTACGTTCTGCCCCCCTCATCGGCTATGGGTAGCATAGCCAAATGCGCCAATGCTTCGAACGTTAGTCGCATTCGAGCAATTTGAGAACTAACAGAATGTCTGTTACTAGCCTTAAATAAGATGTATAATGGAATTTTAAGTGAACAAAAATAATGCAACTACAATCTCTAATACATACATATTTATCTGATAAGCAATATGTTACAGAATTTACACAATTCCTTATATACCTTTTATAAATAAAATTGTTTTATCGCAGAATAAATTATACTTCGTACAGAATATTCATAACAACAGGTATCTTACTAGTACCTTAAGAAAATAATATTAGCAATAGTAATACAAGACAATATAAATTGCACGTCGTCTGTTTGTTTTGTTATCACTAATGTAGTTGTGAGTGAGATCTTTTTCTCTCTGTTTCTCAGTCGTGCGATATGTAGTACTATTTAAAGCTTGAGCCTTTCAAAACTTGAGCTTGTGTAATAAGAGGAGCCTGGCTTCTTTATGTATATGAATTTTGCGTTATAAAGCTTTGTAATGCAGCTTATTTTCCGACTTTGGTGTCATAGATGGCCATGTTTTTTATTTTCAAAACTAAGTTATATCAGATATTTATTCGGAAAAAACTTTTTGGATTACGTTTCCATATTCTGTTACATATTGATTTTTATATTTTAATAGCTATATACTAATTAAATTACATACATTTATTATACTAAGTTTTTATTACTATCTGTAAAATACATGAGTACGCATACACTTTTATACATATATACAAATTAATAATGAAGGATGAATATAATGAATATAATTAAAACATTCTAAAAGCATACAACAATAACCGACACCACTTGTAGCTTAAGCATGATCAAAACGTAAACCAATCCATGCGTGAATAAAATTAAGTACTAATTTGGAAAGAATACCAATTGTGTAAGGATTTTTGTATGTGTATAATAAACATAATAAACTAATACTACAATTAATAATATTATTACTGAACATATATGGGGTATACTATATTATCTATATAATGTATGATACAGATACAGTATCATAATATACTTTACGATACTATAGTCCAAAAATAATTTAGTGATCGAAAAGTTTAGTTATGAATTTATAGTATTATAATATTTTGTAATTTCAAAGTTAACTACAAGTATCTGAATAGACATAATAAGAAACCGTTACATTTAAATTAAAGGTAAATTTAGAAAATTCAAGAGAAATAATTGTAATTGTTCAGAATATAAAGTTATAATACATAGACTATTACAAAATTTTACAAGTCATATCAAGCATAAGCGTTTCGCAATATGCTCTCTATGTACTTGTAAAATTGTGTTTATATTATTTATTCATATTAGAAAATAGTGAATGTCAGTACACGACAACTGTAGAATATAATTACTTACTTTGCAATGAATTGGGATTGTATCGACTTAACAGTTAAAACCTATTCAAGTGAATATGGATCTTTGGCAGACTACTTATGACTGCAATTTGTATGAAGGAGAAATATATATATAAGATAGTATTATGTAGATAGTTGTGAATGACGTGGTACTGACACAGCTTCGATCCGGAGCCGCGGCCGGTCCGGCAATCGCGTGCTGCCCACACGCTCCCTGAATGGAGAGTTCGACACGCCCCCTCCCTGATACCACACACATGTTATGTTAGAATATAACGAAACAGTCGTCTGTGCTCCGGCCACATTGGATGCATTTGATCATAAATTTAACTATAATACTATGTATGTTAAGTGTACACAGGACGGTTTACTGAAACTGCCTTCAATTTAATTTGATTGATGACTCAATGTCAATCACCAAAGATTCAAATGTGGCTCCTCACAATGTGACCGGGTAATAGATTCAGACAACTTAAATAAGTCAATAACATATTGAATATTACATAGTTATATCTTGTACTTGTTTAAGCAATTGATCTGACCTTTAGGAATTAAAACTATAATATATATATAAACAAAAGAAGCCAGCAAACAATATAACTCACAGTATCATAGGTGCATTCCGTGCATTATATTTGCATAATTTTATAATAAGCAGTGCAGATAAATACGCATTTCACATGTACAGTGTGAATGATTTCATTCACAAGATTAACAACCCGAGTTTACCTGAATATCGTAGACGATTTGTTGAATTATGTAATAATGTACTGAAGTAAACAATTATTAGTGATAATAATAATTTCATGAAATAAATAATATGCCAATTAATATATATTGTTGCAAATAAACCGAAAAAAGATTTTTATCAAATAAATTGGACATGTAATAAATAATTGCAAATGAAACTGTGCTACTATTAACAGAGAAGACGCAACCACCTCACAAAAACCCAGCATATGCACTGTTATATATAAAATTACGGCTGAAGATTATAGTAAATAGTGTATTAGTATTGTGACAATTTCTATTAACTGTTACTTATTATTGGCATTAGTCCTCATGTATATTGAGGTTTGAAGATTAAATTGCTAAACTGCACTCCAATTTTAGTTAAATGTAGTACTAACCCCTCTGTTCGCGTTAAACAATACAATTTGTATTACGATAATATTCGTTTTTTATTTAATAATGAAAACAATTAGATAATCAGCTATTGAATATATATACAAACAATGGTTGACTTATAAAATACTTACAGGGAAATCTGTGTGTGAAACCTATAAGAATATATTATAGCACAGTTACATTTTATTACGATACGAGACTATAACATAAATAAACAAATTGTTCTATTGGAAATAGTCCTATCGGCTTGGTGCTCTATTGATACGGAGCGAAGGTGGAGGCGGGGTGTGGTCGCGGACTCATGACACTAAATAATAACTACGTAAACCTTGATACAATATGGTCATTAATAATATATAATTACAGTATTTTATATTCAGCAAGTGTCGTGTCTCTTTGCATTTAGATTGATCGCTGATGACGCGTTGATATTTGTTATCATAAATACGAGTATATAAATATTTTGAAATCTAGTATTATATATATATATATAAGAAATTGTTTTCCCATTAAATTTGACATCGAAATCTAGTATGACATTGAAATGGCCCGTACCGAAAGTGTCGAGTCCATTTTCGAATTCGTCCATTAAGGGGGTCACCCTTAAAAATCTAATTTCAGCCCTGTGGGCATGGACTCCACGTTGGGAAACACTGCTATTATTATTATTTATTATATTACATATGATATAGATAATACCAGTGCTGTGTGCACTTAGAACCAAATACTGTATCAAGGTCACGTTACACGCGCGCATACTACGGCAACGTCACTAAAAAATAATTTTCAATTCTGATACGAAATCGACAAACGGTATAGACAATCATGGACAGTTGCGGATAGTAGAGGCGTGCAGTTATTATCCAGCAGACGGGTAGTACCTGGGCGCTCCTAGTGAGGATGGAGGTAGAATGTCGCCGCCGCGTTAGCGCCGAGTCGTTGGCGCCGCCCGCGCCGACCGCGCCCGCCATCTGCAGCACGCGAGCGTACAGCCGGTCGCGTTCGGTCGCATACGATCGCGCCTGATCGCACTCGGGCGCATCCGTTCGCTTCCGGTTTTGTCGCCTCTATTAGATCGGCTGCTCAATAATTATATTGAGAGTCCGTGTCTTGAGGCATTTAATGGCCGAATTTATATCTATCTTCGCCACAGCAACGAGTCTCGCCTAGTGGCGATGGGGCCTATAACGGGGCTTTCTACCTTTGATATAATTATTATCGAGTTAATACCATGCATTTGGACCCAAACAGGAAATTACAAATATGTATAATGCAACATAAAAATATATTTTTTAACTTAAGTCCATGAAAATTGTACGAAAAACATGCGCATTTCACAAACATACATGTGCTAAGTGTTTTTTTTTGTAATTTATTCTCCACTACCATGGGATTCACGTATTATTTTTAATCATGCTTTTAACATCAAAGGATATTGAATTTCATGTTTGAGCGTCCATTTAGTGAATCATTATGTTCAAATGTTGCAAGCATTTTAGACAATCTGTATATTACATATACAGTTATTAGATTGGAAAGTCAATTTTATTAATGTTGTGCTTTACAGAAAACATGCAGTGAAACATACTAAGTGCATTCTATATATATCATGCTAATTACAAAATATTATGTATGTATTAAAATAGTATGTATACAACAAATATGTACAGAAACATGTAAGTGTAACATGTATATTCATATAGTATAGAGCCTTTGCAACTGTATATCGAAAAATAAAAAAATAAAGTTATTTTCTCCGTTATAACCATAAAATTTGGATTTCATTTTTAAGAATAATGATAATTGATGTAATGCATCAAAAATTGTGAATTTCGAATGATTCGATGTGACGTGATCGCTAAATGACATATTTTTTATATTTATAATTTATATTACTTACTAATATAGTGGGATATGCGAATAAGATACATTCAGTAAGATTATACAATTATTATAAATGAATTGAAATGAAAATTCAAGTATACATTTACAAATCAATACGGAAAATCTACACTCTAAGTGTTTCTATGAAAGAAAAAATAAATAAATGGTGGCTAGATATTACAGCATTAAAACTAATTGCTTAGTTCGTAAACATTATATATTGATAGTTTATAGATAGTCTATCCATAACTACATAAATATAAAACGCATTATTATTCAAGTAAAATTCATTGCTTTTTATTTGATAACCTAAGAATTAATTCTGAAACAACGCATTCAATATGAATAGACTAGCATATGATGATTGACTAATTATCTCAAAATACTACTAACTACTCCCATAAAATAAAAGACAGTAAGAAGAATATAAATGAAATCCAAATTTTTTAAAATACTCTATCCTTTATAGATGTTTGTGTGTGGTGTACTAACCCTCTGTTTATTAGGTCTTTTGACCTTATTGAAGTATAATTCTGTCATTTTTAAAAATCCATCGGTCAGCTGATCGAGGTCTTGTCGTGTTGAAGTCGGATAGATGTCACAATGTGTAGTTTCATCTTCCAGTATCTGTTTGGTGGCGGGACAGGGCAGCGGCAAAAGTAACGTTCGGAATCGCCAGTATTTAAGGGCCTTATGGGAAGAAGTTTTATAGTAGTTTAATTATATGCTTAAAAAATTATATAAATATTACATTTTTTTTATATGTAACACATCATCATCAAATTATATGTAAAACATCTTTGTGAGATTACTTTATCAATATATAGAATGGCCAAATTGTCAAATTACTAATTATAATTAAACACAATTTTTTGCTGCCTGTTCTTTTTGTGTTATTGGTTCACATTTAGTATCATAAAAAAGTTTTAAAATATACAATATATATTACAGCACCTATACAGCTTAAGAATCATATAGTCAGTCTATCTACGATAACGAAGGTTTCGTAATTGTGGACATATATATGTATTTCCGAACTTAATAAATAGCTGTAAGTAAGTATGTATGAGTAATATAATAATATGGAGAATTCTTACCTCTACTAGTGCAAAGTCTGTATCGCCCCTGGTGCAAATGTAATGGTCCATATAATTCCAGTTGTATGTTTCTAGTTTTTCAGTAGTGAAAGACACCCATGAAACCTCGTATGTGTCATGATTGGGTGCGTGGAACCGATATCGGTAGTGTATATTGAAAGGCGGATACGGATGTCTGTAATTATTAAATCACATTATATTAAATACTAGCTACTCGCCCCGGCTTCGCACGGTTGTACATATATTATATATATAACCGCTTCAAAATCCGTTTCGTAGTTTTAAAGATTTAAGCATACATATGGACGGACAGACAGCGACCGCGACTTTGTTCTATACTATATAATGATATTAATTTCCTACATTACACGCAAATTACCTCTAGATAAAAAAGGAAACACCGAATTATCTATACCTACTGTTTGTGATCGTTATCAGCTAGTATTATGTGTAACAGCGAAAAATGTTTTTAAAAAATCATCTTATAATTTCAGGTACGTTCTATCGTCCAAAAAAAAAAAATAACAAATATGTCCTGAATAGGCATAAGTTAATCATATCATAAAGCAGTGTAAGACTAGATTTTCAGCAGTGTGTTATTTCTATGCTATTTTTATAAAGAAAGGATTTCATATCCTTACTTTATAAAAATCTTATAAAAAAGAAATATTAAATATATGTTATTTCTTACCTCGGTCTGTATCTAGTAACGGTAATGGTAGAACCAAATAATGTTAGCTTGTGGAATATCCTGCCGATAGAAAGCAGGTATCGTTTTGTAGGCGCGGCATTGGCAGGCTTACCGCACTGCGGAGCCACCTTCGACGGTGGCGGCGCCGGCGTCGAAGGACAGTGAGCTTCGATTACGTCATTCTCACTCACACCCACTATTAATTGAAACCCCTGGAATATAATGTCATAACCTTTAATTTCGTTCATACGAGAATTAGACGCTTTATACATATTATTGCTTTAGAACTTGTATCCGACTTCAAACTTTCAGTACTATAAACCTAACCAAACTATATATACACAATACCATGTAGAACAGCATGGTGATCTACACCATGGAAAAATTTCATATCAACATTGACATGAACACTAGTGCAAACTAAGTGGCAGTTATAAGCTAGTAAATCAAATCATTTATTCATGAAGGACATTTTACGTGGGTATGAATGTTTTTTTTTGTATTAATATTTTATTCCTACCGTCCAGTTCAGTATACAGATTCAATTGAGAAGAACTGGCAAGAAACTCAACAGGCTTTTTTTTTAATAGCCAGTTTATTTTTACATTGTGTACTTATGTAGGTGTATATGTCTAACATTAAGTAGAAATCCTGGGCATAAACTATTATTGCCATGCACGTCTGTCATTCAAGTAATCATTTGTTGTGTTATAGGCTTTGCTGAAAAACTATGATTTAATAGATGTTTTGAATTTATTGAAAGGTATTTCCAGTATATCCTTCGGTATCTTATTGTAAAATTTTATACCCATTCCCATAAATAACTTTTTCTAAACGATACTAGTAAAATAAAGTAGCGCTGACTGAAGATATTCGTGTCTTATATTATCTTCAGCCGGATAGTAGAAGTGCTGTTATTACTCGAATATAATAAATATATACTAACCTGCGCCAATCTTTGGGATACCAACTCCTTAAACACCTCCATAGTTGTTAGTGGTTCTTTATATATAGCACGGTTCTGTGCGAAATCTGCATTCACGTCGTCTGGTAACAAGTTGTAGTCCGAAACTAGATAATCGTTCTGAAGCGAACGCTTATCCGGGAAATAATCCGTTGTTATAGGCAAACACGCAGGAATTGTTAGTGATTTCCAGTCCACACCTATATAAAGATTAGATATTATAAGAATTTAGGAATAATTAATCATTATATTTGTATTAATATGTCATTTAAAAGTAATGTGAACAAATACAATTTAAAAAATAATACTGTGATGTTACGTATACCTACATGGGTCTACGATATAATGATTAATGTTAAATTACATTTTAATATTTTTCTCTTGATGATATACTAATAGAAGTGGCATGGTATTTGTATTAGTATTATTATATGTATTGATATATATTTAAAGTTATTAAATAATAGAAATAGCAATTTAGTTACATTTCAATGGCAGATAGGAATACAAAGAACTTTGTGTTAACTAATCATGCAGATTTCTCATGCCATCGAATTCCGATCAAATCAAATAAACGACATCTATTTAGTGGCATTAAATATTCATTTTATTTGTTTTAGTGTAGTAGTAGTTTTTGCGCGAAAGAGTAAAAATACATTAATCAAAAATAACAAACATTTTTATATTTATAATAATAAGATTTGATCACGATTCAATTGCATGAAAAATCAGCTGATTTATAATTGTGTGACAAAAGTTTGAAATCATGCGACAAAAGGCTGCAGTCGCAGATTGATTTTAAAAATACAATTTATAAAATAGTGAAACTGTAATTTAAAAACAAAAAAATGTTCAAATAGTCATATCAAAATGCTTTTAGTGCAAGCGTAGTTTAAGCGTATGAAATTACGCATGCGAATTAGAGGGTGATCCATGCAAAAAGTAGAAAAGCCGAGCTATTATTTTGTAATTACTCAAATTAATGCATATTCATTATTAACTTATAAACGTGTTTTAAACTGCGATAATAGATACTGGATTTGCGCTAAATAATACAATACTAGGAAGCACTTTTGCTTGTTTTAGTACAATAATACAAATCCCCTTTAGCGTGGCAATTAATCACTTTAAGACATAGGCATTAACTACTCGACGTAAATCCAATAATTATATCAAACCTATGGCTCGGTTCGCTTTGCGTGGTGATCATCCCAACGCGTTTTCAATGCGACGATGGGCATCATGAAACATTAAAAATGAGATGGGTATTTATTAAACTGTAAACAAGGGCATTCGCAGGATTTGTATACAATAGTGGTTCATTCTACCAACATAATATTAACAAATTCAAACTGAAGTGAATAAATTTATTTTATAATATTAATAAATACGTACACTCCTATAAAAGTATTTAATGAATTCACGAGATAGATACCCGTACATGTTTAATTTCAACTTTTATTACTATTAGTAAGTAATCAATCAGGGACTACTGATAACACAAATTAAATTCCAATATAGTAGTAGTAACATAATTAATGTAAAACAATTAGTAATTGTAAACCTTTATTCAATATTAACAAATAAATTAGGTTCAAGCGACTATTATTACAATTAAAAAACTATAGGAAAGTGGAAGCCGGGCTCACTTACTCAGTATTCTGAATAAAATAATGTAAACAGACTGACAGATATTACATATATTATATCGATTGTTACATTTAATAAAATTCTAAGAGTGTAACATTATAAACTCTAAATAAACCCTGCGTTTTCCCTTGCGAACAGTGAACTAAATTGATCCTTGTCCCTTAAGGTACCCTTATAACTGTGATAGTTAGAATGAAATATTGAAATGGTTTTACAATAAATGAATGATACATTAAACAAACTTTTCAGTTTCTTATTTAAGTTTTGCCTGAAATAAAATTATTTCATATATTAATTTTTTACTAAACTAAATACCAGCAATGATATAGATTTAGGTATTTAATTTAATAAATAATGTATATCTGTGTCAAAACATTAGTATTTTATTGTTATTGGACAACTCTAGTTATTGACAATAAAATCTCAGATGAAATAAAGATAATTAGGACCACGATGGCAGCTTCTATACTAAGAAATTATCAAGCCAATTTATCAAGATAGATAAATGTACACTCTTGTAAAAGTTTATGAAGTTAGATAAAAGGCATTATAGTATTACAAGTGTTGTGTATGAAGAGTTCATCATTAATTACATTCTTTTCGTCACAGATATAATCAACCTTATACCATTTACAATAGAACATGGTGATTACTATTCAAGTAAATTGTTTTTGTACTAGTTTACTGTATTGCAAATAATAAATATACAAACAATAAGCTCTATTATTGCCAGTTACCACACACAAACAAAATTAAAAAATAAAATATATTTTTAAAATATCATAGGACAAAGTGACAAACAGTCATAAATAAAATGTTACTAACAGACTCACTAAGTTTCAAATTGACTTGTTAAGTTATAGAAGTTTATGGAACAATATTTGTATATTAATATCGCTTTCTATTGTAAATGTTCTAAGATAAATAATTTCTGTATAAAGTATTTATGCTCCGTTTATAATTTTATCTAATAAATAGTTAAAAATATAAAATATCGAAAAGAAAACAAGTATCTAGACTTTATTTTCATTACGTAAAAACAATATTATTCCTAATCCATTTTATTATTTTCAATTTCATGTTACTAGAACGTTAATTTGTTTTAGCAGTTAACCATAATATTCTTTTACTCATCTTATTAATCAAGCACTCATCATAAGATTTATATGAACATTATAAACTAGGTATTTAAATACAATGAAACGATATTGTATGTAGTACAATCTAAATGAGAATTAGAACCTCATAAATAATTTTATTAACACTAGTAAGAAAGAAATTACGTCTCATGTATATGAATTAAATTATATTTATAGTCTATACTTATATCACAGAAAGTACATATAATATAACAACTAATATATTTTTCCAATATTGTTTTATAAAGTATACGTTTAAAATTTGCAGTTTATTAAAGATACAATCCTTTCGTTAAACATGACAGATTGTCGACCGTACAATGGAGTCCGTAAAACATTAGCATATCTTATCCATTACTATTAAGTTTGTTAACTTACGATTAGAAATGTGACCGCGTTCTTATGAAAACTTAATAAAATGGACAGAGAAAACCAAAATACTTTAAACTGAAATTTTGCAATAGCCTCAACAAAAAATATAACACTCACACACTTTAAATAAACTAAAAAGTACACACCTGTAGTAAGGGCTGGCGTCCATTCCTGTTCACCAGTGGCGCCCCATAGTAATGCCAAGGACGCGTTATTGGTGGTGGACGGTGCACCTAATGTTGTCCCCAAAACCGTCATAGCAACCGATGTACTAATCATCCGCCTGCGACCCATGATGTTCCCTAGATTTTATATAATTTTAAAACAATTTTGTTTAAAGAAAATGTTGCCTAAGTTGTAAGATATTATGGAGAAAATTTCATGGACATTATTAGTTATTTAATAAAAAAAAACATAGTACCTAACCTACTAACCTACCTAAAAACCTGTGTGTGGAGAGGGGTCAGGGACATGTAGCCTTAAAATGCATATAGATAAAATTGACAGAAATTTAAAAATTAAAGACCGTTCCGACTTTTCCTGATAGAACAAGAATGATGTTACAGTTTACTAAAACATATATTATTCATCTCGAATGAAGTTGGGTAAATATATCGAAGGTTGTGGTAGACAGACAACTATCATATGGGCAACATAGTAGATAATACTTACCATCAACTTGATATATAGAATGGTTATTATTCACAACGGCAGAACCGTTTTCTTTGTTGTTGTCCCGTGGTTCGGTACGGGAAGCAGCTTCGCCAGCCGGACGCGCTTGGTAGTGGTGCTGCTGTATCAACACACCGGTGGGGCCTGTTCAAATTATAACCAATTTCATAAGCCAGTTTGTTCACATTTATTACAATTAGCAGTAGCATTTTGTAATAAATTATATAATAATATGCAATTAATAGTAATTGGCATTTTATTTATTTGTACTATAAGCTTTGGCTTTGTCATAAACACACTTTAAGTGTAGATTATGTAAATAAATCCTATGCGATTGGCATCTTTATTATTGAGACCTAATGAATATACATATACATATTGGTTTAATTTTTAAATTAAAAATATTATACCTTTAGGGAATATATGTGTCCATCTCCTTCTATTACTGGTAAGCTTGACGGTAACATGTGACGGGTCGAATGGATTGATGAGAGCTCGGCCAGTCCTAATAACCGGCTTGTGGTTTGAGATCGAACTGCGGGGCGACAGTCGCTTATTGGATAGAGGGCTATCCGTTGCGTCACTGTTAGAGTCGAATACATTTGCTTTATCTGAAAAATATTTTTACCAATGTAAAATAATAATATAAGGTTTTTCTAGAAACTTATTGATAATATTTCTTGTTATAAAAGCTGTCATTCAAATTAAAGATAAATATATATGTACTACAAAAAACATATTAATTCGAATTTTAGCATCATAGAATGGATAATATAATCAGAGGCCACTATATTCTTATGTCAGTGACAATTTGATGAGAATGAACTATTGTCAGAGCTAAACAGAAATAAGGATCCACTTGACATCCTAAACTTGTCTATTCGCCACTTAAATAAAAAAATCCGTATTAACACAATATACACACTTCCTATACTTAGTATATCACCCAAACTGTGATGTATGTCTGGATCTGACATTTTTCTATGATGTGTAGCAGGCGGACTTCTTCTGCTCATGCCCTCTAAACCTGCTACAGACGTCTTCTTCGTACGCGCCACCCTTTGCACACTGAAATATTATACGATGCATAGTAAATTTACTATGAAATGAATTCACATGGTTACTACTATGTGATTAAATAATTGTGACTTTTCTTGACACTTTCAGCAAAATATACACGAAATATTTATTAGCACTACTCCTACAGTCCAGTATCCCTAACTACTTCAGTAGAGAAGAATTGGCAAGAAATTCAATTAGTATATTTTTTCTGTAATATGTTTATTTCACTTTTAATCCTAAAATAATTAAAATAATATTAACATTGAAAGAAATTGAGTTAATTAAATAAAAATATGAATATAAAATCTGAATTAGTCAATTCAATCAAAATACAGCTGAATGTTTCTGAAATAAACAAATGTAACATGATTTTTATTATACTAACCACGTACTATGTGCAGGTGGCAACTGAAAAACTTGAGCGTCATACGCATCATAATCGAAAATAGAGTTGTGCATATATTCGTCCTCCTTAAGGAGTTTTCCATTCTTTTCATCCTCATACATTTTCTTGAGTGGCTCCTGGCTCTTTCTAGGCGGCAGTTTAATTCTAGGTATAAAATTTGAATATGCTACTTTTTTATTCGTGGAATAAAATGATAAATTTATCCAGTGAGGCATAGAGTAATCATCGATAGAATTCAAATTATTGTCTTTGTTGTGAAACTTCAATAATGGCACAGCATGCAATGGTTGCTCTCCGACGCAGACTAAGTCACTCCCAACTCCATTGTCTATAATCCTTTGTTTGGTAACATTAGTTAGTTCTCTATCAACTTCGAACACACCTACTCCTGGTGTTATAACTACACTCAATTGGCCAGTTCGGTCAAAACATCTATCTAAGTAATGTTTTTCAAACACTGTAACAAAGAAACCACATATGAATTATTAAAATTGGGTCATTAGTCTACCGAAAATAGGGTCGAGGGCACTAGTGGAGTACCACTCATTTGGAATGTAGTCATGACATGAAGAATGATCACTTCAGAAACTTATATGTTGCTCTCTTATATCACTGTTATACAGCATTACATAACTATTTAGTATTTTCACATATAAAAAAAATTACCATTTAAACTCATATTAAGCACTTCTAAAAAGTTCCCTTGTGCAGCAGTAGAGTTTATTGCAGTAGGTATTTCCATGTTAGGTCGTTCATGGTATTGTAATACAATCTTTTGATAATCCGTAAACAGTCTTCTTAATTGCAAGAGTACATTGGACCAGTCTTCGTATCTCTCGTTTTGAACAGCTACTCTGTAAGATTAAAATGTGCTTGTGTTTAAAATAAACTACAAATGTAACGTATCTTCACTTTTCGCACTATGCCCCCCTCAATATGTAATGGAAGTGTATAAATAGAAAGGTTTTCATGTAAGAAACATCTTAGTTATACATGATATTAACAATCACTAAAGAGACTTGACAACTTCTTAAGTTTTTAGTGGTTAAGTAAACCAAATTAATCTAAGAGATAAGTGGTGCATTTTTGCCTTCAATATGAATTTACCTATTTATAGATAGGATTATAAATAATTGTTTTGTTAAATGTTAATGTTATATTTCTATAAAAAATATAGCCTATGTATTATTCTGGTGCATAATCTATATTACGGTAGTTTCATCAAAATCCGTTCATCCGTTTTTGCGTGAAAAAATTAACAAACATCCCTATTTTCGCATTTATAATATTATTATTATTAGGATTAGGATTAAGATTTTTAGTATTGTATACATTTGTGTATAAATTTTTAATAACTTTGCATACCTATAAAAATCTTCATAAAATCGTCCTCTATAATCTTGCTGTAGACACTCCTTCATGTGTTGAGGGAACTCTTCTAATGTCTTAGCTTTATAGAAAGTTCTTGAAAATAAAACTATTGTAACTTCATGATTGCTTCCATTTTTCTAAAATATAAAAACTAGACATAACTTCAAGCTGGGTATTGAAGATCATAGAGCTGACTATATGGCGCAGTTCCATTAATTTTACAGTTACAATTATATAAATCACACTATATAGTATATATCACAGACTGTAATCTTGAAAACATTTAGAATAAGAAGTTATTACTACTTTTCATAATAAATTTTCAGTTTAAAAAAAATAATAAGCACAAATCATCATAGACATGACTCATGCAAATATATGGAGCCATCTGGCAGTCCACCAAAAACTATAACTGTAATGTAAACAATAAAAATTATCCCTGGATAAAACACACAAATGCATGGAGTCCCAATTTAAACAGTCCATGTGTTATGGGTAACTAAGCAACTGATAGAAATACTTAAATACATTGCTTTGTAAATACATTTGCAATGTATATTATGTATATAGATGGTATATGCAGGGATCAAAACAAACAATCATACTTGTAAAAGCAAATTACTGTATGAATTGAATTCACAACCATCTGATCTAAGGTGTGCTTAAACACTCAGGCCACTAACGCTTTGTGTGTTTAAATTATATTCCATACCCAATTATTGTCTACGATGTATAGATAATATGTAATATGTATAATTAATTACATGCTAGACTTAATGAATAATTTTTACCTTCCACTTAGCAAAGAGATCAGCAAGAAACCCATTCACAGCCTTTTCGAAATATAAATCTCCATGAATATCAAAGTCCCACATCTCGGAAGACATTTGTATAAATAGGTAGACCATAGATGTTGATGATCGGAAAACTATTTTTGTGTCTTCAGTAATGACGCCACAAGCCACTCTGTCTCCTTGTGACCACATTTCATACACTTGGCATCTAATTGCCCCACCACAATATTCAATTTTTTTATTTAAATAGACACATGTGTTTACCTGTAAGGAAATTAATAAAATTGATGATTTTTGCACTATTCATATTCACTAGTATCCTATTTACCCCATGATTTTTATTTTAGAGCAGCTTATTACAGTTTAATAGCTCATCACATCTGTTCACAAATAATAAATATTGTTTGTACAGGACCTACAAGATATCTTCCTAAACAATTATAAATGAAATGATAAACCAGAGTAATATGGTAATTATACAAGTACATCTTACATAAAATGTAATGTTAATAATATTACCAAGTGATTCTTCAACCTCCACATTTCAGACCTTCCCATGTACAGATCCTTGAATGTGAGTTCAACAGAGTCCAGAGCCACATCGGCAACATTGACAATATTGACATACACATCAGCAAATGTTCTTAACTGGAAAGTTGTTGCTATACTATGCTCCACACTGATTGTGTCTGTAAAAATATAATATTTATGGTCATGTTCAGTTGTATGTATTACATACATAGTGTAATCATAACTCTAGTTTTTTCTTGCCTATTGTTTATCTACATATCTACATGAGTTGGCATTTTGTTATAAGTTGAAAAATTAGAATTTAAACTATTTGCTGGGTAGTCAATAAATAAATCACCTATGCTGTCAATCTACATACAAAAATATTTTACTTCATTTTAATTAATTCATAGTCAATTCCTCAATAGTACTATAATAATAAATAATCTTAAATAAATTAACAATGTTATTATACTCTATGTTATATTGTTGAGAAATATTTAAACATTATAAATATTAATATTAAATCTGTGCTGTCTATATGATAACTGAATACAATTCATTACACAGTTACACACATTACACATTCACAGTAAAAAGAATCCCAGTGCTAATTTGTGTTTACAGAAAAATATGTATAACCTCTGACTCGACCCGGTGCATCCACCTTAGTGACTTGTAACAACAGCCTTGGGTAATCATTTTCAGGATGATAAATTTCCACAATATCTTTTTCTTTTAGACCGGGGTAATCCTTAAGGTTTATTATTAAATCCTCCGCTGAAAACAATTAAGTAATTCTTATATTACTTATTATACATTTAGTATTTCCTTTGATATACAGACATACAATGATTGCTTGCCTAATGATGCTGATAGGATGAGGGTACAGTAAGGTCCATAAGCCCATTATGGTAAATCCATCAAGAACTAACAATCCCTTCTTTCCCTTATACATTTAGTATGAATTATGAATTTATATTGAAGTCAATTAGTTATTGCTTCCACAGGTATTCTCATTATGTGGTATAAAGTTCAACTTCTTTTAGTGTATGATTATACACCAATAATAGTTGAAATTTAGCTAACAGCAGCTAAAAATAACAGTATTTCATGGCACATTCTTGAAATAGCAATAGTTGGTGATATAATATTTCAATATAGTCTATTTGAGAATCTCTGCTTCTTAGAATTGGAAAATAAACTTGGTCAAGATAAAATTGCACATACTGCAGAACTACTGCAATTCTTGTAATTATCTAACGCTTAATAAAATATATAAAAAACTATATTGCTCTGAAATGAAACTACAGAATGGATATCTTTAAAAATAGTACTTACGACTAAAACTAGATTGATGTACGATAAGCTTAAAGGCCTTCATATTAGTACCATTGTTAATCCTTGAAAAAATAATACATTACAGATAATTAGTTACGCATTCATATTGTTTTCTTTATATCAGACAGTAAGAATATAAAAGATAAAAAACTGAAAAATAATTAGTTGAATTAATAATTAAGAGAGACAACTTCAATATCCTCTGCACAATAAACAAATTATTTATTTTTGACACAAGGTATAGATTTATTTGTCTGTTGTCAAACTAAACTACAGATTACAGAGAGTAATAATAAATGGTATAGCAGTGTAATACTGACAGTATTATATGTATGGAAGTCAGTGATCTCTAGTATTATATTCTTTGTCAGTGATAAACTAACAATTTTCGGAAATTAGGATGAACATTTGAATTTTTGATGTCAAATAACTTATTAAAATAATTACTTTATAAATATCACTAATATTGCTTAGCTGCTGTATCTTAATTCTTTTTAGATTACAACAGCACTACCTTTTTTTTTTTGGTTCGGGTTTTCCTTTATAGGGAAAGGCAAAAGGACTCAGCCCATACAGCCATTGTCTTCAGTAATATTTTCTTATATAATTTTTTTTTCCAATAATTGTCTTCAGAAGTTACAAATCTTGAAAACTTGATATAACGTACTCAAAAATGGGTTTGTAAGTTTCTGGGTTCTTCAATAGATTCTGGATGGAGCGCGGGATCTCCATTTTATCATATATATTGATCAATTTATCAATAAATATTAATCGCTGGATTGCGAAATGTTGACAGTCAAAAAATAAGTGTTCTAATGATTGATCTTCGTCTCTCTCGGTAGAACAAAAGTCACATATAGGAGACGAAACCATTTTCATCCTATGCCAATGCTTTTTATATCTTCCATGTCCAATTCTGAGACGACATAAAATTGAATAGAATTTCCTTTCCGCATATTTTCCTTGAACGAACCATGGCGGTTTAAATTCTTGCTGTATTTCTCTGAACCATTTATCTTTAACTTTTATGGATTCTTCCCACTGTTGTTTCCATTTAGTTTTAATTGTTTTCTTATTTCAACGATAAAGTATGAAGCTGGGATTAACATGTATTTTTCTTTTCCTTGAATTTTACAGTTTGTGATGAACTTAGCCAGTTCATCAGCTTTTTTGTTGGCAGTGAGTCCAGATAAGGTTAATATCCATATTAAGGCGTTTTTTAAAATCATATATTTTCCTTTGAATATTTTGTATAACAAAAGATATTTTACTAAAAGAAACGTTCCCAATGTTGAATTGGGAGATATTCCGAGTGAAAATTACCTAGATTTTAATGGATATTTTTAATAAAATACGAACATGATGTTAAACGTAACTTTTAATCTATCAATATATTCTTTTTAACAATGACAGAATTTATTACTCAAATACAATTATGTATATTAACCTCTATGTTCATTCAACATGCCCCCTTAATTGTATTTTAATTTAACATGTATTTAAGAACTAAGTAATTAAGAACACCACTAAACATTTTAAGAAAACTACTTTAAAAAAAATATTAATATTACTTACTCACTGAACTATAACTATTACAATAAACAAATAAAAAAAAACTTCTGTCTTAAAATAAAATAAAATTACTTGTATAGTTGCCCCCTTAATTTTGTTTTATAAACTAAGAAATAATATAGGACTTTAAATAAGAAAATTTTACATTTCCAAGAGGCTTCGTCAGAATATCAGCTATTTGATGCTCAGAGGGGCAATATTTTATTTTTAAAAGTCCTTCACTGACTTTTTCGTGTATATAATGATATCTGACATCGATGTGCTTTGATCTTCTGTTCATAATACCGTTGTTAATTAAATGAATTGTACTTTGATTATCTACATAAAGCGTTGCATTAACTTCTTCTTTTACTACCTCACTAATTAAGTTTTTTAGGTACATTAACTCCCGGCAACAATCTGCAGCAGCTATATATTCGGATTCCGATGATGACATGGCAACTATGGGCTGTTGTCTTGATGACCATGTAATAGGTCCTCCACATAGAAAGATTATATAGCCTGTTGTGCTCTTTCTTGTATGTGGATCATTAGCATAATCAGCATCACAATAAGCTTCTAAATGTAGATTACTGTTATAAAATTTAATACCTGAATTCGATGTCCGTAGCAGGTACCTTAATATTCGTTTTCCATTAATGACATCTTGCTTTGTTGGTTTTTCCACTCGTCTACTACAAAAATTGACCGCAAATGCTATATCAGGACGAGTTTTATTAGCAACATATAATAGCGACCCTATAAGTTCTCTGTAAGGAAAATACGAATTATTAAAATCAACTTCTTCATCTTCTGTCTCTATTTTGTTTGCTCCGATGCACATTGGTATTGGAGTACTTTTAGCATCTTTCATTTCAAATTTATTTATTATTTTGTTAATGTAATTTTCTTGTGTTAATGTAATATGATTATTTTCATTTTTGTTAATTTCTATTCCTAGAAATAAACTAGGTTCTGTATTCAACGTCATTTCAAATTCATTTTCCAGCTCTTTTATCAACTTCTCCATTTCTTTTTTATCTTTTCCCATGAGTATTCCATCGTCTACATAAATACCCAATATAAGTGATTCATTTTAAATAAACATTGATCAGCTTTTATAGGTAACAATCCTTTATTTTTTAAATATGATGTAAATCTCTCGTTCCATTTTAATGGTGCTTGTTTTAAGCCATAGAGTGATTTTTTTAATTTTACATATTTTTCTTCATAACCCTCTGGTAACTTCATGTATATATCTTCCAATAACTCTCCATATAAAAAAGCTGTTTTAATGTCAAATTGCATAATATTGTAATTTTTATATGCAGCAATAGCAAACATTGCTCTTAATGTACTTGTATTTATTACTGGACTGTACGTTTCCGTATAGTCGATTCCTTCTTTTTGTTGACAACCTTTTACTACTAATCTAGCCTTATAGCGACCACTTTCCTTAATTGTAAATACCCATTTTGCCGTTAGTATATTTTTATTTTTTACTTCTTCCACATCTATTATATTCCACGTATTATTTTGCTCTAATGATTGCATTTCATCTGCTATAGCTTTTTTCCATTTTAATTTATCATCTCCAGATATTGCTTCTTTGTATGTTAAATATACGAAATCTGGATGTATATTTCGTTTCTTTTCTCTTTTTCCTCTACCTAGTAAAGTATCATCTTCTTCTATAATATTATTATTGTTTGAACAACATGGAGTATTCTGTAAAAAATTTGTTTGTATGTCTTGTGACTGTTCTTTATCTTGTTCATACTTATCATTCATACGTACCATCTCTACCGTATCATTAAAGTTTTTAATTTCTACATTGTCATTTTGGCAATCCGTTAACAAAGGTGTATTATTATGTTTTTCCTTATTTATATTCATATCAAAATCATTGGCTATTTCATTAACATCATTATGAAAAATTACATCTCTCTCTACATAAATTTTTCTTTTCTCATCCGACCACAATCTATATCCTGTATGAGCATATCCAACCATTATTAATTTTTTGCTTCTAGGTTCAAGTTTTTTTAAATAACCAAGTTTTTTTACATATGCTGTACTGCCAAAACATTCGACATATTTAAGATTTGGTTTTTTATTTGTCCATTCTTCATATGGTGTAATATCCATTCCAACTGTAGGTAATCTATTAAGTAGGTATGTAGCCACTAAAACGGCCTCACCCCACATTTCATTTTTAAGTCCAGATTGGAATAATAAAGTACGAGCTTTTTCCATAATGCTTCGATTTAACCTTTCAGCTTTTCCATTTAACTGAGGTGTATGGTGAATAGTGTAATCTAGTTTTATCCCTTTTCTCTGACACCAGATTTTAAGATCATTATTGGTGTACTCACCACCATTATCACATCTTATAGTACTGACTTTATTCTCTGTTTCACGTTCAACTTCGTTAATATAATCTTTCAGGAGTTGTGACACTTCATACTTATTTCTCATTAAATAGATTTTTACGAAATGTGTAAAATCATCAAGTATAGTCATAAAATATTTCTTACCATCCCAAGTTTCATCTTCGATACTACACACATCAGTATGAATAATTTCTAACTTTCTAGTAGCTTTATTTCTAGAATAAAATGGTTTTCGAGTTTGTTTCGCCATAATACAAATTTCACATTTAATGTTGGTTAATAATTTTTCATCTATGTTTATACCAGTTGCAAATTTTGATAATTTTAACAAAGATTCATTTGACGGATGTCCCATTTTAAAATGCCACATACTTGTGTTGTCTTTCTTTGTTGTATATAGTGACATATCTTTTCTGTCAATAAATGTTTCTAAATTTATGACATATAATCCTTCTGCTGTTCTTTTACCGTGTAGGATTGTTTCAGAATCTTTAGTAATAATTACAGACTGATCTGAGAAATTCACTTCACCGCCATTATTTGTTATATTGTTTACAGATAGAAGATTTTGAGTTAAACTGGGTACGAACAAAACTTTTTGCAGTATTATATCTCGACCAATTATTATACCTTGACCCTGTGCCATCATAGTTTCATCATGTTTAGCAACACTGATCTCAGATTGAATTTCTTGAAAATCATGTAGTGTATCTCGGTTGTTTATCATGTGAATTGAACAACCCGAATCCACTATAAATTGTATGCTTTTCTGGTCATTTGACATTTCTTTAGATAGAAAGGTAACGTGTTTGTTATCCTTTTGATATTTATTTACAAATTGTTTTTTATCTGTACTATAGTTGTTCTTCTTTTGAATGTGGTATTTCCGAAAATAGCAATTAGCTTCTATGTGATTTGTCTTTTTACAAATAGAACATGGTTTTGTTCTACATTGTTTCGCATTATGACCCATGCGATTACAATTTAGACATTTTACAACTTTCTGCGTCTTAAAAGCAGTAGCAGTTGTATTCATATATTCAGTTTTATTCAGCCTATTTTCTTCCGTTAAAAGTCGACTTTTTAGGTTTTTAAGGGTCTTTTCATCTGTTTGTGTTGATTCCCATGCAGTAATAAAATATGAATAGTTGTCTGGTAATGAACTTAATATTTTTGATGTTATAACTTCGTCATCCAATTTTTGTCCAAGTTTTTTTTTAGTCTAAAAGTGAGATTTTCTATTTCTGACAGATATTCATTAATGTTATGACTAGGTCGATATTTATAGTTGAAGAATTCTTGTAAGATTTGACATTTATTACGTTCTTCTGAACCATCATATAAACTACAGAGATTGTCGAACATATCTTTTGCATTTTCACAATTTAATAAGTGTTGTACATGTTTTTTATCAATAGATGTAATTATAATAGCCTGAGCTTGAGCATCTTTTCTTTCCCAGTCGCCATCTTTTTTCAATTCATTATTGCTTGCTATTATTTCAAATAATCCTTTGGCTTTTAGTATTATTTTTATCTCGAACTTCCAGATATTATACGATTCATTATCTACTAGTCTTGTTATGTGGTCTTCATTACTATTACCCGATCTCGCCATTTTTAATGTTTTTAATTTTAATTATTATATTTTATGTAAATATTAATATTTTTTATATTATTTGTAGTTATTAGCCCATAACCTGTTGAATTGGGAGATATTCCGAGTGAAAATTACCTAGATTTTAATGGATATTTTTAATAAAATACGAACATGATGTTAAACGTAACTTTTAATCTATCAATATATTCTTTTTAACAATGACAGAATTTATTACTCAAATACAATTATGTATATTAACCTCTATGTTCATTCAACACCCAAGGGCCAAAAAGACACTCATGCTGTCCGTTAATATGACCCATTTATCATTATTGTTCGTTTCATCAATATAGTCCAGCGCTGAAATAATAGCGTAAGCTTCAGCAGTAAATGCTCGATTTATTCGATATTTTTTACCGAATGAAATTTTTTCCTTGTCATCATAAACAGCAATAGCCGTGCAGTCTTTATTTTTAGCACCATCCGTATACACATGCCTATAATTGTTCCATTGAGATATGTAATCATAAACATCATATTTATTGTATAAATTCTTATTTATAAAAATGGGGGTTTTAAAAATATTACAATCATATAAATTGCTATTGTGAACTAATTTTGGATTAATAAATATGTTGGAGTTACGTAGACTTTAAATATATTTATTAATCTAAAATTAGTTCACAGCACTTCCTTTTAATAGTTAGCCACTGGTCTTTAATGTCAGTCTGAGAGATATTGACAGTCAGCGATAACATATTGGTGTTCTGTGGCGATAACGCGCAAATGTACTACCTGTAATTTTTCCGTACATCTGTCTTCCTTCTCAATAATATCAACAACTGCTAAAAATTTTTACATTTAGTTTTAATACTTGTATTTAAAATGCAATGAAAAATATTTATTTCAAACCAATGACACAATGAACTCAAAATGTTTTGTTTTAAGTATTGACAGGAGAATTTAAAGATGCATTTATCTGATGCGAGGGATTTAGTTAGCGGATTGGCTGTTATAACAACAGTATTACAGTTTCTATCGGGCACGTAAGTAGTAATTTGCTGAAATTAATATTTTTTATTGACTATATTTTGCCCAAACTTATGCGAATTTTTCAATATGTACAGAAAATGGTTGTCCCTCTGTCATGTGATGCCCACAACACCCTCACATGAGGGGGGGGGGGGGATAGGGGGGGTGAGTGAAGTAAATGCAGAAACCTTTGATGTCAGATTTATCCTGAAATTTTATTGCTACATCACTAGACTAGAACACAACTTACAAATTAATCACTTGCAAACTGTAGTAGGTTTTTGATAGAGATACCCATGTAATGATGTTTGATTGTTTATGAATGATTGTTGACATTTTTATTTGCAGGCTTGTTTGTAAACAGTATGTAAAGAACCAAACAACTGCAGAATCATCACCACTGCCATTTCTGTGTGGTGTATTATCGTAAGTATATTACAGTTTGAATTATAAAATTTTGTTGTCTTGAGAGGTTATGGCTGTGGTCTACAAACAAACTTAAATAAAAAGTATGCAAATTCTAATCTGGATTGCGTTAAACACTTCCGCCTAACTCTCTAGCTATGTAAACAATAATAACGTAATTAATTGAACAGATTGTTTAATTTAGTAACAAGTGTTTTGTTATATGTATTCTGACAATAAATGCATTATAACTAGAACCCTCACAGGACAATGCAAATTGAACAAACATGGCAAGCCTAGGCACAACAAGTATCTGCATATTTCGTTCCAAAGAATATCCTGCAATATGACAGGTCCAGGTAAGGAACTGTGCTAAAGGGTGAGTAAAATAGTACTCTGTAGGTCGCAGTGCTTCAAGTCCAAGCACCTGACAATAGCCGAAACCCCTCTAATAAAAAAGTGTTTTGTTGGATCCAAATATACTATTGTTGTTCATTATGAACTCAAGAGTTTTCAATCCCTGTATGGCGGAAAAGAGGGCTATTAGTAATGTGGGCTAGGACCCTGGACACACGGCTACCCTGGAAACCAAGTGATTTCATCATGACAGGCTAACCAACCTGCTAAAAACATGCTCACCCTCCACTGGTGCCCCACCAGTGCATACCTTGCATATGGAAGAATATTTACAGAAACAATTTGTTTTAGATGTGCTTTGTGGCTTCTTTATGGCTTAACAAAACATGATGACAAAATAGTACTAGTCAATACTATTGGTGTCTCATTAATGGCATCATACACACTTGTGTTTTATGTTTACACTTTTAAGAAGTCCTCTCTACTTAAACAAATATTTCTGACAGTGTTGGTATCAATTTTCTTCATTGGTTATGTGACTTTTGAGGAGGATAATGACCTGCTCTTGAGTCGTTTAGGTAAGTAATAATTGATTAATATTAATAATGGTAAAATTTATGAAATAATTTTATATGTAATAATTTTAATTGGATATTAAAATGTTTTAAAATATATTTGGCTGTGGATTTGGTGTTTACAACTGGTCCAATTTTGATGCAAGTTTATATGAGTATACATTGACTGTTCGGCAGATATAAACTAAAATATACAAATCTTAGAATTATGAATAAAAAAATGTTTTTTTCAAATTTGTCTATATTTTATTCTTTAATTTCAGGTCTTATAGCATGCTCTCTTACTTTAATTACAATTGCTGCACCAATGAGTAAGCTTGTATATGTATTGAAGGTGAAGAATACAGAGTGTTTACCATTTCCAATGATTTTGATGTCATTTTTCGTGTCTGCATTATGGTTTTTATATGGACTAATAGAAGAGGATCCCTATTTAATTGTGAGTAATAACTTACAATATTAGTATGTATAGTCAGAAATAACCCAGAATAATTCAAACATCTAAACTAAGCAGAGCCTGTACTATATAACTGATAGATTCAATTTTATTTAGTAAATGCAAAAATGAATTTATGTAATTGATTTTTTGTTTGTACTGATTTGAATGCAAACTATTCATAGTTTTGAATACAAATGTTTGTATCAGGTGAGGCAACGAACACTCTACTATCAGAAGTAAGGCGATCTGCTAATCTGATGGTAGTTGGTAATCATCGCTTATCTGAATGAACAGCACTACTCTCACGCTATCATGTGGCACCTGTGATACCACTCCTGCGTTGCTATTTCAGAGGACTAGAAGTTAGGAGTACTTTATCATGTAATTTCACTGCTAATCTGATGTGAAAACCGTTTACAACGCAATCTTCTTGGCGGAAGAAATAGGTAAGATTGAGATACCTACAGATTCGATTTTTAATATTAAACCTCGTAATCGCAAAAAGAAAAAAATAATAATTTTCTATGTTTGGCATTGTATTTATTTTATAACTAGTACATGTTTCTATTCTATGCTTTTTGTAGTTGCCAAATTTTATTGGTGCAGTGTTAGCAGCAAGTCAACTGTCCCTGTTTCTGATATATCCTCGCAATCCGCAGTCTCCAAGTTTCACGAAGAGTATTCTAGCATAAATTGTGATATTTTGTATGGTAGTATAATTATCTTAGTTCCTATTCATAGAAATTTTGTTGCATTTCAAACTTGTCATAATTTTAACTAATTTATTTTTCCAGTGTAAATAGATCTCCCATAATATCGTTATATTTAAAATGTAATATAATTTTATTATATATATAACTAAAAGATAACTGGTATAATCTTTACCAAAATTAGTATTTTACCATAGAAGATAAAAAGTTAAATGATAAATTGCTTGAATTCCAAAAATGTAATAATTTTTTCTAATATGACATATTATGTGCAATGAAGTATTTGAGATTAATATCACTGCATTCACGAAATATTAATAATATTGTACCTTGAAAAGGTACATGCAAAATATTAAAATATATATATATTAGAAAAAATAAATTGCCTTTTAGGAATTCAAGCAATTCAACTTTTTATCTAGATTAATTTTTTTCTGCGAATCCATGACAGTAATTTGTTATGTCCTTAATGTATTTATTTGTTGCTAAACATTATCTTTGATAAATTTATAACTGTATTTTTGAGTGCAATAAATATACAATAGGTATAACTATATAAATGATTAAGGAGTGTTGTATTTTAACACGTTGACGGACAATTGCGGCTATAGCCGTCAAAGCGAAGTTCACAATGTGGCATGACTGCTATAGCCGTCCAGAACGAACGGTCGTTTTTAGACACTACGGCTATAGCAGCACAAATGTGCACTTACTGGCGTATACGTAGAAGCATAGTGTCGTGTTTTGAAAACATCTTTTTAGGTTGAAGTTCATATTTCACCTGTTATACGAGTTGCAGATTCATTATGCAGGTGGTTGTGAAGGGAGTAGTGCGATCGTGTTTTCTATTGAATTTATAGTTCTTATTGATACGTTTAACGATATTTATTATTATTTATATAACTATACTGGTATGTATTTGTTTATTATTCATTTTATACTTTAAACAGAAATAAAAAAACAAAATTTATTTTTAGAAATATAAATAAATAATGATAATGTAAATGATAAATATATATTATATATATAATATAATATATAATATATAAGTTTATTTAAGCAGAAAGAGTAAAACTATACTTCTAACATTCTAAAAATCACAAAAACATATAGTGTCAATTTTCGAACTTCGCTTGTTCCTACTGTCCGTCAACGTGTTAAAAAGAATATATGTGTTAAACTCTTGTTAAAGAAATTTATGATAATGTATAAATTCCGGAATATTTTTATGTCAATTATTGTATATATATATTTTTAAATATTTTATTATTATAATTACGCTTGTTCAAAATAAGTAGTAATAATGTATAATACATATATTCTCTGTTATGCTGTACAAATTATTTTAGTCGTCCGTGCGTCAAATTATAGAAGAATAATACCGACTAAAATTATAAATAAAGAAGTTTTGTGAAAATGTTTGGACACTTGTTATTGAAAGAAAATCTGAAGGCTGACCGGGTTGGGATGTAAAAGTCGACACATAACCATTCAGAATTCATGTAGGTATTTCGATATAAACATGTATTTTTATTAAAATGCATAAATGTATACCTAGCGTACCTAACGAAGTACACATAAAATATTAGTTCTTATTATTTTTATGGTTGATAATAAGGTGAAGGTGATAAGATCAGTCTTGAATGTTTCGATTTGATTCACTAAATTAATTATAAATACGTTGTTCATCAATAAATCTAAGTTATGTACGTGTGATTGACAGAAAATAATCTAAAATATTTATTGACATATTTATTACATACTGCCTCGGTGGTCTATCGGTTCCGCACACCGCCTTACATCCGATGGTCGCACGTTCGATTCCTCGAATCGGATGTACGGCACAAACATTTGTATTCATGAGTCTGATTGTTTATATCGGTCTGGCTGTTTTATATGTATAATATGTATTTACGAAAAGTAAATATCGATGTATTTGTATCAGTAATGTAATACCCATAACACAAGGTTTAGCTAGCTTAACTTGGGTCTAGTGGTGCTGTGTGAAACGTCCCGAGACTATTATTATATTATTATAATTTGGCAAGCCATAATAATTAAAAAAAACTTCAGAAGGTAGCACGATAACTGTTATAACTATTATTAACTGTAGGCCACAGGCCAAATATATTAGTAAATATAGAAATTTCCGTGTTTTTAAAAAGTGACATAGTCTACACTTGTAACTTTGATTAAAATCCAGCCGTTTAAGAGTGAATAAAGTAACAAACGTCCAAACATCTGTACACACTTTCAGATTTATTAAGTTAGTAGGACGCCTATTCAGTGTGATAATGGCTATAGATAAGTCGAGCAGGGTTCGAAATGACAAAACCGTTTATATTATACACTAAGTAATTATAATTAAATCTAAATATAACAAACTATTTTGTTTTGTGCTTTTTAAAACATTTTGGAACCTTTTCACATACACAGTACGATCGGTCATTAGGTTTTATGACACAATTTCCCCTGGTGTTGTATTGGGTTATTGTTGTTGTAGGCTGCAGTTCTGTAAGCACAGCGTTGTCTTTTTCTACAGTAGCCTCGTACCCTACGTCACCAGGCGATAGTAGAAACGCCACTACATAATACTTTTTGTTATAAGCACTGTCAATGTATGAATGACTTCTCAGCACTGTTTTCAATGTAAATTCACTGCACTTCATACAGTCTTTAGTTTTAACATTTTGCGATATATTTTGTATGTGTGAAATTGTTAATTGTAAGCTGTTGTGGACATCGACGTCTTTTGTGTCCACCGGAACCAAATTGTGACAGCCGCACCATTTTTTGTCGATTGCTGCATCCGCACATGTACGATGGGGTGGTTTTTCTTCAAATATACTAGTACATTCGGGACATGCCGCGGGCTTAGTTATGTCTATCGAGTCATTGGTCATCTTTAATATTTCCCAAAAAGTTGCATGTAAGTCGTACGGTGTTGTTAGGCGATATTGGTTCAACTGGAGATTGTTATATTTCTCCTTATGGCGTTCCCTAAACTCATATGGAACCCATACAAAAAACATAGGTAAACGTTCCTCGTAATACGACTCCATTTGATACCTCATTTCACCGTACCTAATACCGTGGTCACTTAAGAATATAATGAAAGTGTTGTTCAAAACTGTATCGGATACGTTTTCAAATAAATTGACTAAGTGTTTGTCTAACAGACCAGGAATGTCCACTAGATTATGGCTGTAGGAATTTATCCAAAAGAAACCAAAGAAATTTTCATCCTGATAGGCATGCATAAATTGATGGGCATAATCTAGTATATGTTTGCCAGAAGGCATTTTCTTGGTGCATACAACATTGCCCTTAGATGTTTCTCCGGTTAAGAATAAGGGTCGCATGTAGTGGTCAGTCGGTACGCTTTCAAAGCCGCCATAATTGTAGAATGTATCGGGAAGTGATAAATTGTCTTCACCATATGCCGTTTTAAAGCCAGCGTTTTTAAATTTTGTCCAGATTATATGGTCGTTGCAATGATTCATGTTCGGTTTGCACTTTCTGTACATTTTTTCTACTTTATTCCCGGTTAATAAGGACATTACATTCGGATATGTATTGAAACCCACCTGAAATATTGTTTTTGATAAATTGATTGATTTACTATCAAGAATTAAATTTTAGACATGAGACAAAGTTATGAGTACAACATTATATACCTACCTACTACTTGAATGAGGATAAAGTTTTAGGTACACATAATTTATTATATTTAATAACTAAATTCACAAATATAATCGCTGTTACTTGAGAGCGAATTTGTTAAATACTTATTTATCAACGAGTGTAAAGAAAACTTTCTCCATTTGACTGTTTTTTTTTGTTGTAACGAAATATATTATATACGATCATAGTACATTTTATAAATATTTATTATTACATAATTGCCTAATTTTTAATAATGTCATGACGTAATGGAGAGTTTCCAAATAATAGGTAATCTCCTCCCTTCGTCATAGGCACTACTCAGTAATCAGGGCACTTGTCAAAGTAATCATTCGATTACAGATTATCGTTATAATACCTGAGTGTGGCCACTATCTGTACCTATCTACTAAATTGACGATATTAGGCATAAATGAATATCAATATATAGGTATAATAGCTGACCCAGCAGATGTCGACCTGATCAGTAAAACAGCACCATATACCAGTGCAATTATATTTTCCAAACATGCAGGAATGCTTTGAAATGTACACTTAATTATGTCCAACTTTGTCCAGCCGTTTAGGAAGAATTATGACAAACACATTTACAGAAGACATATATACTCAAATATGTACTCTCCAATACAAGCTAGTTGCAGAGTTTCCAAATAATACTGAAAATATGTACATGACATTTTTATAGATATTACTCAAAAGAATGCATTTATATGGAATTTAACTTTCATTCCCTATTACCCCTTACAGTAAAATGCTACCGACTTTTATGTGACTCTGACACTTACTTCTTAATTTTAAACTAAAGGCCAAAATTCCAGATTTTATTTCAAACTAACTTTAATTTCCTTATGGCGCTTGGAATTGTTAATAAAAAGGATGTTGGGGACTAGTTGTAACCCTTGTTTTAATTCTTGGTAAAAACGCCACAGTAGGCCAACCGACCTGATATATTCTTAGGATGAGATAAGAGACGACTGGTGCCCCGCCAGCGCAAATAGTTGTTAACTAGAGGTAACGGTAAGTACACCAATCAAACTTAACCTCCAATTAAAAAAGTGAGTATACCTTATGATAACCCCTGTAGTCTAGCCAGTCCTGTCGTTGAAAGTATTCCATAGTAAAAGGCAAATTGTAGTAAGCCCTAGCTCGCGACATCGTGTCCATGCCCAATAGTAGTACATTCCAGGACTTATTATTGTTTTCTTCATGATTGCTGCTGTTTTTCTTCTTTATCAACATGTAAGCATCTTCATAAATAACTTTGAACTTTTTGTCAGGGCTGACGCCACAAGTTACCGTAATGACTTCCTCATTTAATTTTATTGTTGTTCCATTGTTGAATGTAACACACGATGTATATCTGTTCGAAATATATATAATGTATTTAGACAAATTTATAATTTTCTAAAATATATATATTCAGTTTGTTACATCTTAGCGCTGAAAAGGCTCAATCAATTTTTACATAAGAACATAATTAGACCCATTTTGTGCTCCACGTTTACAATAAAATATTTTCAATTATTTATTTATAGAACTGTTGTAATATGTAGGTACCTACCTACTTTCAAATTGTATCTATGCCAAGGGGAAAGAAAAGATATTTGTCTATACCATGTATACACAAATATATTATATAATGTATATATATAAAATTAATCCTTAATTTACTTGGTAACAGTATCACGTGGACCGATTTCGCTGATTCTTTTGTTTATTGTGATTGTTATTGCAATTGAAGGTTCTTATAAAAGAAAAAATTAAAAAGGTAGCGCGGATATTTATTTTATTATTGATAGGTCCCAATGCGAATTCATAGTTAAGACAGGACGTCTGTCGGGTCACCTAGTATATTATAGTACCTAGGTACTGCTTACACTAAAACGAATTTGGTTTGATTTTCCACCCAATACAAATTCGTTACAGACATATTTCCATCCCCACATGCACGTGTTTATCATAATAAATAAATATTAATATATTTCCAATATTATTTCATTAAATAGGTATATTTTTTTTATGAAATATTTACTTACATATATAATTAGGTGAAACGTCGACCTAGTTTGTTGACCAGCCTATTGGTGTAGCTGTTTACAATATATGGTAATGAATTTGTTGCTGCTTGTACTAGTACTTCTTTTTATTAGACTCTGGCAATACAGAAGTCATAGATATTAGCGGGAATTATTCCATTTAGGTACCCCTTCGAGATTGCCTCAATATATTATCAGAGCAACTTGTAAAATTGAATTCTATTCATCTATGGAATCGTTTAAAACTTACGTGATTTTCACGTCGCTTACTCCAGGATCTGTAGATCTACTGACGAATTTATAACAACAAGAATAATGTTTGTTCTTCGTGTAAGTATTTAATTTGCTTTTATCTATTAAGAATACAATCTCGTCATCAGATACCTTCTTTATGGACACTGCTCTGGGGCCGCATTTACTGCTACGGTAATCTGCTTCTTTAAATATTATTTTTTTCCCATAGTTTGGTATATAACATCCGGGTGTGTTTAACAGTATATCTTGGGGATCTGAAAAATTAAGGCAATAAAAAAATGATTGACTATACTATTTAATAGACAAGAAAGATGCTTAGTAGGTAAATAATCTGGCTAAATAGTATAAGTAGGTTCTAGATTATTATGTAGTCAAACTGAAATTATAAGCGACATCAATTTTCTCTGAAACCTAGGTAGATACAGTAAAATCCACTTTACACATAGTATATAGTATATGGTGCAGCGCATATGGTCTTTGACTAAATTATGAGGCGACTGTGACTTAAATACAACGAGAAAGTATCATTTTTCACAAAAGCTAATAAAGTTACGCTAATAACTGTTTAAATAATTAAATAAGCCTCCAATTATATAAAGTCATATCTTTTTATAAATTTTAATATCAATCATTTCATCATTATAGAAAGTTATGCGTTATATATCTATATACGTAGCTACTTAAAAGCGTCACGAATGACGAATTAATAACTTTATATATTTTTTTTGATTTGATCCAAGATAATAATGGGATTATAAAAAATAAACTTTTTTATCTTTTAATGTGTATTTTGATATGATATAGGAACATTTAATAAAACTTCAACTTTAGTTCCGGCATAAGTAGGTACTTAATATACCTACTATAATTATAGCTAGCGTTTAACAAGACATTTCATTTACTATATTTGACAATATCTATTATTAACTTATTAGTAATAATGTATACAAAATTCCGTTCATATTACAGTACAAGTTTATTAAATCCTTACTAATATTATAAATGCGAAAGTAACTCTGTCTGTCTGTCTCTCTGTCTCGCTTTCACGCCAAAACTACTGAACCAATTTAAATGAAATTTGGTACACAGATAGTCTAGACCCTGAAAAAGGACATAGGTTACTTTTTATTGCGAAAAAGGGTTGTAAGGGGTTGAACGATTGTATGGAAGAATCGTCATTTTTGCAACTAGAGGCTTGAAACTTATTTTTGACGCTGCTAATTAAATATAAATGAATATGACATATAAAGTTTTAAAAAATGTTACCCTTACCCTTAAATAAATTAGGGGATATTATTTTTTTATGTAAATGCGTCATTGTTGAAGCTAGAAGCTTGAAACTTATTTCTGAGGCTGTTTATTAAATATAAGTAAATATGACATTCTAAGTTTGTAAAAAAATTAACATTAGGGGTGTAAAATAAAATACGGGGTGAAAGTTTTTATGTAAATCTGTCATTTTTGAAGCTAGAAACTGATTTTTTAGGCTGTTGAATACATATAAATAAATAGGCCATCAAAGTTTATAAAAATGTTATCCTTATGGGGGTAAAATAAAATAGGGGATGTAAGTTTTTATGTAAATTCGTCTTTTTTGAAGCCAAAAGCTTGAAACTTCTTTTTAAGGCTGTTGTTTAAATATAAATGAATATGACATTTAAAGTTTGTAAAAAATACCCTTAAATGGGTAACATCATTGAATGCGAGGGATAGTTTGTAAGGGGAAGGGTACATGCAATGTTGTACGTAAGAATCATCATTTTTAATACTAGAAGCTTCAGACTCATATTTTAGGTTGGTGATTAAATACATTCACAGTTTGTAACAATTTTACCCTCAAGGGGGTAAAATATAATAAGGGATCAAAGTTTTATGTAAAATCATGACTTTTTAAGCTAGAATGATTTTTTCATTGGCTTTATTGGTTTTATTTATTACATACAACTCTCGATCTCGCTTACACGCCAAAACTACTGAATCGATTTAAATGAAATTTGGAACACACAATCTAGACCCTGAGAATAGATATAGGTACTTTTTAATATGGAGAAGGATTGTAAGGAGATTGAAAGGGTAGGTGCAAGGTTGTATTGCCATTTTCAAAGCCTGAAACTGATTTTTAGGCTGTTGATTGTTGTTAAATATAAATAAAGAAAAATGGGTTGTAAAGAATTTAAAGGAGAGTTAAATATTCATATGGAAATATTGTCATTTTTAAAACTAGAAGCTTGAAGTTTAATTTTTAGCCCATTTGTTAAATATATATTTAGAAAAAGAGTTATAAGGGGTTGATTGTGTTATGTATGATAGCTATGTATGGAAGTGTCATAATTTTTGAAGCGAAAAGGATGAAACTTTTTCATTTGGCTTTTATTGCGTTAGGTCGTTAAATATTTTTTGGTCTAAGTCACAATTTTACGCGGCCGAAGTCGCGGGTACAGCTAATTTTAATAATAAAATTCAAATCGCTTAATCTTATATCTTAATCGTACCTACCTATTATCCCATATTTTTGTCATATAATGAAGTAAATAATCAAAAACAGAATATATACATTTATATAACACAAACTATTAGTTTACCCCGCGAACGTGTTTTCACTAGTTTCAGTGAATATTTCAGTCATTCAGTGATTACTGTATAGGTACTTAGATAATAAAAGGAATCCTACATACCGGGAGAGACGTGGTTGTTTGTTATTTGTCCTTTGCTAGCAATGTATTATTTCAGATCTCTCGAGCTTTTCTGTGGAAACCGTCGCGGTTAATTGCTATTGTATTCGCAACGGTCGGCCAACTGACCAGGCATTATGATCATCCTATCATCTTCCACTAGCGTCCCACTACAATATAACGTTAGTGCAGACACATCCACCATACTATATACACAATTTAAAAAAATCTATTTATTTAAGTATATATGTACATAAGTACATATAAATGTGTGTATGTATATATGTACATAATACTTATCCTAATTGACAATAAAATAGAAAAGAATAAATATTTATAGTTATTTATGAGTATATACGAATGTACCAATAAGAATTTCTTGTCTCATTTTATTACATACTAGCGGAGCCCACGACTTCGTGCGCATACAGGTTGTGTATTTGAAGACGCCATCTATTGATGATAAATCAAGAATAACTCTCGCCCTGTGGTCAAAATTCGGTCATAAAAAATAAAAAATAATTTTTTGACGTATATATTTTAACCCATATACATATAATAACTAATCTAAGTAAACGTGGTTTGCCATATAAATTAATCAGTTACCGACCGCCGAGAGTGGAAATTTGTTAAAGTACCTACTTATATTCTTATTATTACCTACTATTTTAACAATTTTCTACTCTCGGCGGTTTTACCATAATCTAACTGTGTTTTTTAAAAGCCATATAGCTATTAAAAAAGAAGTTAATGGTAAAAGGGTGAAACATTTAAGCTTATATCTATTTTTTATGCTAAAACATAAAATTTATATATTGGGGTGATCATCATTATCACATTATCACATAGGGAAAATAGAGAAAAGATGAAAAATAGTTTACGTCCTATTCTTATACCTCCTCTATATACACACAAAATGTCATAAGATTCGGTCAAGCCGTTTCAGACGAGTTTTCTTACAAATATGAGAATTTTATTCTTATTCCTCCTGGCTGGTAAAAGCATAATACAATCAGACAGAGTCGTCGTCTCGTCCCTATTTTACGATTTTATTATCTGTAAGGATAATATATGTTATATAGATGACTACATAATTGATCGTTATCTGCAGTGATGAATAAACATTTATAACTGCAGACAGAAAGAGTACGAGTATTATCAAAGTTTAAAAAATATCAAATATACTTACTGTTATTAACATTTACGAACTGATGACTAGATCTATTATTATCAATTTGCATATCATAAAACTTATTTTTTAGAGTATTATTGTAAGATATTAAGTTGTAGATGTTATAATAAAACATTGAGAGTATTATCCATGACGTGATCAGTGCGGTCGTGGTTGTTTTTGACACTCTCATTTTGTAGAGCCAGTTGATACAATGATGATTCTGAAATGAGAGAATAATCATTTTACTGAATTCCACGACAGTTAGCTGCTATTTACTAAAAAATATGTATTTAAGTATTTCTATCAGTAGTCTATTACACATAACACAAGCTGGGTGGCCTGAGACTAGATGGCGCCGTGTGAAGTCGTGTATCGTGTCGTGTGTGAATTGTCCTGGATTGTTATTATTATTATTATTTATTATGCACCGATTAAATATTCTAGATCAGCGGTCGTTGCACTTATGCATCATAGGACAATGTGGGTATCACTGTCTGATGCACAATATAACATTTATGAATGCTCAAAAAAGTTACCTACCCAGGTACTTTTCAGCCGGTAAGCAGTTTGCTTTATAACTTGTCTTTCGGTTCTGGAGTGTGATTAGGATAGTGAGTTACAGGATAAGTGGGATGCCATCGTAGTTATCAAGATTTTTTGCAGCACAAGAGACACACGTGTTTGCGGTTCACCTAATGGTACCCGGTTACAGTCGCCCATGAGCACCCGCAACACCAGGGGAATTGTAAGTCCGTATCAAAGATTAATGGTAAGGCAATGAGCATACCATGGTTATCACATGATAACTTGATGTTTACGGTTCCAGCTTACCATCCAGTAATCAGTTTGTATGTCCTTTCAATTACCAAATTTTTTATTAGTAATTTATTTTTTTTAGGTCTACGGGGTACTTTTAAATTTATAGATATGGGCAACATATTGAGCGTTTCTATTTTTTACTTTGTATTTATTATTTGGTCGACGTTCGTATCTAATTCGCACAATATCAGTCACAGTCCGGAGTTGGACCAGCACTGCCGATAGAGTTGTTAGTGGTGCTTTGTGTATTAATATTATTATATCAATTATAGGCACGTATATCTATATGTATTTATTCTTCATTAATCATAGCAATCTCATATCTTTGAAATAACACAATATTAATTAATTCTACAGGAAGGCGAATAAACAAAAACATATAATCCCTTTTATCTGTGAGGATTATGAGACTGTAAAATCGAATGCGTCACTATGGTAGTTACGAGTAGATATTTAAGCTCTTAGTGGCATTGACATTATTAATTAGCTAAGTACTAATTTATATATTTGTCACAAAAATGCTTTATGTAAAGTAGAATAGATAAAAATAAATCTATAAATATTCATATATTGATTGATTTCATGTTTTAATTGCGGAATTTTATTTATTATTATATTTAATCATACGAGTCACATTGTTGATGACGTCATCTATCTATAACGTACTATATATATATATATATATATATATATGTATTGCATATATATGTATTATCTCATTTCTTTATATTTCATTTAAGCAAAATAAAAAGTTTCCTCCCCTAAGGGTAAAGTTTTTACAAACTCTGAATGTCATGTTTATTTATATTTAATCAACAGCCTAAAATATAAGTTACAAGCTCTATCTTTAAAAATGACGATACTTCCATACAACCTTTGATCCCTTTTTTCGTGTTAAAAAGTAGCCTTTGTGCATTGTTATGCACGCGATCGTATGTATATCGGATCATAGGTATGGAATCATAGAAAAACAGCGATAGATTAAAACTAATGTCGTTTCAAAGCGGGTTCGACTAAGCCCTTAAAGAAATTGACGGTCATTTGACGCGTTCATTATAAGAAAAGCAGAAATGGTTTTTTATCTATACAAATATTAGTTTTAGGAAACAATTGGCAAATCGATTGGCATATTTACTTAAACGTTTAATAATTTTAAATAATCGATGTTCCTTCTTTAATTTTGAACCCAGTGTGCGTCGCCTGTGTACTTACCACGGATATCATCTATGACACCTATGACTCCTCATGCACTGCTATTTTGGAGGAATGTGGTGTCATGTCTTCGTACCTTGTAATTTCACTATCTTATTACCATATGGCTTCTAAAGCATGCTGCTTGGCGATTCTATTAATTGAGATAAAGATAACCGCGCAGATTACTTTGTGGAAAGTCTAATTTAGGCAGTAACTAAGAAAACAAGTTAGAGCTTATAATATCAGATAACTACAATAAATTATTTTATTTAGTGTAGATACAGGAAACTTGGTTGTTGATTAACGAAACTTCCTTTGACACACATACAAATGAGATGACATTTATATATTATATTTTAAAATGATTTTATTTATTTACGCACTACTGAGGCAAAAGCTGTCATCACTGAAAATAAAATATATAATTACATCTACTACTATATGATTATATGTATTTTCACTCGTCACAAATCACTCAATATTGGTTATGTTATCATTAAAATGTTTTAATTAGCGGTTGTCAGTTGTCATTTGTTTGTAATTTTTAAGTACCTAGAATATTTTTATAAATGCCGGGATTTAGGAGCAAATTGCTTGTTTGGGATATCTTCGAATCGCCAATCAGTGGACGTGTAAAATGTAAAAATGCTCGGATTCGATTTAAATATGTAGGACATATGAGCTTGTTATTGAATATTTAAAAAAAGTGAATTGAATTGCAGTTATACGCTCCATAAGTCCTTCCGCGGGTTTGGACTGCTATTTCCACTCGCCACTACGAGCTTCCTGCCAGCTAGCTAGCTAGCTGCCACCTACTAGGTAGTAGGTAGCATAGTCTACGCTAGCGGCCATGCCAGGCCAGTCAGGCCTTTGGGGGGCCGCAAAGGCTAGAGCTCAGCTGACACTATCACATATAAACTACATCAACTATATAGCTAGTCTATAACTCGTCTACTTGATGTAAAGTATTACATATTTAGGAAAATAGTTAGCAAAGACCAGTAGCCGTTTAGTACACCGCTTTAGGTTCAATGGTCAGGACCAGGGTTCGATTCCTCGTACCATGCAAACATTCGTATTCATGAGTATGATTGTTTGCATCTAGGTGTTTTCTATGTATATTATGTATGTGTTTACAAAAACCACAAGCTCTGCTTAGCTTGGAACTAGATGTCACTGTGTGAATTAGCCTGGTCATTATTATAAATGGTTATAGTAGTTTAAACTGCTTCCCTGTTGACATCCTAAGTATCTATCGATAAAAATCAATCTAATTCAATGGGGTTGTGTAGATTTTCCATAGTTTTTATTTTCATCTCTACCCATAATACATTGTCACCATAATGTATTTTCCTCAAATGAATGAATAATCATTCCAATTAAATTAATTAACATCCGATATATATTCAGTTACAAGATGATACTGATGATGTGGGGTTACCAGGAATGACAGAATAAGGAATGAGTATATACGAGGAAGTTTCAAAGTTGCGCCGGTTATAGAAAAGTTGCGAGGTAACAGATTGAGCTGGTATGGGCATGTTATGCGGAGGAATGAGGACCATGTCTTATGGAAAGTGTATAATATGAATGTGGATGGATGTAAAGGGAGGGGACGCCCTAAGAAAAGATGGATGGATTGTGTGAAAGATGATATGAATAAAAGAAGAGTATGTTTAGATATGACGACTGATAGAGAGCAGTGGAAGAGAATGACATACTGCGCCGACCCCAAATAATGGGATAAAGGCAAGGCAATGATGAAAATATGGAAATAAAGTTTTAAATAAACTTTGCTAGACGTTATCTATTATTAAAAGATCAATCATGTGTTACGATGGATGTTGATCGTAATACATGATAGATATTTTATTGTTTAGGGACTTATTACTGTTCAAGATTAATCAACTAGAAGATTATTCTTATCAATATTGCTTATATTTACACTGATTTGTTAATGCATGCAAGAGTGATGTTTTTCCTACTTCCACATTAATATTAAAAACGTAAAAGGAATTTGCTTGCAACTGATAAATCAATGTTCACATAATGCCGTAATATTGATAACATTAATCTTGTCGTTGACTTAATCTAGAATATGAATATTTGGGATGAAGAAGCATATAAGTATTAAAGCCTACTTTTATACCAATCAATCAATTGATTGATAACGGATGCGTCGTTATAGGTAAGAGTTTAAAATAATTACTTTCATACTATTTCAATATGTAGTTTAATAGTCAGAGCATATAATACCACAAACTAAAGAGACATGCTAAACAGTGGACTAAATATACACGTGCTAGAAAATCCCTTTTTTTACTCTTTCGTTATTAAATAGTTTCATCAGTTTCACTATCAAGCACGATTACTCATAAAACAATGTAAATAAATATAAGAACCTAAACATTTTCATATGAAAACTTAGAAGTAAGAAATGCCTGTGCCCCTTCAAAAATTCAAATAAAACAATTTACTGCCCTGCATACAAAAGGATTCTCTTTGTCTGAAACTACCTCTGATTACCTCCACTGTTACTAACTGAAAGGATTCGGTTTTTATGTGTATTGGCAAACAAGTTGACGGCCCATTTGATGGTATTCGTAAGTGGCAACCGTCGCCAATATAAATGAACAGCAACATGGACAACACGTCACACATCATCTGTTGTGCGTGGTACCCATCATGTCTTGTCATTTCGGAGAAATCTCATGTCTGTACCCAGGGTACATTATGTACCCTGTACCCTATACGACGTACATGTAATATCACATCATATCTCATCTTTCGAAACATAAATAACGCCTACAGAGGTACCCACGCAGACGACTTTGTATTTTTTTTATAGATGATAATGGAATGGTGCACCAGCTTGCACTAACGGTTTATGCTGGCGGATGATATGATGAGCATCAGGTCAGATACCCCATCGTGACAAATTCACCAGGAATTTGTCGCGATACTTTTCAGGAAGAACCGCGTGGAGGTCACCCTGACATGGTATATTGCTAACAATCCCCTTTCCCTCCGACTCCTACTTTGTATTAGATTGAGTTTTGTTTTACGGATATAAATATTTTTAATTACAAAAACAATTCGTTATGGTACAATTAGATAAGATAACTCATGGCAAAGAGATTGGTCGGTTGAAAATTAATGCCTTCAAATACAATACAATCTACATATAATTACAATTTAATATTACAAAATAATCCTCACTTAATCAATAATAAGTTATGTTAACAAGATGTCTTTTTAATTACAATTTGATAAGGACATATTCAGACCTATATATGTATTTATTATTATTGTTATTGGTATTGTTATTATTATGACATTGTAGTTTTAGATTTAGATGATTTAATTTTGTACTTTTAAAATCAACATAATAATTATTCTTATGAATTAATAAATAAATATTTGTAGTAGGTAAAAAAATCACAAGCAGTTTTTCCTTTAAAATAAAGATTTAATTAATGACTAATAATTTTGTTATCATATCGTTTCACTATGTTGATTACGTTGTTTTTGTTTAAAAAATAAACATATTATATTATGTAGTTATCGCCGCCCTGCCCTGTAGTTGTACTTCAGTGCTGACGTACTGGAGCGCAACAAACATACATTTGTGTGGTGGATGTGTATTTTTGCAATGGATGAATATAAAATGGTGCATTCGTCTGTACTGATCGATTACTCTGGTAGGGCGTCAGTCGAGAATAATTGGATGTGGATGAAGTCAGGTCAGTGAGCCCATCGTGGCGAATTAACCACGGTATTGACCAAGGTGGACTGCGTAGAGGTTGACTTGATAGAAAGTTATTAGCAACATAGGAGCCTCCCCGCGGCTCACATGGAAACAGCTAAACACAGTAACGCAGTGTCTAAGCTGGCCAATTCTCTCACCACAATAGCAACTCGCAAATGGGACACTAAACACCATTACTAACACCTATTTTCTGTTATGGTAGGCGATTAGATTAAAAAATATTCTCAATGATTTTCAGAATAAAACCGCGTGGAGAAGACGCGGTCATTGTCTTTTTTCTCTGCATCCGACAACGTATAATAGCACAGATCTGTCATCCATAAGAAAACATACAAGCTGCGATTGGTGTCGTTGTACTACTAACATGTTTTAGGCAAGGAGGGAACTGCACGCGGTCTCCCCTAGAAACCATCGTAGTAACTGACCTGTCTTCCAGCTCAATCTATCACTTCCACAGATTTTTTTAATGGATGTTTATGGAATGGAGTTCCCGTCTGCTCTAACGGTAGACGCTGTCGATGCACCAGTGGAGGATGATAGGATGAGCATGACGTTAGGTCAGTTAGCCCGAATCGTGACAAATTCACCAAGAGTTTGTTACGATGGTTCCTATAGAGAACCGCGTCGAGGTCAACCTGACTTGGTACATTGTTAGCGATGGAGTAATTAGTTCACATTACTATCAATCCCTTTCCCTCACTCTCCATTGGTGTCCATATTGTGACACCGGTTTGTAATTCCTTATAAAGATAATGAACTACTAGGTGTACAGTAGCTAGCTTAACTAAGTATTGACTTTGCTCTCATTAATTATGATAAAATAAATATATCGGATTTGTTAATCTAGTAGAGGTATTAGATTAACAAATAATACGCAGTTAATTCAGAATGCAAAAGTTTATACTGATAAATTTCATGAATGAAAATGTCTAATCATCAAAATCCGTTCAGCATTGAATCATAAAAATGTAATAAACAGACAGACAGCAGTTATAAAATAAACCTTTGTATTCCGAATTAACTGCGATATCCATGTTAATATTTTATAAATGCAACAGTGTATTTGTCTGTCTGTTTATTACTTTTTATGATTCAATGCTGAACGGATTTTGATGAAATTTGACAAAAAGATAAATTGTATTAAGGAGAAGGTTCTAAACTTAAAAACTACTCTAGAAGTAAATTGTGTACATGGTGTAAATTTTGTTTGTAAAACAAATTATGTAGGTATATACTTTGTAACTATATTTCAAAGCGACATGTCCGCAAGATATATAATCCTTATTATTAATATTATAAATGCGAAAGAGACTCTGCCTGTCTGCTGCGCTTTCACGCCAAAACTACGGAACCCATTTAAATGAAATTTGGTACTCAGATAGTACATAGATAGTATAGACTGGACTGTTTAGAAAGGACATAGGTGAGATATTAATAAAAAAAGGTTGTAAGGGGTTGAAAGATGTAAGGTATAGAAATATCGTCATTTGTAAAGCTAAAAGCTTGAAACTTTGTATGTAGGCTACATACTAAGTTTCAAGCTTCCAGCTTTCGATTAAATAAGTATGACATTCAGAATTTGTGAAAAATTTACTCTTAAGTGGCTAAAATAAAATAGGGGATGAAAGTTTTTATGGAAATATGTCATTTTTAAAATGTTTAATTTATGTTATTCTTTATTTGGTCAAGGTCACTATTCCACACAGACGAAGTCACAGCTAGTTACATTTAATTGCGAAAGGTTCACCAGTTCATGAACAAGCACAGTAAGCTTTATAAATAAGAAAATGGTTACCTTGTTAGTGATCAATAGTGGCCTATGTTAAATGATAAATTTAAATAGTTAAATATTTTAAAAATATTAAATTACTATAACTATATAGCAGAAGAAATCACAGATTTATTATAATACTTTTATTGAAAAGCAGCCTTAGAAAAGAAAGTTTAGTACGGGACTGTAATATAAATAAAATAAGAAGAAGATTATCTTTGTATTTACGATTATATCAAAAAATTAGCAATTTATAAAATATAGCATTTTATAAAACCAATGCAATTATTACAATTTGTATGTGAGAGAATCGCGTGTGTGAATTAAATTCACCTTACTGGTATGATACTGGTAATGTTTGTTTAAACGTTCTAGAGGACGCTTGCACCGCATTTTTCTTTCATAATGCAGTTGTTATTATTTTCTCCATTCAAACAAACAATAAACACATAATAGAACATAGGCATAATATTACAGTTTACAACAATATTTTCTTATATAAGATATCATATTATTAATATCAATATAATTTTTAAACCTTATGTTCTTTTTGTACAAGTAATTTATAACTTATGTAGAATGGAAATTTAAGTTTAGTAAAATCCTGTATATGGTTATAAATTATTATTAATTCCACTAGACTGCTAAGAAACTTTTGCTACTACAATATTGTTCCGTAAAAATATCAACTTTTTAAACTTGTTAAGATTTATACGAAACAGAAAAGGAATAAACCTATACCATAAATAAATATGCCTAAAATATTACTCAATAAAAAAAATATGTGATGATCCAAAAGTAGTCCTGATAATTATCAGTATGTAATTACATATCAGGACTACTTTTGTAGAAAGAAAATGTTCGGAATCGTACGTCAAAGTGAAAATTTTAAGTTAATAAAATAAAAAATCTATATATAGTAGATAGTATAGTATGTATAGTAGCTCCTCCTACCCATGGTATGGTATATTTGTTTTGTGGTATACATAACCTAAAGTTTTCATATTCGTTCCAGAGCCATCTAGAGTCATCTCCGCTACAATTTGGATATTGCTGTGATTTTAATAACGTGTCTAAGCCGATTAAAATGTTAGATTGGCAAATTAGGCGGTATATGTTCCATCTCAGATAGAGCTCCTATACTATCCTAGACAATTTGTTCACTTGTGAGGTAAAGTAGTAATTAGTAGGGTATTTTTATTTTGTACGATAGTCCCTAAATTTTAAAAGATTTTTTTTTCCGTGGGTTAATTGGAATTTGAAATATTTTTAAATTTCAGTCTCTTGTAATGTTGATTTTTAAACCAAATAATAAATATTTATTTATGATTTGTTCTTGATGATAATGGATGATGGAGTCTGTCTCGGTAATATTTATTAATGGAAATAAACGTTCTTTTTATGACTATAATATTTTTGTAGCAATAATAAATTATATTGAATACATGAAAATATTTATTGTTGTTTATGTCGATTTACTTGTGTGTAATTTTTATAATTTTACGCATATAGACTGATTACTCTACTTACAACGTCCTTAAGCTTGTATTGTTGTAGTCATAAAATTAGTTACCTAATAAAATGTAATAAATAATGTTAAAAAATAATTAAAATGGAATGAAAACTTACCAGATTATCTTTCCATTTAACATTTATACAATTATTAAATCGTTTTACTTTATGAATTATTCTCCTGTAAAATGATATCATGATATTTTATATCTATATCACAAACAACACGTTTCATATGCACTTAATTTTCTAACACAAAATATTTATGAGAACATTTTGTATATATATAAATATTGTACATATAAACAGCACTATATTAGATAGAAGCGTCTGATTCTTGCGATTGTTATGAACTCACTACATAGTACAGTGGACAGTCATAGTGATACGAGTACAATATGATTATAGCGTATTGTTTGAGGTAACGGATGTAAAACTTTAATGTATTTAGGAACAAATACACGTGCTGTATTAAATATTTATTGAAATAAAAAATACGCAGGCATTATTTAGGCAGAAATGTAAAGTATTTTTTTGCTGGATAATTTCGAAACAGGGGACATCTATTTCTTAATAAGGTTTTATTCAATTACTATGGCGTAGAGATATTTTATATGTGATTGGGAAGGCAAATAAGACGGAACAGAAGAACAACATAGAGGCACCAGATAATCTATTCTGTGATATAGGTAGTAACCGTCACCTATATACATGAACAGCTTCAATAACATCATGATAATACGTGAAACCTATCATACCACTCATGCTTCCATTCCAGAGGAGATGTCATGCCTCTTATCCTGTAATTTCAGTGCTTCATCGAACTCTACAACCAAACACATCTTACATAGCAAGTTGCTTAACGGTTCAAATAGTAGAGAGTGAGATAGCCATGCAAATAACATTTTACATTTTACCTCGATGGAAAATTTCGGATAAAATTCGGACTTAAGGAATAATAGTTATTTAGTATAGTAAGTTAATAATATTTTAATTATTTGGTACTAAATTTACAAACTCATATAATCTTAATGTCCTAGTTATCACTTAGGATACCTACATTGCAGAAAATAGACCATAGACAATTTTATTTTATTTTTTTCCAGCGACTTAAGCTAATGATTTACACAATTAAAATATTATCTACAATTACGTAGGTATAAGTACATTGGGATTCAAAATTTGACACGAAACTTAAAAACTTAAAATTAGAGGTAAATTTATAGATTCAGAATACAGTATGTACATAGCTTAATAGATTTTAGATAATTTTTGTATATAATTTATGGCATACAAAGTTTATAACGAACAATCATTGCAATTGTTTAGAATATTATTTACAATAGGTATACCGTATCAAAATTTAAACAAGTAAAACAAGTATAGGGGGAAATAATTTTTTTTTTACTTATATTTGAAAAAAAGATGGAATATAATTGTTTTCACAGGTATGTACGAGTACTACATATGTATATAGGTTAGTTTATTCCTTTATAACTTCAAAATTGTTTATTATGATTTTTTTGTTATGTTGGGCTCAGAGGGTGCAGTGGTTCAGATTGGACCTCTTTGTGTCTTCTTTTATACAATGACCAAGCTATAATTGCCAGTTTACTAGAGTTAGCACTCGTAACATACTAGGTATGATGTTATGTACATGCCACAGTATAGTTGGTTTGCTAGCAACGTCTTCAGAAAAATGTTGTCTTTGTGATTCTCTGCGGATTTTGTTGGGGTTACTTCCACATGCAGCGGTGAAGGCGTTCGCGGGTTCCGGGCGTGTGCCAAGAATTACCAAGAAGAGGATTAGTCCTCGGCGCGACGCCAAGGACCATAAGTCATCTGTGTTGATCGTAGTCTCATCAGGTGATCTATTTAGGTACTTGTCGTGTGTGATACACGAAACTGTCTACTTCCGTCTCAAACAGTGTTTTAGTAATTTAATGACTTACGCGTTCATTTCATTATACCTACGTTATACCCAAGAGGGAAAATGGATATAATTATAAACGAAGTGTAGAGGTGAACGCATATCTAAAATATACTTTTAATGCTATTAAATTTTGACCTTGTACCTGCCACATTTCAGAAAAAAGGCTGCGGTAGGTATCTGTACAGATTCCACCCGTACATGATCGTTACGTCATCAATGCGATGATACCTGGAGAATTTGATTCTGACGATGATTCTGACTGATCCGTTTCCGTTTCATCTTTATATAGTACTTAGATAAATAGCACCACTGCCATCACAGTATGTGGCTTTGTTAAAGTTTATTCTTAGTTAAATTAATTTACCTATACGCCATCTGTGCTGTGGTAGCTTTGGTGTACGGTCAGCTTAAAAGGAGTGCCAAATTAATTAGGCTCTACTAATGTAGGCCGACATTTTATTTTATTTGTTTGCATGGCAATGTGTACTATTGAATTTTGGCTGTAACTGAAAGCATATACAGTTATAATCGCCATTGCCTATTACATAATACCTACCTAGCAGTCTTAGTACTTGGTGTACATACCTGTGACATTACTTTTTTCTTTGAGTATTTTATTTTATACCATATTAAAGTTACTAGTACACATGAGATTAAGGATGGGTTATGGGATAGTTGTTAACGTGGTGAATATAATTAATGACATGCTTATTTCGTTAGTATATTTTGAATTCAAACTAGGCTGAATCTGGAGCGTTGCCATCTCTGGAGAATCAGTCAGAAATAATATATATATCTATCAGTTAGTGTTGGCGATATCACACTATTACTTGGATTTCATAAATTCTTTAAAAGGCCTCCAGTCTCTCAGTTGATAATAAATATTATAAATGCAGATTGCAGCTCTGATGGAGTTAAGAAGTAAGGTCTGTGTAAACTAAATAAATATAAATATGTTTAAACTATTTATTACTCTGTATAGCAAAGCATTTATGACTATTACAAAATGTATCTTAATAAAAATACTAAAACATAGGTATAAATATACTTATTTCGTAAGTATACAGTAAAGTGTTTGATTATAACTAAATTTCTGTTGACTCCTATATTCTTACTATTATTATATTATAGTAGATAGATACTCACTTTATATTTTTTAGTAAATATCTAAATTGGTTTTGAATACTGATTTAGATCTTACTAATTTAGATCTAACTTAAAAGTAAAGCCTCGGCACTCGGCTTTACTTTTAAGTTTATTATTTTTAGATTCAAAGCAATCTAGTTTCCGTATACATCTACAGATATCACGATCGCTATAATTAAGAGCGCACCACCCCTTACCTCTGTAAGAGCTTATGGTGTTCGTTGGTGGAAGAATTTCGTATTTATAATTAATATCTTTTCGAACTGTGGTTTCGAACTGACCATCCCCCGGTGACATTACAAATGTGTGCTATTACGTAATACTGGTAGCTGTTGTCAGTATACGAATTTATTCTTAAAAGCTTTTTAAACGTAAGTTTTTGGCAATAAGTACACGGTATTGTTGGGACTTCTAAACTTAAATTATGTATGTGCATAGCCGCGCGTATCAAACTGTGTTCCGTAATCGTACAAAAACTCGTCATTCATTGCATCACAACTACACCACTTATTGTCGATACCGGCATCTCTACAGGTTCTATTTTCAGGTACTAAATTAAATAAGCTTTTACAATGCTGACATTTTTCAGGTTGTGGAACATGAAGCGAATTGTTTCTATTGTTCATAATGTCAGGTGTAAATCATAAGGCGATACTAAGCGGTGTTCATTTTTTTCAAGGTTAGCGTTTTTGTGGATAATATTTCGAAAATTTATTCGGCACCTTTATAAATAACATAGGCAACCGCTCCGCATAGTACGACTCCTTATACTTTTTAATTGGAACATAATCACTGAATAATATTATAAATGTATTTATCGTTAAACCTTTGCTCGTTAGTTTCTGCAGGAAACCTTTTAGTATTTTGTCGAAATTCTTTTCTGATTGCTTTAAATAATAGCTAAATAAATAATGTCAGAGTTGATCCAAAAAAACCTAAAGTAATTATTGTTTTTGTAGGTTTCCGTAATATCAAGAATGTAATTTAAATTTTGTTCAGCTGATTTGTTTGGTACAAAATAAAGAACCGAGTTCTGACTCTCCTGAAATGAATAATGATTTCATGTAGGTGGTATTTTAAAGCCGTGTTTTAGGCGGAAACTAACCAAATGAAGTGAATTTTCTCCAAACGCAGTGACGTAACCGGCTTCTTAAAACATCTTCCAAATCATAAAATCATTACACGAATACATATCTGGGTAACATTTCTTGTAGATTCAGACCCAAATTAGGAAATGTATTCAAAGCTACCTAAAATAATATTATTATAAGATTGTCTTTATTTTTCAATGTTATTTACGATTCACGAACCTCTTTAAATATAATTACATAATATAAACAAATATATACACCGTATACATCTTCATAATCAGGGCTTAAAGCTGGTCCACATCTTATTCTAATAAAATCACTAATTAGAAATACTTCTGTACCGTTGTGTAACGGCCGACAAGGTGAATACCTGCAATAAGTTACTGTTACTAATAAATGCTTTATTTATGGAACTAGCTCTAATAGTAAATAGTAGTAGGTTATATACGAGATATTAGTGCAATAGATAGCTAAGTCTACAACTACTTATATCTCCTTATACAGTACCGTGTCACCACTAACAATGGATCAATCTTCATAAAAGAAGGAATTACCCTATTAACAGCGTTCCTAAAGTCCAAAAGTAAGCATGTGTGTATGATTTTATTTTACTTTATGAAAAATGACTAGAAGGTGACAAGTAGACCTGGTTTAGAATTTTATTTCGAGTTGTCTGCTATATGTCTCTACCGCTAAATATCTTGCTTTGTATGTTGTGTTCTGGTTGGAAAAAGAGATATTTCAGTGAATGTACAGCGTACGAAGGTATGACCCCTTAGTCCTAAAGAATGGCAAAGCATGAGGGATATGGTTCTTACAGTATATTCAGGTGTGCCCCTGGTACTATTCATGTTTAAAAATGACACCTAAAGATTAACTTTTCATCAGATGTACCGTGGGTTATTTACCATTCAAGTTATTATAAAATTTCAAGTTATTATAAAACTATAAAACGTTTTATAATAACTACAGTATTATAAAATGTATTGTTTATCTTACTCTACGAGTTTGTCTTCCTTATTGTATGTGGTCGATCTACATATGTATTCATAACAGCAGGTTACAAAAGTCTTTTCAAATACAAATTTCATTCTGTCTTGAGATATTTTTTTATATGTATTAGTCGTTTACCGCAAGACTACTTCATTGCCGTCTTTAAATGGCATTTTGTATTCAGGTATTGCACAGCCGGGAAAATTTATAAGGTATTGATTGAGATCTAAAATTCATTAAAATAAAATTGTAACTGTCAAAGGATAATCATTTATGTTCGAAATTCTTTATGTTTTCATATATCTACATAAACAAATGGGCTATTTAGCAAATATGAAATAATAGCAGAGCATAGAAACAGTGCAGAAGTAATAATGCTTTTTTTTCGTAAATATATTGCAGGATAAGCGGCATGACACCTTAGTTCTCTGGAATGGCATTTGTGGTATCACAGGCGTCACATGATAACGTGATGTGCCGTAGTGCTGTTCATGCATACTGCGACGGTTACTGTTTACCATCAGGTAAATCGTCAGCTTGTTTGTCATTCCAATTAAATAAGTAAGCATCAATAGATACTATGGAATATGGAGAAAAAATTGAATGGCAGTTTTTTTTATATAATTAATATCCTAAATGGTAACCTTAGCCCACTAACGTCTGAAACATTAGGGCTATCTCGTGCACTTTGCCGACTCTTAAAAACCATAATATACCTTTTTTAAAATACGAAGTAACTGGGTTGTCAATAGAAATATAGAAGATAGTTGAAGACACTTTTAAAACTGATATATACTGACCTTTCTTTTCTGGATTTTTTTCACTCGTTCTGACATAATTACTACTTACTATGGCAGTAAATATAAAAGAAATAATATGATGTCTATATTTATCCAACAATTTATAGAGACAAATGACCAAAATATAATATTACTTACGAAGAAATGTTACGATGAATTGAAAGTAAACACAACATCAGCCGGCCTATTGTAGGGTGTTATAATGACTATGACTAAGATGTTATCGATAATTTATTAAAACAATCTGTTGTAGTTGTTACAGAGTTATTACCGTTTGAAGTACGAAGGCATTCATAATTACCCATTGCACAGATAGCAAGACAGAGGTAGTATTATTCTTGCCACAGAGAATATACTATTACACACTCTTGGTAAGAAAGTATCATAGTGAATTATTGGCATAGGTTAGGTGCTTTTATCTAGGATTATAAGAATTTAAATTTCCAACACTACTCGCATGTTTCCACTAAAGTAGTAGCACTATTCTTGTGGGCGTTATTATTTATATTATAATTTATTTATTGATGTGGATGATCAAATATACCTTGTATAGTTCGACGGCAATTTATTTTTACTTGTTATAATTAAAATTTATGCAAATTAACTAATAGGTATTAAAATAATTAATAACTATTAGAAGGCAGGTTATTAAATAATGGAAGTTGTAACAGATTTATACGCATAGTAGTTCATGAACAGATGTAATAATTAATAAATTCTTTAATTTTATAAAAAATAGAAATTAGTTTTTTTACCACTATTCAAAACACAAAGATTAGAAAATCGTAATTATATAATGTAAAAAATATGACTATTTATATAGATTGAATGTAAATATTACATAATATCACAGATCAGAAAGAATGATCGTACAGTAAGTGATAGAATTAAATTAGCATATTTTATTACACACACAAAACAATCGATCCCTTGCCTTAAGAGCACATTTTCCGAGCCCGTTGTATGTTGAAATAAAACTTATAGGTCCTATTATTTCAAACTCATTCCCTTTTGCCATTACTGTCGCTTCGTAAGATGAACTACCAGGAGACATAAGGAATGCAACCACAAAATATAAATTAACTTTATTGTTATCATAATAAAAATGTATCCTATGTATCTTCTGTAGTGACAGAGACTTACAACCCCAACATCGCTTTGGCTCTATAGTTTTTATTACTGATTGTATATGTGAGACTACGTGCAGTACACTTTTCACTCCCGCACTATCTTGAATGTCGAGAGGATATAATTTGTGGCAACTACACCACTTAGCGTGTATAGCAGCGTCTTGACAAGTGCGATTGGCGCTAACAACGTTAAATAAACTTTGGCAGTTAGGACATCCTTCTGAAATATCTTTGTTAGTATTATTGCAAGTGGACATTCTATTGATGTCTATGAGACTATTGTACAAGTCGTAGGGAGTAACTAACCTAAATTGATTGATTGCTATCGCCTTATGTAATTCGGGATGTTTGCCTCTAAATTTAGTAGGGGTCCATATAAACAAAAATGGCAGTCGTTCATCGTAATGTGATTCTACTTTTAAACGGTGATTGCCGAAACGAATGCCATGATCACTAAAGAATATGATAAAAGTATTCATCAGAACTCCCGTGTAGGTTAACTGATTCAAGAAATTCTCAAACATTTTATCGGCATTTTTGGAACGGCTGTTTGGATTATGACTATAGGAATTTATCCAGAACATACCAAAAAATGAATCATTTTTATATGTGGTAGTAAAATCGAGAGCATAATTTAATATTTGCTGGCCGGAGGATTCCTTTCCTGCACATACTGTTTGGCCACCTGGTTCAGTTTCTCCACTCAGAAATAAAGGTCTCATATAATGATTAGTAGGTTGCTTCTTAAATACGTAGTCTTTACTAAACGTGTCCGGTAATTTTATGAAATCTTCTCCATACGCAGTCACATAGCCAGCTTCCTTGAACGTGCTCCAAATTAGGAGATTGTTGCACTCATCCATTTTACCGGAACATATTGTTGATATTGTTGATATGTTTTTACCAGTAAAAGCAGCCATTAAATTAGGAAATGTGTTGTCACCCACCTGTAATAAATATACATATATATTTTTATAGCTTTCTCTTTTCGTGTGGACTAAGCTAAATAATGGGATATAAATAGTTATTAGTATTACAATGAAGTAGACGCCGATTAATTAATCAAATCCAATATTCATACAACAATAATAAAATAGAAAATAGTTTATATCCGTCTTCGCGACACTATCTACATGTCAAATATTAAGAGTTGTTCAGCGGTTATTTGCGAAAATAATTGAACATACTTTCATTATTTTAAATACCTTGTTAAAACCTCTGAAACCCGGCCAGTAATTTTCTTTCAAGAAATTAACCGTGCGTGGCATTGTAAAAACGATATGAGGTAACGACATTGAATCCATTCCTATCATCAAAACATTGTATTTTTCATTGCAACCAGTCTCTGGTGGCTTTGTAACGTCGATCTTTTTAATGAATCCATACACATCGTTATATATAACATGTGTCGTATTTTGTTTGTTATGTTCAAAGCATCTGATGTTTATGAAGTCTGTCTCCAATAATACAGTGGCACCATCTTCGAACTGTTGACAATTTGTGTATCTGTAAAATGATTAAGAATATGAGTTGCAATTCAAGGAACATAATACCTACTCAAACAATAAAAAGTAGTTAATAATGAGATAGTGTAGTTTTTACTGTATATAATTATGTAAAAATGTATGGACGTGAAAAATGTACTGTAAAAATTACTGATAAAAGTAATGTAAAAATTTAATAATAAAGTTTGAAAAATGATTCTTGAACTAAATGTAATTTGACTTCTCAAGCCTTTTTTATTAGTGTTGAAAATCGAGCAACAGTTGGTATGTAAAAAAGTAAGCTAATAAGTAATTGTGCAGTAACATACATTGTATTGATCTATACAAATGTAGTAACATATACAAAGAACTGGTACCTAAAATACAGGTTTCTACTTAGTTTAGGTACCAGGAAATTATGTATATCGCGAATATGAATAAAAAAAACTTAAATAAGAATATTCATGAAACTGTACAGTTGTCACCAATATACAAAGTGGAAATAAAAAAACAAAGTTTGAACTTTTCATAAAAAATTATCATGAGATCTATGAGTTCAGGTGAATGGTTTAAAAATTATTTTGAATTTTACATTTTATTTCTTTTAGGAACTAGTAGATTGTTTGATAAACAATATCATTAGCTTTCAGTTTAGTGTAGTATTTACGAGAAACCCGTGAAAATAAACCGTTTAGAACACGTGGAATTGAAAATGTGTAGGTACTTACTTAATATTTGTATGTTCATGACCAGGCTGAGTTGACCTACTTATAAATCTGTAGCAGCAATGAAAATTTCCATTTTTTTTTCTCAAATATTTTTTCATTACGTTTGCCGTTATTGAAATATGAACTTTGTCAGTTCCTATTTTCTTTAAAAATACTGCTCGTTTCCCACAAGATCCAGGCTTCGCTGAAGAGTTTTCTTCTTTATAGTTAATCATAGACACAGGAATCTGGCATCCAGGTGTATCAATCATATCAGCTTTAAAAATTAATGAACAAAATTTTATATCTCGTTAGTTTTAGTCAAATACGATATACAATCAGATCAAGATTGTGATGTAGATATTTAATAATCTTTATGTAATAATAAATATATCTTTGCGAGTATTGATTGAGTAAATTAATAACATTCCAAAACTTTCCAAATAGGTTTTAAGAAGCAATTAATAAACAAAGCATGATAAAAAAGTTACGTGCAAAACTCGAAGAATTGAAATAGCAAACAATTTCTAAAAGAGATTATGATTGCCTATTCATAATCTTTATTCAAACTTATTTTTAAAAGAGATATCATACCGCGTTTATTATCTAACTCAAATGAATAATTTTCAGTTTGGTCTTGATATATTTCATCAAGAGGCACGTGATGCATCGGTAGGTTCACTGTATATTGCGCGGGAGTTGAATTGATAGTTTTTAGTCTAGCTCTCGGCGTGCGAGGTTTGTCCAATGAATACTGGTACCAATAATATGGAAAAAGTGTGATAAAAATGGAGCCAACTATTAGAGCACCGACGTTAATCTTATACTGTTTCATGATTATTTTCCTTTTGAGTTTCTGTAACCTGAAACAATAATATAACGATAATAAGGGATAAGCCACCCTAATTAAAGTTCCTTCTTTAATTTGATACAAAATTAGGCCATATATACTTATTTTTAAATTTGAAAGTTGGATAATAAATAATTGATATATTTAGCTACAATAATAATGCTACTTTGAAATAACTGACGCAATATTGTAACATACATTTTCTTTTGACATTTTTTACAGGGAATCATTATGACTAATATTAATTATTAATATTTATTAAATTTACAAATTTAATATTAACATTGTTTTAATTTTGCATGCACAACAATAAAGCTGAATATGGAACTATGTATTTAAGAAGAATAATAATCAAAGCAAATAAGTAATAAGATAAAAGTACCCATAAAAAGGTTTAAGGATATCATCATTAAATATGCCAGCGGTATGTCATTATGTCCCACACCATTGAATCAGGTGTCGCGGTTTAAATATCTGGGTCAAATTGTATCGGAGTACTTGAATGATGACTATGATATAGAGAAAGAACAAAGAGCGTTGTCGGTCTCATGTAATATGTTGGCCCATAGGTTTGCACGGTGTAATAATGACGTGAAGACAACGTTGTTTAAAGCGTATTGTCAGTCGTTTTACACGTGCGGCCTATGATTTGAGTATGCGCAGGGAATACAACGATCTTCGTGTACAGTACAATAATGGGTTTAGGCTGTTATTGGGGCTCCCTCGGTTCTGTAGCGCATCAGAGATGTTTGCGGCGGCGCGAATGCGCAAAAGAGCTACATCACTGATGTCTAGAATTCGGGGGAGCACAAACAGCATCCTAACAACTGTAGCAAGTATATCTGATTGTCCGCTTCAGAGGCACTGGATATCGTTGCATTGCGGATCCAGTGCTTCTCGACGTGGACACAGTTATATGAATTAAGTGTATCTGTAATCTGTATATTATAAGTTACTAACATAATTTTGTAAGTTGTTTACTAACACAATATGGATGTAATCCGAAATAAAATAAAACAAAAATAAATAAATAAAAATATCTATCCAAGGTATGCTTCCATAACGAAAACTCATTCTTCATCGCTATCGCTGATGTTCATTACTATCACATATGGAGGGAGGAGGATTTTAGTAATAGGGACTAGCGGCCTTACTATGTATTATTTATGCAATCAGGCAGACCTGTAGTGGTCCGGAATTAGATTTCATCCTGATTATTTCATCTTTCCTTAGTGCTCCGCCAACGTATACTTCTGCCAACGTACGCAAATGCAGGTGATGCACTATCTGCTTTTGTATTTATCTATTTAATCGTATTATAGTAAAGTTCTTTATGTTCAGTGAAAATTATGTCATAAATTACTATAATTGGATAAGATTAGTATATTTTTAAATTGTAAAATAGTAGATAATATAAGCTGTTGTTATCCTAAAATACCTTGCACCTATGCACTTCCTGTTGGCCTCAGACGATGTCAATCCAAATTCTCCTTGAAGAGATCATTGCGTGAACATTATTCAAAATTTCTGTAAGAGTATTCAGCCAAACTTTTAACTGCAGAATATCCCATGAGACTATATATGCAATTTTAATATAATTTTATTATATGTATGTGTGTATATATATACATATATATGTATTATTTTGTATGTAATCAATAGGCCTTAATTTTTGTTTATTTATGTAATTGTATATGTATTTTATGCGGGTATATTAGTATGTTATATATTTGCATATAATAATATATATAATATTATTTTTCCGTATTTATCCATATTTGTTTTTCTTTATATATTAATTGTTAAATTGCACCGCCTTATTATTATCTCTGATCAACGCGACGGTTGACTGGTAGAGAATGCCATCAGGCATTAAGTCCGCCTTGTATACATTTTTGTGTGCAAAAGAATAAATAAATAAATAAATAAAATACATACTTAATTTTAAAAAAATATATAACTACTAGTACCAATATGGGTGTCGGTAATTTTCACATCAGCCAGTCACTCTTGGATGGGGTATATTGAAATTGAACAACAACCTAACAAGATAATGTCAATGTTGACTGTTTCGAAAGAATTGTTGAAATTCAGCAAAATGAGGACAGTGATCTATGAATAATCATAACGAGACGAATATCATAAGTCATTATACTAATGCTACTATAGTTATAACTTTATGAATTTTTACTATAAAGTTATATATTAAGTTATAATATATATACTAGAAATCAGTAATATTAATTTGTTTACAATAAACTAAGAGAATGTTCCTAATTAAAAATTATTCTAATATTAATAGATACTTATTATTATTATATCATAGGACAATGACACTTAGAATTATTTATTGTTAAACATTTAATTTTTTGTCACCTACTCATAGGCCGAATATAGAGAAAATTGGTAAATTCACTGTATTTAGAAAAACTGATTTATATCGATTGATATGGACATAAATTTTCAATATACTTAGGTATCTAATTATATGGAGATATAACTACACAACTGTCACACGCAAATGTTATATGTTCAGGTTATTGTAAATATCTAATTGAAATCAAGGTGAGGCTAACATGGTTATTGAAAAATTGACACGTCTTGACTAGATACGTAGGTAGTTACATTATTCATGTTTTTTTCTTTTGTTTAGAACAATCCTGTTAATATCATTTACCTACTCATACCTTCGTATAGTCGTGTACGATACATCACTGAACAATAACATCACTAGACTGACTCAATGTAGGTATGTCTACTCAATAAATACTACTAATATACTCAATACTATAAAATGAAAATGTTATATAATAAACATACCAAAGAATTAGATGTTATTTTAAAATTCTTCTATAGGCTATTCAATTTAATATATAACTAGTGTTGCTTCTATTTATTTAGTTAACTACAGTTATAGTTTATACGAGTATATAAGATACACAGGATTTTTATATTAGTTAGGTACTCTATAATAACAGACAATTTGCACAACGATAACCACTTATATCTGCTCGCGTTTGGTTTTGCACTAGCGTTTACAGGCTAAGTGTTTACTTTTATCGTCATAACTTTCATACTGTCTATTACTTAAATTACTTAAAATGACTAATAATACCTGTAAAGGACTATTATCTGAAATACTTTAAATCTTAAAATTAATGAGCTAATTTTAATAATATCTAATTCCTAATAATAAAAATGTTAAATAACAAACAAACTTTCTCGCATTTTATTAATGAACAGGTAAATACGATTCTCAACTTGGGCCTAGAAAAAATCTAAATGATGTTATTATAGATATAGTTTACCTTACCTTTATCTAAATCCGAATCCGTGCTATATCACACAAAACCTTATTTCTCAATAATTTTTTAGTGAATTCGGGGTTCTAGAACGAACGAACGAATAGTATCTACGCAGTGCACGCTCTATGGATTAAGTATAATTTCGGCCATGCTGTCTAAATACACCTGTGACACGCCTACATTTTATAGTATTTTTCTATAAACATGATATTTCTGGCGTTCATAATAATTGTGTTAGTATTATTTTGTCATTACAAAAATTAATGTAATAATAAATTTGATCAAGTAGGTATTTTTTAAATAGTTTATATTTAAACAACACTTGTAGTGTTATCGACACTGGTAATGTAATATTAATGCATGTAAGAATGATTATTCTTTACGCTTTATTAAATTTACCTTAAAAATATATAACTAATAAATAGCTATAGAATATTATCTTTATGTTTATATTTGTCCAATAAAATTGTGGTTGTTTATTCTGAGTACTACTTTGCAACGGCTTTAGAAATGTGTAAACGAAGGTTATTTTAATGGTTAATTGATCGCCACAAAAACTCATCATAGTCACTGTAATAACAATAACCTACCTTGACCTGCGTGGTAAAAAACATATTAATTGTTTCCAAAAGAACATCTCGCAATGTTACACACGTATAAAACAAAACATTAATGAAATTTCGTCGGTCTGATAAAAGCACTGTCATATGATCGTATGGATATTTATTGTTTTGTTATGATCATAATCAATTTCGATATTTTGTAAACAAATATTTATGTGACTTACTCACTTACTTTGGTGTTTTCATAATTTTGCTGCACTCATTCCTTAGATATTACAGTAGGTACAACACGCAGCAACAGCACTGAATAAGTATTGTGTGCATAGTTGTATTTAGAATTCAGTGCAGTGACTGACTAGGGTTATATATATTTATGACCGGCACAGTATGTATCTAGTGTATCTACTATTTTCACTGTGATGACCAAATTGTTTTAACACAAGTGCTTGTACTGATAGATTGTTACCTCATTTACTATTCATTTTAAATCAATATAAATAACTATCCACCTTACTATAATTTAATCTTATAATATACTATTTTATTTTTGTACTGGACTGCAAAAATTTCACTTGAATATTAACACTTAGTTTACTTAATCATAAAATTTAATTGTCTGGAATGTAGATAGATATAGGTATAAATATTGTTGGTAATATATTTTGAAATTTATTGGTTAACGTAAGATCTACAATACATTAGATTTAGATAAAATATCTTGAGGCAGTCTGAAATAGCGTTCAATTACAACGGTTTTTGTATTTCCTAGAATTACTTCTGAGTCAAATTTTATCATGATTAGTTGAGTCATTACAGTAGATAATTAAAGGTTATAAACAAGCTCACTGATAGGTATCTTAACTGATTGACTATTAGTTTTTTTTCCACAAAACGTAAGGATTTCATAGGTACATAGATACCAATGTAGCGGATGTTCAGATGTTGAGAACAGTCACGATTCTTAATCATTCAATCATATCTACATTGCGAGGTCACTGCAATTTATTCTTTGTAGGTACCTATACGCTTTTGTAGCAATTTCCAAATATTGAATCGGTTAGACATCTAACTCTATTGAGTAACTATATTTACTTGTAAGTTGTCAATTTATAAATGAAGTTAATTATAAGTATGATGACCGGTTAATAAGTTGAACATTTTAACATTAGTGATATTGTTACTTTATCATTTTCGTGTAACAAGACGTAAATATCCATAAATTACGTTATACGAATTTAATGATTTCATCCCCCTCACCCCTTCCCCATCGTCACTCAATATTCTCATTACGCAATTTCGCACCTAGAAACGATTACATTATCAAACAAAACAACAGTTTCTATATAAATTTTCATTTATAATACTTTTTTAAGAAAATGTGTAATATTAATTTAAATGTATTTATATGACAATAAATATGTTTAATATATCTATTAATGACAACACTTCTCAAGCAAGTGCAAGTCTCTCAAGTTGTAATTGTAGCTCCAATACTGGTTGCATATAAGTTTTGCTTTATGCTTGTACTAGGTAACCTACATAATGCAACGATGAAACAAAAATTATAATCGTAATTTATGAAACCAATCCATCGGCGACCAGATCAATGAAAACTCTTTTTAAAATATATAAATATTTTGAAAGAGTTATTCATTGATCTTCCTATTTATTGTATATATTATTTTCTTATGTTATACGTTTAAAATGATTTATTGTCTGTGTAATTGCTAATAATGATGTTACTTATTATACTTATAAATAATGAAAAAAATGTATTATTAATTCTGAACATATTCATTGACTATGTATCGGTAGATATGTGCATGATATAATTGACAACGTTGGTGCTATATTGGTTGTTCAAATCGTACAATACAATTATTTTTATACAAGAGACTTACATGTCATTTTATATATTGTATATACTATTGTAAATTTTATTAATTACTATTGTACTATTGTAAATTTTTATTGAAGTATATACGATAATACGACATTGAAAAAGGTTTATTATCGTCGCTTCAATGCTTACGAGATTTGGCCGTGATGAAAAATTATGTAGATACATTCCATGTAAGCACACAAAGTTGGCAAATATGTATCAAATCGAAATCTCCGCCGTTTGCCTCGAGAAAATTCTAGAATACTTTAGTTACATTCCTAGAAAACAAAAACCCATAGAATCTGATAGTTACCAAGTTGAAGGCGTCAGATAAAACATAAGAATCCAACACGTCAGACTGATCATATTCGCCCACTTCCAGTAACAACAACGTCTACTATCTCATTTGTTTAGTGGTGCCTACCTACTTTCACAATACGTTGCACTGCACAGGATATAACCATAGAAGTAAATAATCTACGAAAGGCTGAATATTAATACCGATCGACCACGGCTGGTAACAGGAAGCATACTGACGCACGAAGAAGGACAATATGATATATATACACAAAGAGTCAAGGACTTGATTGTATTATTATTCACAAGTGCTATAGTTTAATTTTACTGCATTCATCTCAAAATAATATTACAAATGTACTAATATGTACAAAGCGAAAATGTATGTCTGGTAGAAAGCATCAGTGACTTTGATAATAATGATAATAATCTCAGCACAATTCACATAGCGCTATCTAGACCCAATATAAGCCAGATAAAGCTTGTGTTATGGGTTCTAGATAACTGATACTAATACATAGATTATTTTCGTAAATACATAGAGTTGTAAGTACATAGTTTTGTAAATATATGTTTTCTATGTATTTCCAAAAACAAAAGTATAGGAGTATTTGTATCAGTTGTTTGGCAAACTCTACTTGTTACTAGATGGGAGCTATGTCAATTGTCCAGTGTAATAATAATTATTATGGAAAAACCGTGTGCAATTATGTGTATGAAAATTAATTAAAGACGTAAATAATATTTTATGAGAATAGGCATGGGATTTATAACGACATAGATATGTGAAAATTTGCAATAATATAAGATACAGATATACTTATTATATTCAGAACTTACATTAAATACTACAAAATTAAACGTTCTATATAACGTTAGATGTTTATTTATGGATATTTTAATACATAGAATGTATTAAACATTCAAATTTATATTAATCATTATTTTGACAGATAAATATAAAAGAAAACAGATCGTTTCTTGCCAGTTCTAACCAGAAGCTACCACAGTTCTAACCAGAATTAACAATTGTCAAAACTGAATAGATAAATAAAATATTTCTTAGTGACAATAATAAAAATAAAAAATAACATTATTAGTAGACATTTCGAATATACAGTTAATTATGTTATTTTTTTAATGGATTTATGTAAATCTGTCACTACTTATAACTTACGTAGCTATTATTTTTAAAATAACTATAGTACTTACTCGCTATTATTACGGATCCTGTTTTTGTTATAATATGGAATGTAACAAATCCATCTGTCAGAAATAAACCTTTTTTTTGGAGATAAGCTGTATGTATTGATACGGACTAGGATGCTGTACCGCCATTACTGTTTTTAGATGTTTACGCATGCGCACAATACAAGTAGGGTTATTGAGTAGATACAGGTACAACAACTTGTATAAATATCAAATACGGAACCTTTGTTTAATTAATTATTTAATTTATAAATAAAATCTGTGTGACTGTCATGAAAATTCACTTATACCACAGTTAACATAATATTACATACTTATACCAATACTTAATTATAGAATTAAAAGCAGACAGCGTAAACCGTATTTATTTTATTGTAGAACACTTCTTCAACTAATTGATCACTCGCAATAAATATTTTCCTTATAGTCAAACTGGTTTAACAATTTTTTTATGTATGATAATGAAATAGTATTAGCCCATCAAGGGAAAATTATCCAGAATAAATCAGGATAACTTGTAGATTGCATACTTGAGTTTACATATTTAGCAGTAGAGTCAATATTCTGTACGTATACTCATAGTATACCTAACTACTTTATTTTATGTTACGATTACCCCAGAGAAGCTGAGGCGGACTACTACATTGAAAAGTCAATAACCCACTCAGTATTATTGAGAATTAAAGATTTAGTTTTAGGCATTAAACACCTATGTACGTTCAATTTATAATTACAACGCCTACAATAGGTTAAATTATCGTTGGGTTACAATAATCAGCAGAGATAGCGTGCTTGAAAAAAGAAACATTTTTAATGTTTAATGAATCATCATCAACATATTTTATAAAGTTGCGAAATATCAGGTTGAAATTCACCGCTATAACTATTATGCGGTTGTACAAAATGCTTTTGGAAGGGAAACGTTCCTTTTGGGCAGTGGCATTGAATGCGTTAAATCGAATTATAAAATGAATGTCGACCTACTACTAATTGTCCGCAAAATAATAAGCAGTGTTTAAATATTAGATAAGTAAAAAAGTACCATATTACTATATTGGTAGGTCGACATTCTTCTATTAGTTACTTAGCAGTAGCTACAGAAAGAACTGATTGTGGGCGTCAATAAATCTCATCACATTTTATAATTCGATTTAACGCATTCAATGCCACTGCCCAAAAGAAACGTTTCCCTTCCAAAAGCATTTTGTACAACCGCATAATAGTTATAGCGGTGAATTTCAACCTGATATTTCGCAACTGGATAAAATACATAGTAGGTATAGATAATGTACTCACCATTAATTTTATTGCATTAATTTCATTTTACTACGAACAACAAACATTTTATTATTGTATATTTTTAAACTAAAGCCAGAAACAGCACTAATTTCGTAGAAAATTATGATAAATTATTTTTAAAATTTTATTATTAATTTTTTTTTTAAACTTTATTATTATTATGTATATCTATCGTCTGATACTAAATCGTTTCTGAGCAAATTATATAGCAGTTATTGTTTCAACTAATTTATTATCATTGTTATCGTTCCTTGCGTAGGTTGATATACTAACTAACAATTGGTGGGAATTGTTTTGTAGTTATCTGTTAACCTATTTATATTATAGGATACAGAACCAATATATTCCGACTAAATAAAAAAAATATGCGATAACTTTTGGACTTCTTTTACCTAAATAAAAATGACAGGTGTTCAAATTATTAATTAACTAGCATTAGATATGTTCAACCCAATTGTGTCTAATCCTCATTATATTGTATTTCGCTGTTGACCTTAATTCAGAACATTCTTGTTCTAAAATCTATGAACAAGTGGTGGAGACATGTGGTCCCTCAAGTATTCAGCCACAACGAAAATAGTGCTGCATTATTCGGTGTACAACCAATTATATACCTTACTTTTACTTCTCTTCTATATCTTCTTCTCTAACATTTGAGGTAATTGATATCAAGCTGTAACTTCGTCCGCGTAAAATAGAGACCAAATAATGAAAAAATATTTAATAATCTAACTCAATAAAATCCAAATGAAAAAGTTTTAGCTTCAAAAATGACGATACAGAATTCCATAATCAACAGCCTAAAAAATAAGCTTTAAGCATATAGCTTTGAAAATGACAATATAATTTTTCATCTCTCTTTCAACACCTTAGAACTCTTTTTCTTTAGATATATTTAATCAATGGTCTAATATATAACCTTCAATTATTCTAACTTAAAAATGACAATATTTCCGTAACATACGTTCTTTCTCAGGGTTTAGATTATCTGTGTACCAAATTACATTTAAATCGGTTAAGTAGTTTTGACGTGAAAGAAAGGCAGATAGACATAGTTACTTTCGCATTTATAATATAGTAAGGAGTAAGGAAGTAAGGATTTTCCCCACATGTATAGGCGTGTCGTCAACCGTATTATATAGCGAGGATACAACTATAACTTAAAGAAAAAACATAGTATGTACTCATTATTATTTAAAAAAAACTTCTATCTGTTTACTAATTGAAGTGGTGGTGGGCTAGTCATATCTGCCGCAGAACCGATGCTCGCTAGTACGAATAGACGTGTTCTAGAGTGGAGACCGCGAATTGGCAACCGTAGTATCCCACGCTTCTAGGTAGAGCTACGTCTACGTACTGATGATGATGATGATCTGTTTACATTCTTACTAAGATCGTCAGAAGTGAGAGAAAATAGTCTAAATGGCGTGTTTCATAATCAATCGGAATTATTCATCCGGATCATTTATACTTACTACATCACCACTGGTTTAAAATATTTTATAATGCATCAAAGACACTATGTGATAATTATGCAATATCGAGTTTATCTTTTAATTTTTCAATGTCTGAATTTTGGCAATTTTCGGGTTCATGACTTTTTCGCGCAAGTTGGGGTTTGTCATCGAAGTATAACATGAAAAACAATATAATATAAAAATGATAATCCCTTGGTGGTTAAAGCTTCTTTATTAAAATGCATTTAAAAATATTCCATTATTCCTCGAATCATCAATTAATAAATTTGGAGTTGATAAAAACTTAAAACAAACCGCAGATTGATTAAAAAGATAAAATATCAGACGAACAAAATCAAAACACACTGCAAAACATGTAGATTGCTAAGATTTAATAAAACACAAACTGCAATCTGATCAAACAAATAATTGCTACATCGAAATTAATACTATCATAACAATTCGTACACAGAAAGTGAGAGAAAGGTGTTAATTTTTTCACATACCAGGGAGAAATGCTGCAAAATATGTAAACCATAAATGTTCAAGAAAACTAAATATAACTAATATTTGTAAACCATATGCAAGTGCAAATTAAAAATTTGAAAATTTCAAAAGTTTATACATCTGATCTCGATACAAATGACATTGTTATAATTATAATTTTAAATTAATTTTAAAGACTTTAAGGGGGTCTTCCTATGTGACGGCCTGTTTTTTAGGGATATTTTAGGATTTTTTTTTCTACGACCAGTAAATATTTAGAGCTTCAAGTTTTTTATCATTTATTAACACATATTTGGACAGTATAAATATAAAATTTCAGCTAAAAATATTCAGTCAAACTAGAGTTACAGCGCTCTGAACACCCCCGCCTCGAAAAAAAGAGCTCCCACTTCCTCCACGATTCCGGCTGATCGGCTTATCTGAAAAAAAAAAAAAAACGGCGTTTTAATTTGTAGGCTTAAAAGCACGGAATGACCTATAATCAAATGAATATAAAAAAAATTGGATTTTTGATAGACATTTGAAATTGAAGTTGCAAATTAGGCTTTTTTTTTTTTGTTTTTTGCTATAAAAAAATCGAAGTTTTGAAAATTTTCGATTGATAATAGTTCATTCCATGCGTTTACATATATTGAGTGTGCCCTGTAAATTTCAAGTAATTCGGTCCAGCCGTTTCTGAGATACAATGGAGGAAAGTTTGAAAAACACAGTTTTGAGAAAAACGCGTTTAAAGTTTCAAGTCCGTTAAAAACTATTAAAATATCAACTTACTCTCAATCGGCGATGCCTGGTCCATAGAGTATTCCTTCCTCTTCCTCGTGAAACTCTTTTAAAGCAGATTGTTCAGCTCTTGAGTCAATCCTGGCTTGTTTAACGACATCACTTACGCGCCGCTCAGAGCGTAAGATTCGCTTTTCATCCCGTTTCTCAACATACGCTTGGGCTTCACGACCAACAGGGCATCCCATAATCGACATAACTTTTAAAATACCTTGAAAACCTTCATTAAAGATAATAACTGCTAAGTAGCTAGCAATTTCAACAACTTTGGGACCAGAATGAAGATGTTTAGGAGCGAAAGTCCAAATCAAAGAATTCAAAGATTCGTTATTGTTTTGTGTCTCTGCTCCTAAACAACGAATTAATAATTCGTCTTTCGATAAATCTTCGAAAACCGGTTTGATAGCTTCTTGGACTTGCGGAATTAGAGGTGGTTTATCGTGATGAAATTGGTCCAGTTCATTTTAGCTTCAGCCTTACACCAACTGTCTTCGCCTTCTGGACAAAATTGATGCTGAGGGTTTTCATCAGAAGAACATTTGTGATAGTACGTTGCCCAAACTTCCTTTCTCATACTCCACTCGTACTTCCTTTCCGTCCACTCATTATGAAAAAAAATAATTTGTAGCTGTTGCTCTCTTCGAAGTTCAACCAAGACTAAAATAACTTCGGTAAAATATTATAACAATAGAAATTTCTGTTTAAGTCTGTAGAAACGTGTCTAAACTTGTATAAACAAATATATTAATAAAAGGGAGGCCAGGTATAAAGCCGACGGTACACAATAGGCCCGGTCTCTAACTGCCAACTCACCGCTCCGAACCGCTCTTTCTTTTACCTGCTGTATCTTTAAAACGACTTCGAATTTTCTAAAATCGCTTTACTACCGTATTCTAGACATGTTAAGGGAGCAATTTATGAAAAAAAAAATCGATTTTTTCAACCCATCACATAGGAAGACCCCCTTAACATGAATCATATTTTAATTGCTAGTCCTAAGCGCATAGTCGAAGGCGGTGCAACATTTATTGACAATTTTATTACAATTTAATGTAACAACAGTATCCATATTAAAGTACTTGAATATAATATCTCTGACCACAAAACTATCGAATTAGTTTATAATATTAAAATACAGTATAATTATAAAAGGGAGGTAAATAATAGTTACATTGGACAGCAATTCTCAAAAGATAACTACAATTTCTTTCACTACTTACTTACTTAATAAAGACCAAACATTTCATTATGATATTTATAATTGAGACGACGCTAACATGCAGGCTGTAACTTAAAATATTTTTACGAAATCGCATTCTCAAAAAAAAAAATATAATATTATAAATAAGAAAAGTTACTGGAAAACTAAAGGCATAATAAATTCCAAAGACACGTTGAATAAACTTGTGATATTGCAATCTATTATTTATATCCTACTGAAAGATGTAAGGTAAAGATAAAGAAATTTAGGAAATTTCAGATTGCCTTTCCCTTTAGTTCTATTTATTCTTTTCTTGTAATGCCTTTCCTTCCTTCAAACTTTTCATGAATATGTGTATTATTAAATTTATGGAGGTATGTATAATAATGTACATATAATAGTATATTTATATTTATGTATATTTGCATGTATTATTTATATAATATATTAGTGTGTTGTTATTTGCACCACCTACATTTTTTCATATATCTATGTTCACCGTTTACCTAAAGGTTGCCTGTAAGAGATTGCTTAGCGATAAGGCCGCCTTTTGTACTTATGATTGTATATAATAATATTTACATATATAAATTAATATTTTTCTGTATCTAGTGCAATAAAGAGTAAAATAAAATTTAAAAAATGAAAATGTTTGAAGAAAGTTTTATTAACGGCGAAAAAACTGCAAATCTCGGATATAATTATAAATCTCAGACTAATTAACTATATTAACTAAATATATTTAAATATAGTAAAGTTAGAATAGAAAAAAATAAATGGCAAGAATGGTGTACCTATCACTAATGCAAAACTTATTTTAAATATATTAAAGGAATTTTACTGTAATATTATATAAAATATAAGTGGTAATATAAAATTGCAAAACCAAATATATTTAATATCTCAATAATGCTAAAAATATTAAGAACTGTAGCTCTAGAAATAATTATGCTGCAAGATTTAAAGAAAATTATAAGAGAACTGAAAAATAAGAAGTCAAAAGACATTTTCGATATGGAATGTGAATAATAAAACTGATATTGAGTAATGAAAAACTAACGCTTGGATTAATACTTGTACTCAATACTTGTATAGGAACTGGTGTGTTTTCAGATGTATTAATAACCATGGCCATACAAAATACAGTTGAATATATTCATGAATCTTTAGATAAATAGTGGAAGTATGCCAGTATTACTGTGATTTATCTAAAGCATTTGAAACATGATATATTAATTGACAAATTAAATTTTTATGACCTTAGAGGTAAAACATTAAAAATAATAAAATCCTATTTAAGCAATAGAACTCTACTTGAGTTCTATTAGGTACTAAGTTCCGTTTCGGTTAATACTATTGTTTCACAGAAAGCACAAGATGATATAGGAATACCACAAGGTACTATTCTTGGTCGGCTATTATTTCTAGTCTATGTTAATTATTTACCGGCAAATCTGCCACCGAATAGCCTTGTAATATTATTTGCCGATGATACAAACGTGGGAGTAAGATTCCAAAGTAAAAACACTTTAGAACACGAAGTAAACTCGGTCACTACGATTCTAAATTATTGGTTTAAACCTAATGGAATTGTACTTAATACCGATAAATAATGATCTTGTGATGTATAACACTACCAACAAATTATACATAAGAAATATAATCCACCGATAACACGCAACACATGATCAATGGGCATCATATGATGATGCGGGATCCGAGGAGCTGTTCACGTATAACGAATGCCAGTTCAATGAGGAGTCACAGGACACAGACATTTTTATACAAAAAAGGAGCTTCCCATAACTCTATAGAACTTAGTAAGAAAGTGTATTACTCAAATTGAATAAAGTATTTTTGATTTTATTTTAATTACATAAAAAATATGAAGAATACACTTGAGTGCTGCCTGTAGGGACTGATCTGCTCATATCACTACGACTGATTTAATCTTATTGTATATTTATATTTGACCCAAAAAAATTAGTGCTGGTTGGTAGTTTGTATTCACTCGTTTCGACTTGTAAATGTGAAATTACAAGGATTATTTAAAAGAGCAACACACAAGTTTCTTTGCGTTCTTCTTGTGATGAGACAGCTTACCGAACGAGCGGTAGATAAAACAAAATTGTTATGATTATTCAAAAGTTCTTAAATTAAGTTTATTTGAATAAATGATTTTCTATTCTATTCTAATCTACTTTTTCTAGCTAATAAATTGATAGATAATGTAGTATCATAAATTGCATATCGAAAAACTGTGTAATAAAGTTGCATCAGCCAATTTTCCCGTAAGTAAATGAAAATCATGAGTTAATAAAAAACTTATGTCTCTATATTATGCTTACATCCGGTCTTTAATTACTTATGCAGGGCCAATATGGGACAATGCTAGCGATGTAAACCAAATACTCAGGAAACAAAAACGAGCCATAAGGATTATTTTTGGTCTCCATAACGCCTATCAGCCAGACCATACTTTATAAATTAAAAAAATATGATAGTAATTTCATTGTATATCTACCTCAGTTTAATGAAAATATACGATAAAAGCACAGATAACATAATATTACATAGCAATGAGGTAAATATGATTTTCGATAATAATAATTACCACACGCGAATAAAAGATAACATTCAATTGCCAAAAACCAAACCTGATAAAATTTTTAAACAAGGCATTACTTTAAAAACAAAAATGTACAAATTATTTTATGAATCTATTTCTATGAATTACCCCCAAAATAAATTTAATTTAAAATAAAATATTATTTCGAAAAACATCCTTATTATAATATTACGATGTATTGTAACTAGTTATACCGTGTATTGTGTACCTACGGATTTAATTTTATTTATTAATACATTGTAATTAAATATAAATTTTATAAATATCATTACTATATATTATGATTTATGACTCTCTATATATGTAAAGAATATTGGTCAATAAACGAAAATATATAAATATAAATATAATATCTCGCTATTTTATTTCGCCCACAGATTAGAAAACTACGCTAAAGGGATAAAATATATGGTACGTCTGACAACCCATGTATTGAGTCTGTAGTAAAAAAATACAAAATAATGTTAAAATTAATTTAATTTAATAAATATTTATCACATTCACACACATAAACACACTATATTACAAACTTAGAGTCATGACTAACCATGTGGATCTCACACTAGAAAGTGTAGTCTACTCGTATGCTCTACGTTGAAGTAGTACTACTCCAAGTACTACTTCAACTCAAAAGTATTTTTAGAGGGTAACCTACAAAAACTTTTATGACAATTTTTGTTATGTTACACACAATTCTTTACGAACATAAAAGTGCTATAAGTGACTACGTTTCAATATTTACATCAAAGAACAATAATATTAGGTTTACAATAATGCTATTGATCAGAATTGGCAGTAAGTATATTCAAATTTTCTACATCTACATATATAGAAAGTGTCAAGAGTAACTCACTCGTCAGTCTTATAGCGCCCATCGCCTAATTAAATACTTAAAATAGTGATTTTAATTGATGAATAATAATTTAAAATGGCAAGTGAAAAAAATAATAATTAGGCATCTAACAATTTACACGCCGTCAGATTATTTATTGTGGAAAAAAATAACTAGTGCAGAATTTCATTGAAAAGATTTTGCAAATGGTATAGCTTGAATTTAAATATAAAGTAGAATAGTACAACTAAATAAATAAAAATCGGTTAGGGTTATTAATCTACATACAACATAATCGTAAAATAATTATTGTTTGTCAATTCTTTATTGGTTCCTACCTATAATAAATAAAATATGTAATACCATTAATTAATACATTTTTGAGCGCAATTAATCTTAAAATTAAATACACTTTCGCGATAGTTACATCTCACACATTTGACAAATAAATAAATATAACACGCGTATGACATTTGTAGTCATTTTACAAACGATTTTCGTTCAATATTAATAGAAAAATAAACCAATTTCTGGATGGAGTAAGAACTTATTCATATAGATATAGGCAATCTTATGATGCGTTGTAAATTGTAATACATGTTTACATTATAACAGAAATATATGCGTATATATTTTTTTTACTGTAGTATGAAAATTATTAACATAGTAACATACACTCTATTAATATACTTAAGTGTCAGTGTTTTTAGTGCAATAACGTTATGAAAATAAATATATAGCTACCAGAAAAGTAATGTCATAGAAAAAAATATAAATTATGATTTCTTGTCTATTTTAAGCCTCTTTTGCTATGAGTATAGTCGGGAAGTTTAAGTATTCGCGTTTGGACCTTATATTGTATATAAACCGTCAAGAACCAATATTAAGCGACGCTTAGTCGCTAATAAATGTGTAGAAATTCATAAAAGTCTTCACAGAGTCACTCACGGCGAATGAACGGGGCCTGGACATCCTGCAGAGAAATAAAATATTGTTAGATCTTTGTACAAAATCGTCTGCACCTCTGTCTCAATTATTTCAGCCGACAAGCAGATAGTTTTTTTATATGTTTCATGTCATGTGTGTAAGATGGAGTAGTAAAATTGCAAAATTATCCAGTAATTTCACTACCCTAGTCCTCTGAATTTGTAATAAATGGACACCTGGCTTAGGTTTACAATTAAACACTGTTGGGTGATAGTTACATTTCACATATTTGACAAACAAATAAACATAATACGCGTATAAACGACTTTCGTTAAATATCAATACAAATATAATTCAGTTTATAATTATTTGAAAATGGCAGAATGATGCCAGTAGACTGTAGTATGTTTTGTCTGATGGGTGAGATGATCCTATACCTAATTTCGCTGTCTTAGTCTTCCGGAATGGCAATAAATAGTGCCATGGGTTTCACATAACAATTTTTAAATACGTAGTGGCATTCATGTATATATATATATAGACGACAGTTACCACTTACCATCAGGTGGGGCATTTGCCATTCCATTTAGATAAAAATATAGCATTGAAAAGCGGCGTAACTGATTCATTTTGTGTCTATTGTTCGAGTAACGGAATATTTTATCGTGTCAAATCAACGATGTATACAGAATGTCATTATTTCACATGTTTAGTCAGGTGGTCCAACCGACATGGTGCCAGTCAACCATTAGACATATTTACCCCTAACGAATACGGCACTTCAATTTTGCATTCATTCAACTTTTACTTTCTGCTCGCATATAATATGTAGGCACACACATATTTAAGTCACGGTCTGTTCAGTGAAATTTCTTTGGTTGTATTCTTTAAAAATCATAAATTTCGAATTTTCCGTTTTACAATAAATAGAGAGCCGACCTAATTATTCTCTCCTTTTACTTCATAACAATAATGTGAGTAGAAATATTTTTTTATAAAAACACGAGACAAAATAACACAATAATCTTACTTAATATTTGAAATGTGAATGTAGGTTGTTTGGTATGATTTGATTTTTGACATCACCAATTATTGTGGTGGCAATCAAGCATAAGTAACGTTTGAAATAATAAGGCATATACCTATTTCATCCCCATCAAACATGGCCTGGGAAGGTTGTCTAACTTGTATTGTTACATAGAATATTGTCAGACATAAATAAGAAATGACACGATTTATTTGTCTACTGACAAACATAACAACGTGATAAATATATATTAAGGTTCTGACATTAGCTACAAATAAATTGCCTTCATTGTATTTATATACAAACTGAAAATATGTGTGTGATAAATTCAAAAATAGAGTAGGTACCATTTAATAAATTGCCTCTCGCTGAGTAAACAACAATAATTCTATAATTAAGTGCATCGTGCAAGTACAGGGTCATCTCAGATAAGATATACCATTTTATCTTATACCATATCTACCTGATTACATATATCAAATTATAATTATTGTTAATAGTACTTACTACAAACTGTGCAAGCTATCTCATCACTGTTATCGCCACATCCGTCTCGACCTGAGCACGCAACAGCCGTACTCCTGCACCGGCCGTTCCCACATCGCAGTGGGCAGAAGTCCGCGGCGCGCCATCTGCACAAACATTCAAAGTGATGTCAAATGTTTGTACTAAAATGTCTTGGTATGGGTCAAATATTTGAGCAAACACTCTAGGTCACACGTGTGTTGATTATGAAATTTTTAAGTAGGCCCACCGCCTGTACTGTGTAAATGTATATATTATATACTTTTTGTATGACTTGTGAAAGAGAAAAACGGGACCTTAAAACGTGTTCCTAAAATTTAAATGCTTAATAACATTAACACTACATTTTTTCCCCTCATAATAATAATATCTTCACATGGCGCCTTCAAGTCCCAGGCTTGTGTTCTGGGTCTTAGACACTGATAGAAAAGAAGAAATACTTCAATATTATTTTTAATCCATAATATTATATACACATACAATATATAATAATAATATATACAATATATACATAGAAATTACCTAGACAAATACAAACTTTCACACTCATGAATATAAATATTTGTATTGCGCAATGAATCGAACCAGTGACTATCGGAAGTAATTAAGGTATAAATTTATTATAACCAGTAAAGACTTGATAAAGTTATCTAATGTAAAGGAATACCGTACAGTAGAACTTCAATAAATATCAGACAAAATATATAGCATATAGTTAGATAGATAGTGATTTTCTTACCTAGACTGTTCATTACATAAGTGTGGTGGTTCGTCAGATCCATCTTTACAGGAGACGATGGCATTACAGAATTCGAATTCTGGAAGGCATTCACCGGAGTTGCATCGAAAAGTGTGTCGTGGACAGCTGAAATGTAATAAAATAAAAGGCTTAAATAAACTTTCATGATATTTACAGAAGGTATCTAAATTTGATTCACTTATACAATATTATGTTATCTGTACTTTTATTAATGTACAGCGATGAAAAAACAAATATGTTACATTCAATAAACAAACGCACGGGCAATGTTAGTTGTGGATTCAGCATTTAATACAGTAAACACAATATTTATAATAACTTTATACGCATACGGAATAGTGCATCTGCCTGCGCTAATGATGGTGGAAGGGCATCAGCTGACGATAACAGTATGGAAGGTAAGTTAGAGTATGTACCCCATCCTTGCGAGATAACCAAGTTTCCGAGAGGCAGTTGAGTTACAAGAAGGTAGTTAACGTGTACGTGACACCTCTGGTACTTCAGACGTGTTATAGGCTATGCTTGATTGCCACGAAACTGACCTGACGATGTGGCTACAAGTCCCCATTATAATTCTATCACCTCCCCGAAAAACACTTTTTAATATGCCAATTCCGATTCTCAGGGAACACTACCATCTCTGTATTTTCACAATTCAGTAACAATAACGGATTACGGAATTGTGCTGTTTTGTGTAAACTTACCCTCTACGACGCGTTGAACGGCAATTTCTTTCATCCTCGCCTCCAGGGCATTGTGGAGTTCCATCACACCTTGAAGCCCTAGACACGCATTGCGATCCGGGACCTCCGCAGCGGAAAGCATGCATAGGGCAGCGTTCGCCTGATCTGTCTGTAAACGTGCAAGATTGGCAATAAATATATGCACCGTTTTACACTCTAGTTGATCTTGTGTTATCGGTAATAAACAACTGATAGAAATAGTTCAATACTTATATAATATACATAGAAAACACCCAGGTTAATACAAAAATCACACTCATAAATGTTTGGACCATGCGAGGAATCGAACCCGTGACTATCCGAAGTAATTTTGTTTAAAATTAAGGTATAGATTGATTATATTAGCAATAGAGACTTATTAAATGTACCTATTGTAAAAGCATATTACTGATGTACGTAATGGTGGATAAATACATATATTTCATCACGTACTTAGGTACCTGGCTGTATAAAGAAATAAGTAATAAGTGAAATGATTGAATAGTTTTCTAGTGAAATATCGTTACACTTCAAAAGAAGTGAAAGCATAAAGTAAAAAGAAGTGCAATGAAAGGAATCGGTGCATAGACAGTTACCTTTACTACCTTGACATTTTTCATCGGACCCGTCTGGACAATCTTTGCGGCCGTCGCAGACGAAGTACCAACTGATACATGTACCCGTTGATCTACACTATAATAAACAATAATACACTATAATAAATCTGTAGTTATATTTAAACATAAAACTTTAAAAAATTAGAAAAAAAAATTTCCTCTGTGTCTGTAATTGTCCGTATTGCTTTGTTTTACCTATATATTTAATTCATTCACTTAACAGAACATATACATTTTTACAAATATACAAGTGACAAAAGATATTCCAACTACCAACAACAGCGCACGTTCACGCAGGCCATAAAGCCATCTACTACTACCATCTCTGGTTCCACTGAAAATCAGCGTTTGTGCATTACAGCCTAAACATAAAGCTGAGTGATAACATATTTGGTCGCATCTGTATACCTCAAATATATACTTATGAAATTACGTTCATAATAATACTAGATACTCGTCCCGGCTTCACCCGGGTGTACATGTATTATACATATAAACCTTCCTCTTGAATCACTCTATCTATTACAAAAATACGCTTTAAAATCCGTAGTTTAAAGATTTAAGCAAACATAGGGACGGACAGACAACGACATCGACATTAAACTATGTATAATGATAATGATATTTACTCGTTATAAGTTTCCTAACATTCTTTTGTATTGGCCAAATAAATATATTTTTCGAATAACATCGAGAGTTTATTAACTACGATCGGTAGCAGCGGTTCGTCTAACATTTGTGACAGTATTCTGTAATAAGATACTAACTTGGAAAGTTCCTGGTAAACAACCTCTGTTACGGGCCGAGCAAGCAGATGTAGAGTTTGTACGATATGTACAATCACATCTTTTATTTAAACACCTGGTATATGGATCAATTTCTTGGCATTGCGAATCTCTCATACAAGGCATTCCAAGCGAAGCTGGTCCAAGATCAATCATAGGAGCCACGTCAGGTCGAAAACGATTTTTATCTATAAAAAAATATGAGAACCAAGATAAGACCAATTTTTTAATATATGATTCTATTTTAAATAAATTCTGAAGACTAACCTTTTAAGGAAGATTTCTTTTGGTGTCCTGTTTTGTAAGGTTTGGTTCCTGAACCTTGTTCCTTCGAAGAACCGCTAGTTTTTTTATTTGTTTTTTTATCAACTGATGGTTGTGTCACTACTCTATAGATAGGCTGATCATTTGCATGTAAATTGGCCGTCAATTCGTCAACGCTTATTGTTTCATTTGGATCACCATCTTTTCTGTTTGACACTGGCAAACGTTTTAGTGGATCAGCTGTTGGTACTTTCATGACTGCCTGCATAAATGGACTGTCCTCTTGTGTGCTAAATAATTCGTTTTTGTTAGTAAACATTGGTAATTTGCTAGGTTGTATACCATCTTCGTCAATTATATTTGGGGGTTCGTGTGGATTTCTAGAATCTATATTATAACTTACTGATGGTTTATGCATATTATAAATAATAGACCCGTTAGTAGCATCAACAATCATAGTTTCTTGTTCAGCAACGACCGCTTCTGTTGCATACCCTGATGGTTTTTCTATAATACATTTATCGCTAACTTGTCGGAAATATAAATTACATGCACATCGTCCAAAAAGGTTTGGTATGACATATTCGCAATGACTTTCTTTATCCCATAATCGACAGTGTTCGTTGCTATAACATACGTGGCCGGGTGGAGCAGCTGAAACAGAAAAGCATTGGTTGGAACACTTTTAAGTACGTAATGTGCTTTAGGCAAATTAGTTGTTGAACGTTAATTGACCGTTGCAACCAGCCAATCTTTGTTGACCTCGTGCTATAGCTGCAGCGAGTGGTTGGCAATTTTCTCGACCATACTATCACATGCTCTAATAGCCAAGATACAGTTTTAAGTTATTTTCTATGTATGTCGTCCACGCATATGACACGCATTCTTGTATGTAGAAATTTCAGATATATAGATACAGATACGTTATGTAAAGTTTTTTTGCATGTCGAAACTATTTTCTTATAAACATATAATGGGGACAATTCAAACAATCGTTGAGAATGAAAATCTTAAATTGTAATTTGATTAGCCATTATATGTTAATCAGGAACCGTAAAGTACTACACGCAAACTCTCAGTGCTCAATCGACCTTAATATCCATTCATAAAACAGTATTTTTAGTGATTACCTACTTGAGATGAAATATTACTCAATAATGTTTATATACATTACATTTCAAGTATATAAAATTTTGTAAACAAATTAGAATTTGCCTAAAAAAATTAACACATAATTAAGTAGAAAATTGAGTTCTTGAATTAATATAAATTTAGATAGATAGATAAATTCTTTATTCAACAATTGCAGACCTGTTATCAAAGTTATAATTTTTAGTCGATTTTAGGGACATAATTTTTTTTATAAAACGCTTTTCGTTATAAGATATAAAACCGATGCTTAACCCGACTACCGGGTAAACTAAATTTACACTGCCCTACTTAACTGAAAATATTTTTCAGATAACTATAAAACTTAAACACTATAGTCGAGAATGTAGGTAGCAAGTAAAATTCCCACATAAAGTTATGTTGATAACAAAGGTTCACATACACATCCAACAAAGTATATTTATGGAACAATTACATAGTTTTCTCATACACTTATTCGATTTATAGCAGAAATATGGCTATTAAGAAAATTTCAAGGAAATATTCCGTACGCTGGTAAACGCTTCAAACTCAATATTTCAAATTATGGTGTCAATAATATCTATATATGTATATAAAAGTCGTCATTGGACCTATTTCAGTCGCCAATTTATGTTGGCTGGCAGCGGCCAGTTTTGTAAGCTGGGATTCGGTAGCATGGTGAAATAACTCACTGATGTTACTGGAGAAGAGCCATGATATCTGAGTCGTATGGAATGGTAACGCATGAGTGCTACCACGAGAGTCACATTATAACGTAATGTCCGCAGATAAGTATTAGGCGACGGTAGTATATAGGCGACGGTTAACACGTACCAACAGGTATCCCGTCAGCTTGTTTGTGATTCCAATTAACGGCCTCGGTGGTGTAGCGCCTACCGCACACAGCCTTATCGCCGATGGTCGCGGGTTCGATTCCTCGCATGGTATAAACATTTGTACAAACAACAGTCTGTTGTGTGTTTTCTGCATATTATGTATGTATTTATAAAAAAAAAAAGTTTAAGTATCAATTGTCCAGTACCTATAACACAAGCTCTGCTTAACTTGGAAATAGTCCCATGGCGTTGTGTGAATTGTCCAGGGATTTTATTATTATTAATTATATAAATAATTGCTTAGAACAATATTATTAACATTTTCGTCTTATGACTTTATAAAATTACATGACAGTTTAATATACTTTCGATCTAGTACGACAATAGAATCCGTGACTTGGATATTTAGCCGGCGTACAACCTACGAGTAAGTTCAAGCAGTAGAGCCGCGAGCCGTTCGCGCCACAGCCACTTCGAAAATGAAAGTTCTGCTCATTTACTACACCATTAGAGGCGATATCAAAAGAAAACCCATCTCAACTGATTGCGGATGTCGTAAGAGCTTTATATCAACATCATAATAAACTTGGAACCCAGATAAAACATCATTTACGTTTATGTGTTTTCCATTAAACGAAACTCGTACAGAAATGCCTGATAATAATTTGTACATTTTCTGAAGAAATGGAAGATGATATGGATCATGATATTATCCAAGGGAAATAGAAATAGAAATAGAAATAATCTTTATTCAAATAAACTCATTACAAGCACTTTTGAATAGTCATATTTTGATTCTACCACTCATTCGGAATGCAGATTCATCACAAGAAGAATGAGCAAGAAACTTGTGTGTTGCTCTTTTTAATAGATGTTTTTTTTATATAAATAATTACAGAGGTCTAATGAAAACGTCTATTTGACAGATACATATATAGAATAGAATAGAAAATAATTTATTCAAATAAACTTAATTTAAGCACTTTTGAATAGTCAACAATTTTTTTTAAATCTACCGCTTATTCGGAAAGCTGTCTCATCACAAGAAGAATAAGCAAGAAACTTGTGTGTTGCTCTTATAAATAATCCTTATAAGTTCACATTTTACAAGTCGAAACGTGTGAATACAAACTACCAACCAGCACTAATTTATTTAGGCTCAAATATAAAGACACAATAAGATTAAATCAGTCGTAGTGATAAGAGCAGACTAGTCCCTACAAGCAGCACTCGTTCACGAGTATGACGGATGAGCCAGCCATCACTGCGCTTGACCATATTTTAGGGAGCCCAAAGACCCGGCCCACCACGCCGCCACATATCTGGACATTTTAGTGAGCATGACTACTCATTCCATTCGACCACGTCACAGCTACAAAAATTACTATATGGTAGTTACAGTATTCGCACTTTACATGAGGATGCATGCGGCAATCAATTCAAAAGCCGCTACGCTATCATATATCAAGAAAGCAGTATGAAAAATAAATTATAACGTTGTCCGCAAATAAACTTATACTTGCTATATATTGCTATCATCTATAAATTCATCTATCCTATAATAGGCTTTTTTACATAAAATCTGTTTAATATAAAGTTTGAATTGTCTCTCTGTCAGATTTAGCGTAGATTCTGGCAGTTTATTATAGAATTTTACGCAATTACCATAAAATGAATTACTAACTTTGTGTAGACGGCATTTAGGTAAAATTAACTTATTTTTATTGCGTAAGTTTCTACTTGTACAGTCTTTAATTTTCTTGAAACTATCTAAGTTTTTCCTTATATACATAATATTTTCATAAATGTACTGTGAGGCAACGGTGAGGATATTTGATTGTTTAAAGCATTGACGTAATGGCTCTCTAGAACCCATACCATAAATAGAACGTATGGCTCTCTTTTGTAAAATAAATATAGTATTTACATCGGCAGCTTTACCCCACAGCAGTATGCCATATGACATAATGCTATGGAAATAACTAAAATATACAAGTTTTGCCGTCGCCACGTCTGTTAATTGGCTTATCCTTCTAATTGCGTAAGCAGCAGAACTAAGTCTACTGGCTAATTTAGAAATATGGGGCCCCCATTGTAACTTCGAGTCCACTATATAGAGACAGATGGTAAATAAAAAATAAAGTAAACTTTACTATACTTGTAAAGTATACAGCAAGCCTAAGCCTTAATATTGTAGACATTATATAATATTGTATAAATTAAATTTTCTTTTAGAATCGCTGTTTGTCCAATGGTTGACTGGTTGGCCCTCGAGGTGTTAAGTTCGCAATTTGTGCATTGTAGTATTAATAAATAAATACTTACGTGAGAGACATGTGTGTTTCCTGAATTGTAGATGACCATCGGTACATCGGCAAACACCATCCAAACAGTCACTGTATGCTACCTTCAGTGTACATTGCTCTGGAACTGAACATTCGGATCCCAAAAGTGTTGCTGAAATTAACAATAATTAGCAAATGAGTATAGCATATTTATACACGTAGAAACTCAATGTAATTTGGGCGTGTGAAATGTTGCGTTGAGAACATTATCGACGCTTGATTCTACAACTACTTCATCTAGGATAACAGTCGTGACGATTTATTTTATATATATTTAACAAACAACTTAATATTTAGTGATATAATCAAATAATAAATTTAAAATATGTCAGAGACGAATAGTTATTAAATTAATAGGCTAAACAGTTTGCAATTGTGTTACATAATATTTTCCACAATAATTATTGAATAAAATAATAAATTAAATTAGTAGGGAAGAATATTTTTTGTATATTGTTCCCTACTAATTTAATAATTCCCTAATAATTTGAAAAGGAAACTTAAATAGGACTTACGGCTTCTTGTATATAATGATAATAATAACAACCCAGAACAAATCACACAGCGCCATCTAGTCCCAAGCTTACCAGAGATTGTGTTATGGTTACTAGACAAGTAATATAAATACTCAGATATATTGTTTTTGTAAATACATAGAAAATAGTGAGACCAATACAAAATTCATACTCATGTATGGGGCGCGGAATTGAATTCCGCGACCATTTACGTAAAACGATGTACAGTAGTATAGATGTACTATACCGCTAGACCAGCTAGGCCGCCATAGACATATACAGATCAATCTTCTACGACAAAAAGCAAACACAAGCCTCATAATTTTGAAGTTACAAATTAAAAAAAAAATAGCTTTAGTTCGAGTGTAGTATTAGTTCATTATGCAATTTCGTGGCCGCGTCGTTTCATTGTTAGCTAACAACAAACCTACGACCACTTAATATTATTTTAGTCGGAATAGTAAACCACTAGGCCACGACTCTGGTTCTTTATGTATGGTCAATTATGGTGAATGTACTATAGGTACAACAAGAGCGTCATAATTTTATGGCACAGCGAATGAACACCGACAGAGACAAGTTCGCGACCTGCGCTTGACCCTATTTGATACAATGTTTAATGTTCCGTAGAATAAGGTTCCGGTGAAATTTAAAAAGACGTTGTAGTTAATGCATGAAGTCACTTATGCTCATTTTACTATAAACTGTAATGCCTTTTTTGCACTTTCTAGATCTAATATATATTCTTTGTTAGACAAATTCAAATAGTTCCTTATTTAGTAAACTGATTGTACAAAGAGAAAATTATACAATCGAGGAGTATATACATTTCCTTTCAGTTAGTAGTATCTACCTATAAAACTGATGAAAAATGGTCTAGGTACTCGTATGTGATTTTTCTAGAAACTATTCGCATTGCAAATTATTTTTCACTGAGTACAGCTTCATACACTTTTATACTCGAATATTTCTTCATATATTTAGTGTCTTCGGTTCTGTATAGTACCATTGTTAGGTACTTAGGTATATTATTCATAATTATGCATATCGTGACTTTAGAATGATTAGACTTTCAAACGACATGTCCACGTAATTATGCTTAATCGGTAGTAGTACTAGGAAATTAAAGGTACCTACCAATTCAATGGACATGCTTGAATTATCGATGATTCCTTCAACGAAAACTTCCGCGTGACCAGAGTAATTAATGCTAACACCTAATAAATCATTTTGAAACAGCGCCGTAATTACGGCGGGAAATTAAATTGCTACCATAATTTATACTTACTCAATTGTCTACTTTTAGAAATTAACAATATTTTATTTTCTATATTACCAAATTAAAACCGTTATAATTATAGTCACGTGAAATGAGTCATTTTCATTTTTAACAGACTATAGATACTGTAATTTTGTTGCATTGTCGCAACATAAGTATGCAGATGCTACGAGAGTGGAAAATACCTAACGAGTATATCTTTTAGATTATCTGTAACATCTGATATAGTAATATATTTCAAGTCGCAATAAATTTCATTTCTGTTAAATTATTTATATCCAAATACAATGCACAAAAATACGGAGTAAGCTAAATCAAAAATATACTATTCAGAAAACTTGAAAGATTCCAACTTTTAGAATATAACCGAGTACTTAAACATTGACTTCGCTAATTATAATATATAGGTATATTACTTTCGCAAACATTCATTGTAACGTAATTACCATGTTTGTGAATCGAGCTTATATTTAGATCTAACTTTGAATGGACTCACAACAAACGTTTAGTTTCAGATACAATATACTCGTATATTGTACTCGTCATATACGAGTATATTGTATCTGCATCTAAACGTTTGTAGGTACCTACATCTCCTATCTTTTAGCTGACATATTAATCTAGAAACGGGGACCAATAAGGTGATCACTGGGTTTATTACATTGGGCACGGAACTGACAGGCGTAACAGTGGATATGATGTGCGTGACTTTTCGATTTCTAATCTGTAATCGTAATCTAGCTACAAAGTCAAGGTCGATTTGATTCATCATAGAGGTGCGATGGGTCATTTAAAACGGCTACGAAAATACGGATTTGTGTTAATCTCTCCGACTATCGCATTGATTTATTCTAAAAATATTATGTTATATTGATTATACCTGCGATTTCATCCACGTATTTTGGAACACATTCCCAGAAAGCAATTTAGTCTCAAAGTTATTTCATAATATTAATAAAGTATTTTAAATGTATATTAGTAAATAAGATAGAACTACATGCCTGCAGACATACCTCGACAGGTGTTTTGGCAGACAAAGACTGTAATTGGAAAATAATAAGCTTTTTGTCTATCCGTATACAGATAGTAGTAATTCATAGTAAGACTTAAATAAAAGTTTTTTTATATTGTTTTTTCTAAAACAGTCATGAACATGACAGTTCATGACAGGTTACAGTTTCAATAGGGAGGACCAGTTCTCCTAAGAAACAAAAATTATTGTTCTTTTTAAAAGTAAGTAACATAATAATTGTCTGATGTATGATGATATTAGTTACTCATAAATAATTGATGGCATCATGCACCTTTGGAATTTAAGTAGGTAATCGTTGTACTTAACTGTTAAAAAATAGTAATTCAGTCATTAAAAATAAAGTTTTCGCAACAGAGAAATATACAGGAATTTTTAATTAGAGCAAATATTATACATAGTTAATTTAAACAAAGCAACTCTGGGCCACACTTATCATGAAGGAGAACAACAGCTTATTGTATTTGCATACCCGTTTTATATCCTTGTAAATAAAGAACATCAAGACTGCTGTACAACGCATAAAACAGACGATAACTCATTGGAGCTTGAAGTGCGACCGCTGTATACATCGACAAGTTTATTTAAATTGGCCCCGCAAATAAACGATACAGACAATTGTGACGACACATCCGAGCTTCATCACAGTAAATTTAATAGCATACGAACGAGTTCGATCAATAAAACAAAGAAATAATTCATAACCTATTATTATAGATAGCCTATATCCGTCCTTGTGATACAGACTATTTTCACGTCAAATTTAATTAAGATTAATTCAGCTGTTTAGTTGTAAAAGGTAACAATCACGCTCATTTTCGCATTTATAATAGATTATACTATGAACTAGCTGAAACGCATGTTTGAAAATTCTGTTAGGGATTCAAATATTAGATGTACATAAGGTATAAAATATTTAACTAATTCCGAACAAACTACGAGTAAGTATATTATTTGCGTATTACAGCAAAAATTGTAAACTTGTACAATAAGAACCTAGATTCGTCTCTATAGCTTTTTACTGCCTCTCTTCTTCAGTTTTTCATATATTAACTCATTTAAATCTACTTATATGTAAGCATATAATCTGGTGATTAAATTTCAAAATCACGGAGAATATGGATAATAACTGATTTCAATGCTAATTAAATGCCTTTGCTAATGTTTTATATCTATTATATCTTTGTAGATGTATTGGGGTGCGAGAGCGAGAAATCAGGGTTTATGTTTACATAATAGAATAATTATAATATAATTACAGTGTACATTTAGCAGTTGAAAAGACAAGGTTAGATATCAGCGAACGGTATTTACCTACTGTTATTTGCAATATCATATATCCGATAATAGCTCAGCATGATAGCCAGAGGAAGTTTCGGTCGACAGGCTGACAGCTTACATCTAGAGACTAGATAGACGTGGCCTCTTTTCTGTATCTGAAAGGCTTTTGTTATATTTTCTCTAATAAAACCTCTTTATATCAATCATAAAATTTTATGTATAATAATCTTAATTTCCTAAATTGTTTAAGTCTGGTCAATCTACAGAATATTATAAACAAGTTTTAATGAACGCCTTTGTTTTTAAATGACTCCATCTGTCGCACTCCACTGTTATCTAAATTAAATATAATAAATAAGATTAATTTAATCAATGTAATAGGCCTGTTGCGAACTATATACTAACATAAGACGATTGTAGAACAAATTTTATAGTTAGCAGTAACCTAGACGTAATAATATTACATAGAAATAACGGATTTACTAGTTATTTGTTTATTAGACTTTAGATTCATTATTGGCCCGGTATTTAATACTACTGTAATTGATAATGCAGTTGCTACTCTACTCTGACTTCTGAATTTGATACTACCCTACTAAATATAACTAATCTAGTAGAGTAGTATTACATATAAAAGTAAATCAGTATCTTCATAGAGTTCACATTTTGTTTATTTCAAGATTTCCAATAATAGTCAGCACCATAGCGCATGCGAACGTTTCATATTTAATCAAGTTAAATATATAAACATAAACTTAGATATAAACTTGTATATTATTTTTCAATTTTTCTATGTAAGTTTCTATGTATAGAATTATAATAAACAAACAATGAAAGTAAGTGTACGTATATAGCAATAGTAAATGTATTATATCCTTGTATGAAGAGACACCAGCGTCCAGCAGTAGAAAGATAAAATATGTAGAATGTTATGAAATTATATATGAAATATAAAATTCGTATTCGTATCTCATTTACATGTAACATGTCACTTTATATATCTTTTATTACTATTAGAACAGATTGAACTAATATAACATTTAAAATATCTGAATAATCAATGTTATTCGCTGCGTCCGTCCATTTGTGCACACATAAAATGCTTTTATATTTTTATGTGTGAGGCTTTGGCGTATTGATGAATAGTGTTATGTCTTTCTATATCATTCAAATAATATTACATGTTATTTTTAATTGTAATGGCTGTAAAATATTGCAATTAGTAATCTTTGCCCTACAATGCATCAAAATAAGGCTGAGGTGGGTCGTAAGTATTAACATAAAACGGTACTATACATCTAAATAAATAATTCATCTATAAAAATACGATGTGAGGTCTTAGGTTATAAATAAATCGGCACGGGGCAGCGGTGTGGTCGCCTAGCGGTTATGGAGTTCTATCCTGGTTTGAAATGCCGCTAGACTGGATGCACCAGTCCGCTAAGTGGTACTGTGTTATTCACCACATCCGCATATAGAGGAACTCCGACAACATTCCTTAGAATTCGACAAAACGTCATTAAGGTAGTTTCCATAATGTTAAGAAATATGATTAAATTAATTATAATTTGTAATATACAATCTCTGCTATTATACCGCTGGCAGGATAGTCAGCGACCATCGGTGATGGACATCTCTTCCATTTGAAGTGATGAAAGAGATATGGGAATGTAAAGTAACATACAACATTTTTATGATGATTGCCAAATTAGAACCAGATAGTTAATCATTGGGCCAAGATGCTTTCATAATACCACAGATAACATAATATTACATAATAATACTAAGCCTACAAGTATATATAAACTATACTAGAAGTTGAAATTTTGCAATAGAAAAAGGGTTTATCTAATAAACCCTTTTTCTATTGCAAAAATCAATATTTTATCATGAGGTGACATGATGTTTAATTATTTAGGTAGGTATTTATTTCCCATACCTCTGTCTCCTAGTATAAATGAAAAAATGAGATAAATGTGTATTTGATATGAATAAATATTTCCTAGGCAAATCTCATAAAAACATTTGAGTTTGTCGGAAAACGTTTCGAATATCACTTTACCATTTTTTGTCTCAAAGGAATATTATTTTAAATATATGTACCTGAATTGAGATACTTTCAATTTAACTAGATTGGGATACCTACATATATATGGGTATGTAATATATTACAGATTTATTAAAAACAATTTTAACTTCTCATTAATCAGTAGAAGACATTGCGATCTGTGAAAGTAAATGAACAGAGATATTGGTCCTATAAAGTACTTGTGATATGAATAAATACGTTCACCTTTTTCAACTGCAAAGGAATCGCGACGTGATGACGGCTGTATATTATTGTATTATTTTTTGATTGATGTCTGTGTTCGGTTATTGGAAAGTGAAATATTATCGAGCAGAAGTTAATTTCGGGTGCCTTATGATGACAACTACCGACAATTGGCAGACGTTATTGCAGTGAAAGTAATTTCTTTGAAAAACCACAGACCACATGAGTACGATTAGTTAACACCTGATCTATAGTTAGGGATGAAAGCTACAACCGAAGTGTTTCGATTACTGAGATTGATTTGATTACAAAAAAGTAATTCCATATACCTACCTCATTATTTTAAAATAGAAACATTTTGTTTTCATGTCGAAGAATTATAATAACTCAGAAACTACTAAAATGGTTTAAAATCTTACTAATATTATAAACGCGAAAGTTTGCGAGTATGATGGATGTTTGTTACTCTTTCACACAAAAACTACTGAACGGAGTTTAATGAAACTTTGCAGTAACATAGCTTATTTAGAATTTATTTACAACATTAGAATAACACATAGGCTATAATTTAAAATGATATTATGTATATTGGGCGCAATATAACGATAAATGTCATGTAAGTGGCATGCAGACGAAGTTGCGCGGGTCAGCTAGTTTATAATAATTCAAATAATTTAAAATCAATATGGTTGATCCAAATAGGACTACATTCCTTTTATTTTACACAGTTTTAGTAGCGAGAAATTAGCAGATACATACGTATATACAATAATATTTACTTACATTCCAGACAAGTAATGTTGTCAACTCGAGCATAATAAGGGTCGCATATGCAAACACCTTTTTCGCAATGTGATTTTGACGGGCTGCAGTCTTTATTTGATTTACACTGCTCACCGAGTATACCACCTTTTATTCTCTGAAAAGACAGATAAATTATATCAAAAGATTACAGACAATTGCAGTTTACTTACATAAAGTGAAAAAGCAATTTAGTATTTAATTTATTTTACTATTAAATATTAGAACAGGCGTTGGTATAGGATTTTATTCGTATTTTCTTTCTTCACTTAGTAGTCTCTACTCGCCTTTCACAAACATTCGGGAATGTAAAGTAGTTATCTAATTAGTATAGTCCTAAGTGGGGAAGTCGTACGTACTACGCACCTGGCAGCTCGTTCGCCATTATGTTCATAAATCATTATATTATTTTGATACCCTTTTAATGATTGTGTACTCATCCGCTGTAGTAACATAGTAATTTTATTTCATAAGAATCTTCTCACAATAACCAACAATACTGGAATATTTTTTCATAAAAGCTATATAATCTATATTAGCTCCGCACACGATTAAGTGCAGTCAATTGGAAGACTGAAGTAGATAATTTATTAAGATAAAAGAAGCAAGAAGTGTGTGTGAGGATTGAAATCAATGATGTTATGTGCATCCCGTACATAAGCTAGTCTGAAGGTGAGGTGCCTATATACGTTTTTATTTTCCTATTTTTTATTTATTTTGAGTTTTTATTTCAATTAGTTTCAGTTTGAGTCAGTCTGCGATATGAGAAATGACTAGAATAAAAGCATAAATTTATTTATTATCGCGAATATCTATTGTATTGTTTCATAAGTTAAGCCTTGAGCTTGTTATTAATCCAGATCGTATAAAAAATATAATATAGTATTCTCAGACAATCGGTATAATTATACACTGCATTATTATTACTATAATGTTAAACACAAACATAAAACCTGCAATAGGTAATAATGATTCCATAGCAGTAAATGACTGCGTCTTGGTCTGTAGTATGACATTAACGTCGCGCGCGGCTTAATACACTTTTAAGATTTCATGCTATTTTTAAATTTCACTCAGGATATTTTTTCTTTTTATATAGTAAGAATTATCTTATACTCACAAGATGACCTTGGTAATTGGCCTTGGTAACTTGTAGCATACAGTTGTAACTAAACTTCTAGAATTTTAATGTTAAAATAAGAACTATTTTGTACCTATTTGTTTTATAACCTTATTATTTTTACTTTAGCTCGTTTATATCTTACTTTTATAGCTGTAAAAGATATGTACCTATACGATTGTATTAATATCTTACTTTACAGCTGGTTATACTGTATTATGAGTACGTATGTATGAGAAATATGAAACATGATTATTCGAGTACTTTGCATCTATTCGTGTTAATATACATTAGGTCATAGTTGCAAATTGCTGTGACGTGATAGTTATCGTTGTCTTCGCATATATGAGGATATCCGTCACACCTACACTGAACTCTCATATATCATTTGGAATATTTTTTTTTATTTATACTTAGGTATATATTAAAATTATCTCTATAGTCATGATAATAATTATGAATCCTCCCCAACGAAGCAGCATTATTCCATATCTACCGAAATTAAAATTTTACGAGTCGGTTCGGATTCCTTGGCATAACTTATTCAAGCTCCGGATACATGGCATTATACCGGAAGAAGGGTCCCTATGTGGATGTACATACAATGCCATAATATTAAATAATTCATGAGAACAACAGTTTTGTTATACAATAATATTATTCTGGATCAAAGAATTTCATTTAGCAAATTGTTTATGTTCATTATATTGATAAAATAGAAATATACAATGTTGTAAAAGAAAACTGGTGAATGTGAGTAGACAGTCCTTGATGTTCCGTGAAATTCCTTTGTATTATAATTAAAAATACAATATTTTGGGTAAGTTTTCGATGTATTAGGTTTTCTATGTGATAATATCCACTTTTGTTATAGAATCCTAATAATTGTTGTAAATAATAAAATTGAACCTTTCTTACCGTTTCTGTCCCTCTATATTTTTAAACCAGATACCACCGTATTTGTTTGTACTTTCAAATAAAAATTTTATCATAAAATTATAGTCTTTAATTTAGTGAAACTAATTAAAAATTTACAATAATAGCAAATAATATCACCTAGGTTTTTCAAAAGAGCAATTGTGATGTAACAATATTTTGCTTTAAGTTAATAACGAATCAAAACATCTACACCCTTAGGTAACTATAAAATTGTAATGTTTATATAGCAATGCACTCTACCCCCGTTATCATTTATCGATAGTAATAAATCTATTTGTATTATCGAATTAGTAGCAGATCGAAGCATACAATAACTACGTAGGTACCATTTTAATTGTGTCCTATTTCCTCCAATATAACCGTTTTCTTGTTTAGTTTCAATTGTCAGAAATCAAACGAGCAAACGCAAAAAAGCGTCCGTTACCATTACCTATCACGCGGATTGCGGTTGTTTCGATTGCCAATTGTAAGTAATGTTAACAATTAACTGACCAAATCGAGTGATAGATGTGATACCACAGTCGAAGCGAGCAAAATGACCTCAGCACGACCAGGGCTTTCATCAATTTCCTGGTAAATCACCTAACCACTTGCTACATTCGATATCTAGGGATCGATTCGTGCTGGTTGTTGCTATGTAATTTGGATTCCAGATGCAATTGAATATCTATTAAGTAGCACAATAACGTATACCTATATCGCGGCTCTTATCGGATAAAAGTTGAACGCCTATATAAGGATCACTGCACGCGTGAAGAAATGTTATTGTAAAATTATAACGTACCAGACCAACAAAGAAGTCAAGACGGAACTACGTACTACAAAAGTAAAGCTATTGTTTTATAAATGAACCAGAAATATGGCTATTTTTTTCGCGCAGTTTGGTTAGGTTAAAAATGGCGGCAGAGATGAAGTTTTTAATTTATATGAAGTTGTTCAAATCAAAAATAATTAGTAAAAAATCCGATACAAAATATAATACTTTGAATTATTTTGAACTCAAAAATCAATATAGAAATGTTTTATTTGCTAACTGTTTAAACTTAACTATTTTCAAAGAAATAACTTTGGTAATTAATTTTATTTTAAATGAACAATACAAACAAACTAAACTTGGTTTTGGATATAAATGTTATTAATTACTCTTTATAATATTATGCTTAGGTACATTCACACCTAAAAACCTAATGTCTTTCATAATACATTGCGGCAAAAGAGAACATTTTTTACAATAAATAAATTTCGCTTTAATTTGATCACTATGAAAGACACTATTAAAAAAAGTATACATACGTTTTTTCTGTAATAGGTTTATGTATCGTAACTTTGAAAGACGTTTAAATTATGATAGCATCGTGTATATTTGCATACAACATAATTATAAAAAGTGCGTTTCGTGATGACAAAAGACAAACGATTACTTTATAATTACTAACCTCAGGAGACAATATTTGTTGAGCAAATGAAATGTAAATTTTTCAATTAACGTATCCACAAGAGCGTAAAATGAGTAAAATATAGTTATATGCACTTATGCGACCTAGTACGTTTTTATTTTGTTATAGATATCTATATATACTGATCTAGATATAGATATATACATATACAGGAAGATATTTCACTATATAACATTATACTGATGACATTGAACTCTACAAAAAGGTAACTGTATCTTTGTACGCCTTGAGAAAGTAGCTTATAGGTGGCGTGTCGTTATTCACACAAACACGACAAGAATATAGGAAAACACGTAATAGATGATGGCTGCGGTGTTGGTACTTCGAGAATTTATTATGCTGCGTGTTTCGACAGGATTACCTTTAGAATTTTAATATTTCAAGTGCCAGTGACACAAAAATACCGGTGCCCAATTCCTAGCCCTACAGTATTTACTAGACGCCAAACTATTGCATCTTATATGCGGTATAAGTTTTATGGGTCTTATATAATCCGCCGCAAGAAAATAATATAATTCTAGTACAAATAAGACATCTTATATATGTTTATTTATAGTGTGTAATGGTCTGTTTGGGGGGAAGGGGATTGTTAGTAATGTGGACATTTAGTAATGGGGATATCAGTCAAGTCAATGGGGTAATGCACCATGTTAGGTCAACCTGTTCCCACGTGGTGAACCGGTGGTCCACGCGGTCCCTCCTGGAAACCATCGTGATCAAATTCCTGGTGAATTTGTCACGATGCGCTGACCTGCCTCATGTTCATCTTATCATCATCCACTGGTGCCCCGCAAGCACTGTGGGTGGGTTCACCATTCAATTGTCATTCATAAAACAATGTATATAAGTTATAGCTTCTTGATTAATTTAATAATTATGACGAACATATTTGATTTAATTTGTAATACTACCCATTTGGAAAGTTTTGAAATACCAGTAATAAAATCTAAATATTTAATGCTATTGTTTCATCACAAGTCGTAAGCTGGTAAGTAAAAGGATGAGCCAGGAACTAAGTTCGGTTGCAAAACAATATAAAGTTTTATGCGCGTTCCTCAGAGAACAATAGATAACCACAAGAAACGTCGTACACAATTTATGGTTACATCAATTCTGAATGATCTTTATGTACACAGAAACATAAATCATACGAAAAATAAAAGTTAAACGTGCACGACTAGATTTTCTGAATAAATTAAATCGAGATACAATTACACTTTCAAAGACATTGTAATCGATAGTAATTTGTAATACCCAGTATGATACCAAAACTACTGTTTTCAATATGTCACGACAAGTTAGTTTAGAAATTTGAATAAGTTTATTATCCTCGCCACTTACAATTAGGTTCAGCTGTTATAGACGACTTTTTTTTAAAACTGCAAGTTTATCAGTTCAGTATTCTATCTGAAGATAGATAAAGTATAAATTCTATTTTTTGTCAACATTTATGAAAAAGTTTCTGAATGTACTTTAAGACTCACGACAAATTTGATTAAAAGAATTTTATTTGTGCTTTGAACTAACGTAAAATAAAGTAATAATCGTTTGTTGGTTTGGGGTTCAGTATTATTTTTAATTCAACATATCTTATTAAATGTT